ATGCCCAAAATGGTGTCATGGCCCAGCTGAACAGAGATTCGACGCTGATCCGGCGTCCAATATGTCCAGATGATCACCGGATTTGTTGGAGATATCCAAGAACGATTAATCGTCAAACCAAGCTCTCTGCAGCCATGAGACTGCTTCGCCGGTTTTGCTGTGTTATAGACACTTGGAATATGCGTTTTCAGGTACTGAGCAGACTGCTTGAGGTGCTGCGAAACAATCTTTTGTTTGAATAGGTGGTCGACGTCAGTGTTGCACAGAACAGCCTTTACACCCATATCGGCAACGATATGCAGGAATGCTGGAGCATCTTCCGATAATCTGTTTGCGTCAAGCGGGGCGACAGGAATAGCGATGGCTCCCAGAACCATACACGCATATATGGCAAACACATAGTCTTCTGAGTGAGTATACATCAGAATAAGGTGATCGCTGGGCTTCACTTTGACCTTGTTTCGCAGGTACAAGGCCACGGCTGCCACCCTATGGTCAAATTTCTTCCATGTCAGCCCTTTCCCTTCTTTCCCTCGCCCATCGATCGTGCAGTATGCAAGCTCGTCCGCTTGTCGCGCCACTCGCCACTGCATCAGGTCAAAAATATTTGTGAAATTACTCAGAGCTGTTGATGTTCGATCATCGATGACAACCTCACGAGGATCAACACCAGACCACTGCGTCTCCTGGCCATAGAGAAGGTCGCTTCTCGCAGCACTCGAATTGGGGGACCAGATGCCGCCATTGATGTCCTCTCCAACGGGAAGATTTTTCACGGCACGCTCAACGCCGAATTTGACGTGGACACAAGGAAGTGCTCCGTTGTCAAACTCTTTACGGCAGAGCATATTGCCAATTTCTCGCCGACCGTTTTTGGTTACCCGCGGTAGAATGCCTGGCGCTGTGATCAAGACGCAATATACTCTGAGGTGATGCTCTTGGTACAGAACTTCCATCGTTTTCTCCGCCAAGGAGTCAAGTAGTGCGATATCAAGCTGTTGTGGTGGACCACCTGAGGATAATGGAGCCGTCGACGCCGAGGGAGATTCCAGAAGGACTATAGGGAGATGTTCGTCGTTGACAAAACAATCAAAAGCGGAACAGTCGTGGATTTTGGGCACATTTCGCATCATGCTGAGGATCAAATGCTGGACGAAGAAATAGCGGTGTTCCTGCACCGCTAGACCGTGTTCGACCCACTCAACCCGTTGTCTGAGTCGATCTTCATACAAGCCCAACACATAGATTTTGCCCTCGATGATACATCCGAGTAACCCGGTGCGTAGAAATTCGGGGTCGATGGCGCTTGGCGTAGGATTACCTTCCTTGAAACAAAATGGCCGAGCATGGAAGATTGTTTCGGTATGCTTTGGGAGAGCCCAGAAGCCTCCAGAGAGTGAGGGAGAGTCGACCCAAATCTCACCTATGGAATTTGGTGTGCACAGCAAACCCGACTCAGGATCAACCACGGCAAGGGTGGCATCGGGAATTGGATACCCAAATGCCCCGCATCGGACAGCATTAGGAAAGGAGCTAGCTTTCGTTCTTGCTTCGGAGCCCATGGCCAGGACCACGATATCGTTCGTCTTCAGAGCCTCCTTTTCCAATAGCACTTCACCCAAGTCCTCCGTCGAACGTTCTTTGGAAGGCTTGGTCCCTCCTCCAATGAGGCTACTGCCGAAGCTGGATTTTGTGGTCGCGCTTTGTTCTTCTTTCTTCTCCTCTGCTTCGTGATCACGGTCCATCTCATGGGACAGCGAGCAGCCCATGCGTTCTTCTCCCCCGAGCCAGTCTCTCATGCTAATCACCATTCCGCCGTGTTCGGGCAAGCAGAGCATAGGGGCCACGATTTCCCTCGCCCTTGGATTGCGAAGTGGCTTGAGCCAACGATCTGCAAGTAATTCGTGGAATTCGACGTCAACGGTCAAGGTGTCAATCATACACAACTTGACACTGGCGAAGTTAGGCTCAAAGTTCCGTTTGAAATTCCTCGTCGTCATCGGATCCGCTTGGTAGTTGTACACGGCACGTTTTAATCCGGGGTAATCTGCTACAAGCAGCGTCGTCTTGTACTTCGTGATGAGATTCGCGTAGAGACCCGGTGTCTCGATAGTCCGTTGATCAATGTATATCACCGTGTGTCCTCCATAGATATTTAATAAGACCCCCAGTATCATCCCGATGCTCTGTCTCGGATCCAAATAGCTGAGTATGATTTCGCCATGTCTCGAGCCGGTAATCAAGTGACCCTGCTTGTCGCGCAGAGAAGGATTGAACGTATCAGCTTTGGTATTGCTTGTCGCCGATGTAATCATTGCGCTGAGTGTGGCCATTTGATGCATGATCGTCTTATGGCTCATGACGACCCCTCGAAGATCACCAGTCGGAGCCATCGAAAACTCGATATAGGCAAGATCCGGCACCACAAGCGGCGATTCCTCACCCTTTTTCTTCGGATGATAGCTGCCAAATTCGTTGGTCTTCCACCATTCCACGCCACGGGGCCAATTAAGCTTGGCGGCAGTGATATCTCGCTGGAAATTTTTTAGATTGGCCTCGGTGGTCAGTGCCAGATGTGCTTGCGTAGAAGTTAATACGACGTTCAGTCTGGCATAATTCTTGAGGTCGTTAATCGGCACAGCGACCACCCCAGCGATGAAGCAACCGAGCAGTGCCACCGCATATTCAATTATTTCGTTCTCGGTGTAGATCAGCGCAACTCGGTCCCCCTTGTACAGACTGCTTTTGTCGCGAATGACCTGAGCAACTTTTTCCGCCCGACTGCATAACTTCTCCCAGGTGATGGAGACAAGCTCTTTACCCTTTTGGTCCAACACCCAGTAGGCCGCCTGCTTGGGGTTCGTCTTTGCTCGATGTCTGAGTACCGCGGCAATGTTCTCAAACCTCGACATCTCGATATGCGAGTCATGTGGGTCACAGATGGCAAAGGGTACTTCGCGCGGCTCCAAGGGCATCTGATGTATGGCGGCACCGCCGGCAAGCTCCCCAGCACCAAGAAACGGCGGGGCCATCTGGGCTGTGGGCGAGGTCACCTCACTTTGCGAATACCTGTGGACATTGCCTCCGTAGTTCTCTTGATGTTCTTCTCGTTGTTGACCCGCAAAATCGGAGAAGTAGCCTTGCTGCGAATCGAGCATGGTGGAGTTACGAGTGTCTATGCCGCTATAATTTTGTTGGGTTTCAGGATTAAAGGCGTAGTTCTGGCTCAGCAGCGTCTCGGCGCGGGATTGATCGTTCGTTGTCATGAAAGTCTCGCGTCGGCCGTCAAAGGAGGAACCTGACATTGATCCATGTGGTAGACTTCCTGTTTCCCTCTCTTGGAACCGTTGGATGTGGCTTTGGGCAGTGATGCTCCTCTTAGGGTCGTTGTATTCATCCCTGAGCACAGAGGCCCGTCGGCTCATACTGGGATGGTCCTCAGTCATTGTCCCATTTCTCGAGGGGCTGCCCACCGGTCGGCCGGTGAGGGCAGCAAGCGAGGCGGCTCTAGAAGCCTCATTGGAGGCGGGATGATCGCTGTCGTCAGGAGAATGTACGCGGAGTCCTCGCGACTGAGGTTGGGGTTGCGATTGCAATTGCAATGGTGATTGCAGTCCCAGCGGAGGAGCATTGACGTACTGCGAAAGAATGAGGGTGCGTCTCTTTTCATAGCCTTTCCGGGTGATGTCTCCTTCCTCGAGCTCTTCGTCGAGCCTGCGCAAAGCGTCTTCCAGTTCAGGGATGCCCGACATTTCTGCAACCTTTCATGTATTGGCTGGTCTCGGTTGGTGCGAGAAGTCGAGGACTGTGACAGGGCAGGAACCGGCCTGGAAGGAGGCCGAGGCTCCAGGTTCTGAACGCGCTGGCGCGAGAAACGTTTGAAGGAAAAAGACAAACTAAGCGAGTGACAACAGAAGCACGCAAAGGCCGGGCACCCAGGGAGATGGGGAGGTCGAGAGCGAGGACTGAGCGACGGAAAGGAACCCAAGTTTGAGACGAGTGCGAAACATCCCTACATAATACTAAGTTGTCGATGGGCCTCGGGGTGCGTGGTTGGTGGCGCATGTGGGGATTGACTGCGATTGAGCATCTGGCGGCATTGACCTGAAAGGCTTAACACACCCGCAGAGATCGAAGATGTCCCAATGCTCCCTCGCTCCCTCGCTCCCTCCCTCCGTACCCGTTTGCTGGGCCACCTAGGCCATTCCCGGGCCCTTCCCGCCGCCCACGTTAACGACTAGTTCAGTCCCTCGGGCTTGAAGACGCTTATCCACACATACAATGTATGAACAAAACAATAGAAGCCGCAAATGGGACAGGAACAATTTGATCGTGAGCTTACGACTTCCGTGTTGCTGGCATCATTGAAGATGCTTTTGAATCTATCTCTATCCTTTCTGCCACAACGCCATGACAGAAACACCAAGGTTCTTTTCGTTGAATCTCCATCAACGATACATTCCGCCGCAACTACTGCTAGACTAGTGCAAAGGGTGTCAAGAAACCCCCCAGTCCGCTGCCCACCACGTCCCCTTGAGGAGCAATCCAATCTGGTCACACCCTTTGGCTGAGCGCTCCCAAGCCAGACTCGCCTTCGAGCGCCGTCCGAGAGAAGTCATCTACCGCCAGCTGATGACTTTAATGACTCGAAGCGGCGGTGGACTGGTAGCTCGATTCAACCTGAATGTAGACATTATCGCCTGTTTGGAACCATTTTTCCTCCCATCTTCATCTGCAACGTAAACTGAATCTTTCAACAAAAACGCCTAAAATGTAAGGACTATAGCTCTCTCTGAGGTGCAGAGTGACGAGAACCGTTTCACAATCAACATATTGTTCACCGCCGAGTCTCGGGACGTCGGCAACACACATGGAACTTTGGGATGGTAGTTGAAATCAGTCCGGAATGGTTCGTCGGAATTCGTTTGTCGACTGGGCCGAAGCCTTGATATCGAGGTGTGACATTCTTTGATAATGAACCAGCGGATGCGCGGGGCTGATCATTCTTCTTGACTCTCGAGGAGCGTGAAAACTGGAGCATTGAGCTTGTCTCGACCGTTGAGGAAAGTGAGTTCGATGATGAAGACGAATCCGACCAGTTGCCCTCCGCATTTCTCGACCAGTGTCCCTGCTGCCGCTGCCGAACCGCCCGTGGCGATCAGGTCGTCGACCACAAGGACCTTCTGACCAGGTTGAATAGCGGATGTCTGCATGGCAAAGGTGTCGGTGCCATATTCCTTCTGAAAATCGGCCGTTTCGATCTTGCCAGGGAGTTTACCTGCCTTTCTGACAGGAACAAAGCCGGCTCCAAATCGTAAGGCTAATGTCGGTCCAAAGAGGAAGCCCCTCGCATCAAGACCGACAATCACATCAGGAATGTTGTGTGGACCGAGCGATTCGGTAATCTGGAGCTCAAATGCTCGAATCAAGTCCAGATGAAGAGAGTGCGAGGCGAATAGTGGGAGGATGTCTTCGAAGAGGATGCCTTTCTTCACCAGCAACCCACTTAGCAAACGCTTCTGGGCGGCCAAGATGCGATTTAAAAAAAAAAAAATAACTTCTTTCCTACCTTTGGGAAATCGGGATAGGTCTTCAAGCCCGCCTTGATCCGAGCTTTCAGTTCCGACAACGCTTCAGAACGGGCGAGTTGGGAGGCTACCGATGGATTAGCGAGGCTGAGCCAAAATATTCGGTCTTCCCCCTCGTCTTCATCTTTGGTGGGAGGCGCGGGGCTCGACATACTGGAGGCGGTGGCATTGGGCTCTGGTCGCGCGGTGCCATGACTGCAGTCAGTGTCTGCGGAAAGGGTCATGCTGCGAAGAAAGACAGTCAGAGGGAAGGCGGGATGATAGGATAAATATGGGTACGAGCGAGAAAAAAAAGATGACAACAAAGAGCCGTGGCACAAGAACGAGGGCGCAGGACGAATCAGTTGCGCATGCAAGGGCCGTCCACTTTTCGGGAGGGATCTGGTGGGAATCCAGGTGTAGCTTGCGGCGCTATTCCACAGTCGCCTGTGGCCTCCGAGCGTATCCTGCACTAGCAAGTAGGGAGCAAGCAGACGGGTTCAACAAACAGGCCAGCTTAGTGACAGGCCTGGCTGTCGGTTGCATGTGGTGTTATGTTACAAAAGAGCAGTCAGCCTGCGCGACCGGAACTGACGTGATTGCCGCCGACAAAACCTCGCTTTGGCTGCTAGGGCTAGGGCCAGAGGACCACAGCCCAGTAGCCCAGGAGCCCAGGAGCCCAGGAGCCCAGGAGCCCAGTAGGCCGTAGGTAGGTCGTTGGTGACCGTTTCGTTTCTGCCTTTTCCTTCTAGGCGGCAGTGGGTGTCCACAAGCGATCCACTCGGGATTCCTGATCAAGGTTCAACCAGCAGAGGCGAGCTTGACCAAAAGGGCCATGGCATGTGTATTGCCCGTGATTTGTACTGCTAGGTACCCGATCCGACAGGAGAAAGAATTGGGATAGGTTCTGGGTCCTACGCTGATCGAGGACGCTGGGGCCAGCCTTCAGAGAGTGGGATGGTTTCGCAGATAACGTTTGAGGGATAACCCACGATAACCTACTGGAGTTCGGGTAGGCTGATGCTGTCCTGGGCCTTGTCAAAGGAGGGGCCGAGCAAGCGTGGGCTGGACAAGGACTTCGATTCCCCTCAGAGAGTCGCGAACCAAACAAGAGGGGTGGGGTGGGTGTCGAGACTCGACTTGAGTCTTAACAGAAAGAAAGACCCCCCGGTTCCGCCATGCCAGACCATGCCACGCCGGTGACATGGGACAGCCCTGGAGGTTCGACCCTATCGACCTATCCACCTGGCAAGCTGGCTTCGACCCTTTTCTTTACCCGGTAGGCCGTCGGTAGGAGTGGGGACCTCCGAGTCTCTTTGTGGCGCTGACTTGCCCTGCATTTGTCGATATCGTGGAACGAGGACGTAGGTATTTGCTGAAAATCTACCAAGTAGCGAATAAGTGGCCGGAAATCCAAAAGATCCTGTCATCGCTTCTCTGTCTTGGATTCGTGGACCGTCTCCGCCAGCCAACCCGCAGCGCAATGCGCTCAGACGGAGCAAACGATACGAGCTGTCGAAGCGCAATACCTCTGGTGTGTGAAACTGGCTTGCTGAGCCATTTTTCCCCTTCGCTCTCCCCCCCATGCGGGTTCGAGCGAGAGAGGGACCGTGAATCCGTGAATCCTTTCGATCACCTCAGCTGGGCCCGCATCGAGGTGGCTCCACTGGCTTCCCGAGCCTCCAAACAGGCTTTCTAGGCCTGCCCTTTTCGAGGACATGTTCTAGACATGAAGATCCAGCCTTAGCGAACATCGACCATCAACTTGAGATCTGCGCTCGTTGTGCAGACGACAATCCCGAAGCTCGATCCTAAGGGGGCCCCCACGTAGACAAGTCGGAGCGATTTTGAGGCAAACTGCACCCAGAATACCGACGATTGGTGCAACTTCTCGATGTGTCCAAAGAAGCGGTGACAATGGCTGTCTTGGTGAACAAGGGTGTCCTCATGGAGCTACTGCAAGCCACCTTTCCAGAAATCCAACCCTTGATCCCTGGGCCCCGTTGCACGACAGCATTTCCTTCAGACAGACTTCCGGAGGCAACCGTCCACGCCCACGTCAACGCGCGAGCACCGAGTACTTGTGGGCTGAATAATACTTGTATATATATGGGACCAAATGGGACTTGCTCTCGACTCCATCAGAGCTCTACTTTCGTCATGTTTCGGGTCAATGTGGACTGATACATCAGACGTCTGTGATATCAGCACAGCCATCATGTACTCGTACGCGTGTCTAAGCACTGGGTATAGTCAGAGCCGAGTGCTCCTAATGTTGAAACTAGCAGATTGACGGCTGTTTGCACCGAGACAAATGTGTCAAATAGGTTCTCGAATGTACAACAATAAATTGTCATCTCATATCTCATCTCTCGCTCGTGTTGCGCCGTGCCGTGTCTTCCACGGCTTCGGGTTCAAAACGCACATGCGGTGGGGAAGGGAGAAATGTTAATGAAACTCTCCTAAAGGTTTCTCCATAACTTGAAGCATGCAGAGGCTCATTTGCACATGAAGTCGTGATATGGAACCTGCTCACCTCTAGTCAGGGGCCCGCTCATCAAGGGCAAAGGGGTTTGCAGCCGGAGATCCTGTCATCCTTACGAAGACCTTGAGCTATGGGGGCTTCAGCACTCCTCAAGACTAGAGTTGCAAGGCACAAAAGGACTTGGACAACCGCTGGCAAGGAATTGCGCTATTCAGCTGAGTCCCTTAACTTGAAACCTCTGGGTGAAGGCGTTTCAAGGGATATGCAATTTTCAAGTAACAGATCGGCCAGCAGAGTAGAACCCGCAAGGTGAACACATAAGTTAGCTACCTTATGGTGCGTGTACGGGTTCTACTGCTCACCAACTGCCATTTCTACTGTACCCAGGAGAAAAGTTACTACGGATAGTCTTTGGCAAATCTTCGGTACAAAAGTAATGTAGTAAACCTCAAAAGAAAGGTTTAGATTCGAACGTGAAGATTTTATATAGAGAGGGGTTTCAAAAATAAGTGGGACAGTCTGTCACGGAAGATATCCTCGGTACTGCAAGAGTGCTTGATAACTTCAAAGTGAGCGCTAGATCGAATGTAGTTGACGGTATAGGATGAATAACGGAGAGCCACTATTTCCATATTACATAGTACACACAATGCTTATTACCAACGAAGGCCACCTCCGTTCTGACAGTCAAGGGCTTTAAGTATGTTGGAGTCTGCAAGAGTGTGCCACTTATTTTTTCAATCCGCCTTGGCGGCTGCACCTGGTAGCTCTCACCGCCTTTAGGAATTCTGCCGGTCAAACCAAAAAAAGAAGTTGCACACTGATCCATTAATTCACAATCTCAGAGATGTGCATCTGACGACCTCCAGACCTATCCTGCCATGCCCCGCGCTATAGAGGAGGACGAATTCGTTCTCACGATCTCTGATAATGACGACCTTCCTGTCAGCGACCTCGAAACCAGAGACTCCGAAACGGTAGAGCTCTTCCGCAACGGCACGAAGCGAAAACGGGAAGAAAAGAAGAAGAATAATAATGCCTCAAGGAACAAGAAACAGAAGAAGGCCCACCGGGGCAAAGGCCAAGAGGACGATCGCATCGTATCAGACGACGACGGCGAAGAAAACGGCGAAGAAAACGGCGAAGAGCAGGGTGTCCGAGACGGTGCTTTCAATCCTGATTTCGAGTTCGACTTTGGGCCGGACCACGTCAAAGAAGACCTCGAGGAATTCGACGGATGGGGCGGGCAGGATAACGCAATCATCAAGAGTCGAGAGCAAACGAAGAAAAGTGTCGACATTGACGCCATCATTGCTCGTCGGGCAGAGAAGAAGGCAAAAGCCACCGGGTTTGAAAAGCATGAAGACGAGGTGGTAGAATCAGATATGGATGATGACGAGGACGAGGACGAGGACGAGGACAATGTTGAGATCCCAGACTTCGAAGACGACGAACTTCTCGCGTCGGATACCTTCGGTGCGGACGCTGAATCCGGGGATGAGGAAAATGAAGAGCCTCCGGCGGACCAAGAACAAGACGACGACGAGCGTGACGACGAGAGTGCTTCCGACAGCGACTCAGTGGCATCTCCGACAGCTCATCCCGACGATCTAGCCTCTGATCATTCAGATGCTGAATCGCAAACCTCTGTCTCGGAAGATCCAGAAGAGAAGGCTAAACGCGCGGCATTCTTCGCTCCCGAGGACAAAGCGACACAACCCGACATAAAATCTGCATCCTCCTTTCTACAATTCTCCCTCTCACGGCCGATCTTACGGGGACTAAACGCCCTGTCATTCACCACCCCGACACCAATCCAAGTCCGCGCCATCCCGATCGCTCTACAAGGCTTAGATGTGGTTGGATCCGCCGTGACTGGCTCCGGGAAGACTGCAGCCTTCCTTCTGCCTATCCTCGAACGCCTGCTATACCGGCCCACAAAAATCCCCATGACACGAGTGGCCATCCTTCTGCCGACTCGTGAACTCGCAGTTCAATGCTACAGCGTCGCCACCGCGCTGGCTCGATTCACAGATATCACCTTCGCACAGGTGGTAGGTGGCTTCTCCTTGCGGGAACAAGAAACCATCCTGAAAAAAAGGCCTGATGTGGTGATCGCTACCCCCGGTAGGTTTATCGACCACATGCGCAACTCCGCCAGCTTTGCCATCGAGAATATTGAAATCCTGGTGCTGGATGAAGCAGACCGGATGCTCGAAACTGGGTTTGCAGACGAGCTGGACGAGATCCTAAGGACCATCCCGAAGGACAGACAGACGATGCTTTTTTCCGCTACCATGACCGACAGCGTGGACAAGTTGGTAAGGGTAGGCATGAATCGCCCCGTGCGATTGTCCGTCGACGCAAAGAAATCCACAACGGCAGGTCTCGTTCAGGAATTCGTCCGTCTCCGCCAAGGGCGAGAGGGCGTGCGTCTCGCTACTTTGTGCGTGCTGTGCCAGAATTTCTTCACCAAGCGCACAATCATCTTCTTTCGACAGAAGAAGGAAGCCCATCGTGTCCGCATTGTGTTCGCTTTACTGGGCCTTAGGGCTGGGGAACTTCATGGAAGCATGACACAGGAACAACGCATCAGCGCCGTCGATTCCTTTCGAGACGGGAAGACAACGCACCTCCTCGCCACGGATCTTGCCAGTCGAGGTCTCGACATCAAAAACGTTATGGCAGTCGTCAACTACGAAGCGCCACAGACACATGAGATCTATCTACATCGTGTGGGTCGTACGGCAAGAGCAGGCCGTTCTGGACGTGCCTGCACCATCGCCGCAGAACCCGATCGGAAAGTGGTCAAGGCCGCAGTGAAGAGCGCAAAACAACAAGGTGCGAAGGTCGTATCCCGAATAATGGACGTCGAAGAAGTCAACGCCATGCACCGGCGGCTCGAGGATCTAGATTCGGAGATCGCAGAGGTTCTGAGAGAGGAGAAAGAAGAGAGGCAACTCGCCGCCACCGAAGCCGAAATCACACGCGGAGAGAATCTCATCAAGCACGAGTCTGCAATCATGGCGCGGCCGAAGAGGACCTGGTTCGAGAGCGAGAAAGAGAAGCGCGATGCCAGGAATAAAGGGCGGATGGAGTTGAATGGGCCGGGCGGGGTGGGCGGGGTGAAAGTGAAGACACAGAAGAAAATGTTGAGCAACAAGGATAAGAAGCGCTTGGACAATGCGCGGGAGAGAAAGGAGGGAAAATTGTGGAAGAAACAGAAGGGCAGTGAGCAGGCGGCGAAGGAGATGATGAAGAATGCAAAGAAGAAAAATGGTGGACTGAGAAAGGGTAAGAGGTAGAGGTTGACGGACGGAGAATTGGCCTGTCCATCCAGAGAGCCAGACGCTCGCTAGTCTTCTTGTCTTCCTACCTCCCACGTAGCGAAGACGAACTATGAGCCTCAATGGAAATGCACAAATTCATCCACTTAATCGAGCGTTAGACCAATGCTGCCCCTTTCCGGAGCGGTGGTCAACCGGACTCATGCCACTCCATTCTCTGTGACCGTAAACTTCGCTCTATTACATCTATCTCGGTCGTGGTGATTTAGTTCCTCGCGTGAGTTTATATCGAGGTTGGTATAGTATGCTATCGAACTTGAGGTCTTGATTCCCCTATGATCGACGGCAGCATACTCATTTCGTGCCAGCAGGTTTCAATTTTCCCTGCTTGATCAGGTCATCCACCTTGGGAGGCAGGACCAGTCCGGTACGATCATTCCTTCTGTAAAAGTCGGCCACAATCTGCGCGGTTTTGGCTGGCTGATCTTCTTGAATAAAATGGCCGGCCTCGGGAAACACTTGCAGTTGGTATTTTCCTATGCGCTATGTCAGCAGGGGCGTCAATGAGGAAGAAGAAGAGAGCGTTATTTGAATCTAGCTTGGCCTACCTTGCATCTGGCCAATGGTGAGTTCCTTGTCAAGACGGTCCGTCCCAGCCAGCAGGAGTAATTTGCCTCCACGGGACTCGAGAAATTTCTTGGACAAGCCAACGAACCAGTCTTCCCAGAAGGGTTTGGTGGAAGCTAAATCGGTTCGCCAGAACCATGTGTCTTTGGTTGTTTTTGATTCTTGAAGCAGTGAGGGTACCGAAACTCGAGCGGAGGTGGTGTTCCGGATAGTTCTAGATTTGGTGTGCCACTCAATGCCCGAAGCAAGTGAAGAGAAGGACTTGGGCCTTGTGGAGAGATAGGTGTCCATGCTTTTTAGAGCGTCCATGGCTGAGCCTTCAACCACGTCGAGGACGCCGTATGCTAATAAGGCGTTGCCCAGAAGTTTCTCGTAGGCCACTTCGGTCACGACGGCTCCTCCTAGACTGTGTCCAATCAAAACGATATCTGGTAAAGTTGTCCATTTCATGTACGCCTTCACAGCATTGACGACAAAGGCCACATCCTCGGCTAGAGTTGTTAAGCTGAGGTCTTGAGAAGGCGGGGAGCTACCAGACGAGGTTGTGGTTGTCGTCAGACCATGGCCTCGTGCGTCTAATGAGAGAACACCAGCGTTCGGAAGGAGTTTCAGCAGCTCCGTCGTGAAGGCGGCAAATGACAAGCCTGACGATCCAGCTCCATGATGGGTGACGACGAGCGGGCCAGAAGCGGAGGGAGGGGTCAGATAGACGTGATGGTGGACAGTCTCTGACGGTGTCCTTTGGTCGAAAGCGAGGTCTTGGGCAAAGAAATCATCCCACGGAAGGGGGGCAGTCCGGGATTTGATAGCAGAACTGGGCATGTCAGTCGGTGGCCATTTTGGTCTGGGCCGGGAATGAGAACTCCATATTACCTTCTGGGTTTCGCGAACAGGTTCCGACTGGGCGAGGGGACGATGGTGCCGGTCGAGGATGTTGACGAGGCCGAGGAAGAAGAATCATTTGGAGAGCCCGGTCTCAAAGCGGCCAAATCGTCGCCTTCTTCATCTTGCCCGTCTACAAGAGTGGGAGGCTCTGGCGGGAGATGCGACAAACGTGCTCGGGCAAAGGACTTTTGCAGATCACTCATAACGGGGAATGTCGAGAGTCGGGGATGAAACAAGGCTGTCGATTCGATTCAAGGACTCGAGGGGTGATGGATGAGACGAATGAGGGGTGTGGCTCATGCAGGTGGTGCGAGTGGTTCTGTACTCGGGTACCATGGGTAGTATGGGCAACATGGGCCAGCGGCTTATGGGCGGGTGGGGTGTGTGGCGGTGTCTTGTGATGCATTGTACGTGCTCGATGCGTGTGGTAATGGGCTTGCATGGTGGCGTGGCAAGGGAATCACAACCGTTAGACCGCCGCAGTCGTGGAGGGGGGGAGAAGAGACGTTGGTACGGGCAGTCTGACAGAGGCGATGGTGGCCTTTATGCAGGGGGGGCAAGGGGGTATTCAAGGGCGTTGCAGGGGCATGGTAAGTGTCATGTTTGTCATTTGATTGGATTTTCTCCAAAGCAGCATTGACGCATGCACTTCTGGCTTTTAGCTTCTTGCTTCTGGCTGCTTTCATCTCTGCTCCGTCCTGCAAACCGCGTCCCTCCTCCAATGCCGTGGCTTTGGCATGGACAGACCCATGGCTTGACTTTCCCACTTGATGAATCGCTTGCCACAATTGGCTGTGAACCGAGAGATCAAGACCATGATTCAATGACGATCTCATGGAAGCGAATCCCGTGCTTGAGCTTTGGCAGGTTTCCATGACGTCGTGAAATTCGTACGTGACACCACCAACACGCTCTTTCAAGCCACAAGCTCAGCTCTTTTTTTCCCGCTGTTGTTCTCTTCCTGTCGTTGGCCCAAATACATATTTTCTCTCAGATCTGATGGAAGCATCGCTAACAACATTCACACAATCCCTGCGCCTCGTGGTCGGAACCTAGAGCCTTGCCAGTCCCCTCCCTCCCTGTAGCTCGGATTGATCTTGACTGGCCGTCATGGTCTCTCTCTGGGGAAGCAACAAGAAGGACAACGACCACGCCCCTCGGGAGGAGGATGAAGACAGTGCCACAGCTACCGCGTCCCATCCTCAAGCGAGTGGACCTTCAGCAGAGGCCGATGAACGAACACGGCTATTGCCTCGTCGTGATCGAGGCGTCAGCTTTCTCAGCCCCGATGACCCTGCTGTAGGTCGCGATCAAGGCCAATTCACTAGCAAGCTAATTGCTCACTAGGTGTCGCCTTACAATCTCCTCACAGTGAGAGCCTTGCGATGGCTCGAAGTCTTCTTCCTCGTGATTACCTGCTTGTGGTGGACCCTGCTGTTCATCTCCATCTTCGTCAGTCCTCCGCATTTCAATTCGAGAGGTTCAGGCTTCTTCGATGTGGCCTGGACGACCCTCACCATCGCCAACATTCTGACGGCCTTGCTCTTCTTTGCCACTCCGTCCACCGCCATGAGCGTTCTGAGTATGGGAGTCTCCGTCATCCTGCTGATCGACATGATCATCATCCTCGCGGTGCCGAGAATCAGACTTGAAGAAGGCTGGATCGGGATCGCATCAGTAATATGGGCCGCCTTGATCGGCCTCTACAATGTCATAACGAACAGAACGGTCCAGTGGGGGAAAGCGGAAGAGGAAGTACGCCTTACTGGTCGCCAAGAGACGCGCCGCTCTCTCAGAGAATGGTGTGCTGTCTTTACCGCGACCGTCCTGATGGTCATTTACGTGGTCGTTGTCATCTTGCTTACGGCTGTCCTGGTATTGCGCTCGAGGGACGCCACTCTGCCTGCTCCGGGCAAGCGATATTTGGTCGATGGTGACAAATACGCTGTTCACTTTGCTTGCGTCGGCAATCAAACCTTGGACGCAGACGGCAAGCCAAAGCCCACTGTGCTGCTTGAGGGAGGATATATGCCCGTGGAAGACAGCTTCGAGGGCTGGGTTTTCGATGCATGGATGAATGGCACCATTGATCGATACTGCTACTGGGATCGACCGGGGATCGCGTGGTCCGACAATGCGCCGTCTCCACACTCGGCTGGCATGTCGACGGATGCAATCTCTGAGGCTCTGGCAATTGCAGGTGAGGAAGGCCCGTGGATTCTGGTCTCTGCTGGCATTGGCAGCGTCTACAGCAGGGTCTTTTCTGCTAGGCATCCTCGTGATGTCAGGGGCATGATGTTCATCGATGGTCTACATGAAGACTTGCTCTACAAAGTTGGCGCCCCTGGTCGTGGATTCATCTTGTGGGGACGCGGAATCATCTCTCCGCTCGGTCTCGATCGCTTGGCGGGAGCTTTGTTCAAGGGCCGTACCAAGCAAGACCGAGTGTTCGGCAAATCTTCCTACCAGGGTGGCAAGTTCATCAAGAACAAGCTGCAAGAAAACCTGGTTGCCGACTCATTGACCAAGAACGAGGTGGTCAGCGCTCGCAATATTCAAGATCCCAGCGTCCCTCTTGTTGTAATCACCTCTGGTGTCCATTTGAAAAAGGACAAGGACTGGGAACGAAAGCAACAAGATTTGACGAAAGTGACAGACAAGTTGGTCGCCTGGGACATTGTGAAAGGAGCACCACCGGAGGAGGTATGGAGGTCAGCTGAAGGACGAAAGATTTTGGAAAAGCGCCTAGGGCAATTGTACAAGGGTCCATGATGAGGATGTGTATTCGTTTTTGTTATATTTGCACGAAGCGACGAGCCAGGATTGTTGATATGCGGAATGCCAAGGGCGCTCTTGGGGGTCACATACGAGATGAAATTGCTCGACTTACCAGCACATGATAGGCATCATCCAGGGCTTGGGTCTTTGATTCTTGAGCATTTTCGGGGCATCTAGCGGTTTCTTTTGTACATGTATCTGTATGCACTTGACACAATCGAGGCGCAACAGAGTGGAAAAGCGGTAGAATTCAGTCCCCGTGGGCAGTGTACTCGGTACTGCTCTGAGGGAGGGGTATATCGGCTATACAAGCATAGAGATGCAAGCTTGACAAGCATAAAGTAGGGCAAAGTAGGGCAAAGTAGGGCAAAGTAAGGATCTAATACAAGCAGTGGGCCACTCGTTTATTGCCCTGCATGACGTAAGAATTGGAGCCTGGCCACAAGGGCTTTCGGAGAAGTTCTGCGATCATCCTCGCATGAGGCCTGAACCAACCATCACGTTTGCCATCTAGAGCCTCGCTACCTTCAGGTACAGAAACTCTCGAGGTCACTTCAAACCGCTGCGTTTGCTTTCTTGGCCCTTCGTCAACCTCACCTCCGCCGCCAACTCACCCTCACTGACATCCAAATCTCCTTTGTCCATCTCTCCATCTTCACCAAGGACTTGATCATCTCCTCGATTTTATACCGGCTTTGGGGGGCACGCACTTGTTCTTCCCATTCCCCGTCTGTGCCTCCTTCCCCCGCATCATCCACCATGTTACTACGATTCGAATCAAAATGGGGCCAGTTCCGCCTGAACGTCGAGCCTGACCAGCAGTTCTCGTCCCTAGCCTCCAAGGTATAATCCCGGTCCCCGCGTACGAGGGGAACCGCTGAGTTTGAACTGATACCCATGTGTCCAGATCCTCGACAACCTGCCCCCAAACACCGATGCCTCGTCGATAGTACTAAGCAACAAACCCGTCAGCTCGAAACCGGACCCGGCCAGAGAGAGGCGTCTCGTCGAGCTGCCGGGCGTGGAACTGCGCCAAGTTGGACTTAAACATGGAGACAAACTGTACATCGGATTCACGCAACTCGAGACCATGGCCAACGGCCACACGAATGGCGACGGCCCCTCCGCCCCACGACGGTTGAATGGCACGGTCGCCCTGCCAGAACCTACCGCTCCCGTGACTTCGCCAACGGTGAGCTCTCCAACATTAGTGAAAAATCCGTGGGAAGTCGTCAAACAATCCGCGTTGGACGACAGGTTAGACAAGCTGGACGGCAAGATTTCACGACCGAGAGATCTCAAAATGTGTCGGCATGGGCCCAAAGGCATGTGCGATTATTGTCAGCCTCTGGAACCCTACGACAAGAAATACCTTGACGAGAAGAAAATAAAACATCTGTCCTTCCACAGCTATCTGCGCAAGATCAATTCCGCTACCAACAAGCCTGAATTGAAGAGCTCTTACATGCCACCACTTAGCGAACCCTACTACCGAGTCAAGAAAGACTGCCCTTCCGGTCATCCTCCTTGGCCCGAAGGGATCTGTACGAAATGCCAGCCGAGCGCTATCACATTACAACCGCAAGAATTTCGTATGGTGGATCACGTTGAATTTGCCACTGCAGAGATGGTGGATAAGCTAATTGATTTCTGGAGAAAGTCCGGCAGTCAGCGGCTAGGATTTCTCTATGGCCGATACGAAGAATACACGGAAGTACCCCTAGGTGTGAAGGCTGTGGTTGAAGCTATATATGAGCCCCCGCAAATGTGCGAAGTCGATGGACTCACACTACTGGAATGGCCCAATGAAAAAGATGTCGACGAGGTTGCCCGTCTTTGCGGACTTGAGCGGGTAGGAGTCATTTTCACCGATCTACTGGTTCCAGAGGAAGGAGAGGGCCAAGCAGTTTGCAAGCGACACATCGACTCGTATTTCCTTTCGTCTCTTGAGATCGCATTCGCTGCACGGCTCCAAGCTCAATACCCGAAGCCTTCGAAGTGGAGCGAGACTGGTCGATTCGGCTCAAATTTTGTGACCTGCGTCGTTACTGGAGATGAGGACGAGAGCATCACAATCCGAGCTTACCAGGCCTCGAATGCTGCTGTCGAGATGGTTCGCGCAGATATTGTGGAGCCGTCAGCAGATCCCTCGGTGATGTTGGTGCAATCGGAAGATGACCAAGCGCCGAAGGGCAGAACTCGATACATCCCTGAAGTCTTCTACCGTCGGATCAATGAATACGGTGCGAATGTGCAAGAAAACGCCAAGCCCAGCTTTCCTGTGGAATATCTGCTGGTATCTTTGACGGCGGGAATGCCAATCAACCCCAACCCTCTCTTCAAGAATAGCAAGTTTCCTGTTGCCAATCGAGAAGCTGTGGCGGAAGGTCAGGATCCCTCAGATGTGGCCAAACAATTGCGCTCGTCACAATCAGTGGACGCAGTTTCCGACTTCCATCTGTTGTGCTTTCTGCACGGCATGGGTGTTTTCGGCAAGGTAAGTTGGGACCCTCTACGGGCAGCAGCATTTCATTGACCATGATTGCAGGACGAAGAACAGATTTTATGTCGAGTGGCGACCACGCGTGATCAGGTGGACGCAATCCATTTGACCGAATCACCAGGATGGGGGACGCTGTTGGCGATACTCGAAACATACGGTGAGCGGCCCTTGAAGCGTCCGTGGCGTTTGCAGGCGGATGATGAGTCTTTCGACCCTGGCAGCCCGTCAGAAAATCTGGCTAAGCGATTCAAACAGGCCGCTAGCCTCGACCGCTGAGGAAAGCTTCTGAGAGCCCGAACTCGACGAGATTTCAGTCGCCCACTGTGCCACGATTGTGCACGATTCACGCAGTCTTCCTGGATAGCGGACCGGGGAGGCTACTCAGGTACCGGTGAAGGACTGACATTGGAGTTGCATAACATGGGGCTAGGGTTGTACAACAAAACAATGACGATAATACGCAGGGACTAGTGGATGATGTGAATGACAAAAGCGTCTGAGCAACGGCACCAAATGTGGAGAAAATATGTCAATCTGGAAGGAATCATCACCAGAGGAGATGAGCCGGGCTGGATCGACATGCAGAAGTCCTGAGAGAGAGCGAGAGCATATGGTAAAAGGGCTAGAGGGGACGACCCCGCTACAGTGATCAACAAACGTCAAGTGGGTGATCGACAGAGGCCAGGTCCGGATGAAGTGACCAAACAAACATGTCCGGGAGCAGGCTCCAGTAGGAGCAGCGTCGTATGTAGGCGCAGTTCCCTTGATCTCATAGTCAGCTGCGCCATGAAAGGCGTACGAGAGGATGTGAACGAGTATCCACTACCATTGCGTCTTTTGTCCTCTTTGCTCCCAGTGACGTGTACATGGATGAGGGCTGACGAAGTGATGGAGGCCAAGAAAGTAAAACATTGATCATCTGCCATTTTGCTTTGCTGGAGAATGATGATTGCGGTGCGACAAATGATGGGTTGGCTTCTAGAAGGCTGATGGAAGCCTGAGGAGGCCGAGGTGGCGGAGGAGGAGGGGGCAAAACAGTTTCCCGTGTGCCTGGACGAAGAAAGGGCAAGGGTTGTCCATCGATCCCCAAAACAGAGATTGGTCCAGCTAGGGAAGGGTAAGCTCAAGAAGATAGATGATGTTGGCGATGTGAAGAAAGAGGATGCCTTTCCCGTTCACACCGCATACCACGTAGGCTGACATAGCAGGCAGCATATGGTGGTGACGGGAGGAGTACTCGTGCTTGTGTAGGGCACCCACTGGGCATCCACAGGTCGCCCGCAGGTGGTACTGATTGCTGGGTACGGAGTACTGCCACCAGCTGCAGTGATGATGGTGACCAAGGGAAATGGTGGGCAGTGGGCCTTGGCCCTCTCCGAGGGTGAGTTGGTGAGCAGCCAGGCGGGTGAGCAAATGTGAGCATGAGGCATGAGCATGAAGGTGAACATGGAGGACCCTTGGGACCCCTAACTCGAGTTAGAAGGGCTTGCCGTTTGACTGCCGCCCGCATGCCCATTGGCCCATGGATGGCCCCCCCCCCCAGCCCTTGGGTGGCCCCCCTCGACCGGCGCTCAGTGGCCGTCATTGGCCTGCATTCGCTGCATTGGCATGCTCCGCACTTCGATTGCACCTTCGCTCGCGCTTCTCTTCGGCTTCCCTTGCGCTTCCTTTTTCCTTCCATCCCAGATCCACCCCCATTGCCAGACCCAATTGTGCTTTGTGCCCGCTGCCACTGGCCCAACCTAGCCCAGCTAATCCTTTGGGGGGTTCGCCCTAAACCGACTAAACTTCTGAGGGCTCGGCCTTTCGATTTCACCCTCTGTCGCCCCCAGCGAGGCCACTCGCAGTTACTTACCACTACCACTGCCACTATCACTACTACCACTTACCCTGACCTCCTGTGGCCGACCAAGCTCCATCCTCTCTCCCACTGCCTGCTCAATATCACCCTTGCTCGTCCCCGACTGAATTGTGCGATCGGATCATCGCCAGGTCACTTCCATCCGCTCTCCGGCGAGCTGTCTGTGTTCCGCCTGTCTGCAGCATCAGTCACCTCCCCCCGGCGGCGTCTGCGACCACCCGAAGACTCGAAAAACTTGACAGCTGCGACCTACCACCCACTCGCACCTTGCCTCACCATCCCTCACCCACAGTCCCCGAGTCTCGACGGTATCGAACTGGCGCAGCCTGAGCGTGTTCAACTCGCCTCATTTTGGCCCAAGCGATCTCGTCGAGCTCTCGAGCCAGAGCCCGTCCAGGTCTTTCCGTACACCAAAAGTGAAAAGAGCAAAACACTTGCCCGCTCCTTCGAGGACAGCCGTCTTCTGGCGCAATGGGCCTGCAATAGACACATCTTGCTTGTCCACTTCTCTGCCAGATCCATTGTAAATTTGTCCAGTCTCATACCAGCATAATCGAGGTCTCACAAATCGTCCCGGCGGCCCTTTGATCGCATTATGGGCCCGTAAGGCCTCTCGACGCGACCGTCTCTCCTCTTTTCCATACGAGCCATCGCTGACGCCATGGACCCCTCCGCCTGTCGAGTGATATACATTGACGAAAGATTCAACACGGAAAGATGGATTTCTAGAGAGGGGCTGTCTCCTACAACGCCCGCAAGAGCAGGTTCGCAGGTGGAATTCTCGGACCTGCCCCTCGACCTACAAACCAACGTCAACGCCTTTCTGACCGTCTTCAATCAGGGTAAGCATGGCTGCTTCTTCACGGGTCCCACGCCGGCTGACATCGAGACATTCAGTGTATGTATGTAGCTCTGGAAGGGCGTTTTCCACAAAGTTGTCCGAACTTCACGACCAGGTCAAGCTCGACTGTACCCCGATTCTCGCCTGTATCGACGTTGGCTCCGAGTCCAAGCATGAGCACACAAAGGCCAAACCGAGATTCTTTCCGTCGTCCGACTCGCCATTACCGTCCCCAAGCTTGCTGAGGAAGGAGATCACCTTCTCCTCCGAATCCGACGAATCATACGGTCTTCAACTTTTGTCTCGAATAGCGTCCGACCTACAAGTTGATGAAGGTGTCAAGTTGATAATACCGGTGGCAATTGTCCAACCCAAACGGAATGATTCTCAGGACCAGGCTGTGGACACCGACCCTCAACCCGAGGTGTCCCGCGCACCATTTGGCCCGGAGTCCAAGCCCGTCGCAATCCAAGACAAGTCCGATATTATCGATGCTCAATTAATGTTACAGTGTCTGGATGCTGGCGCGCTGGACGTGGTAAAGAGCCCATTGGACAAGGCTGGGATAATGGGTCTGACAGTCCATGCTTACCGAATATACAAAAATGCGAAAAAGGAGCAGGCAGGCTTCATGGCCATGGCGCGGAGGAATCGCAAGCAATCATGGGTGGGTATGGAAGAGGAGAAACCCTATGCTTATCTTCGAGAGGCCATGGTGAAGAAGCTGCTCAAGGGAATCTGTGAACCGCAAAATATCATCGAAGACTACCAGCATCGTGACCTGTATGTGCAAGAGTCGCGAAAAGAGGCTGTTGCAGAAGCTGTTGGCCGCTGGGACTTTTCTGGACACGACTTTACAGAGGATGAACTCGTCTACGCTGGTTATTTTATGCTCAACCATTGCCTTCAGATGGAAGAGTGTGAGCAATGGAGCATGAATCAACGTAAGTCGCCCCTTTCAATTGGTGTCGTTGCAGGTCGCTTACAGATGACACAGGCGACCTCCTTCACTTCATGCAAGGCTGTCGCATAGCATACAATTCTTTCGTCCTCTATCACAACTTCAGGCACGCTGTCGACGTCTTGCAATCGGTGTTCTACTTCCTCCTCCAAATAGGTACCCTGCCACCGTATCCTGCTGGCGCCCAGCCATCTCGTTTTGCAGACAAGAAATCACCAATTGCCCGCTTATTAGGACCCTTTGAAGCTCTGACCCTCTTGGTCTCGGCAATTGGACACGATGTCGGTCACCCTGGGGTCAACAACATGTTTCTGGTCAAATTAAACGCACCTCTTGCACAACTGTACAACGACCAGTCCGTTCTGGAGGCCTTTCATTGTGCGGCTTACTCTCAGATTCTCCGACGCCACTGGCATGCTGCATTTCTGGACAAGGCTCTTCGGAAATTGATGATCAGTACCATCCTCGCGACGGACATGGGTATCCATTCCGACTACATGCAACAACTGGGCAACTTACAGGAGAAGATTCACGAAAGCGGAGTGACTGATGGATGGTCCCCAAAAGACATTGATTGGGCGCGGACCTTGACTTGTGGATTGTTGATTAAATGTGCTGACATCAGCAACGTGGTATGTCGCATCACCCAGCTTCTAATCCGTTCATCTACTTACGGCAAACAGGCGCGACCGTGGTTGGTGGCAGAGAAATGGACCCATTTACTACAGAAGGAGTTTGCCCATCAAGGCGAAATGGAGCAAGCCGTTGGAATGGAGACGACACTCTTCGGCGGTCCGCCCGAGTTGGGCAACATGCTGAAGCTGGCTAATGGTCAAATTGGCTTCATGACCATCTTTGCACATCCGCTTTTTGCGAATGTTGCCGACATAATTCCGGCCATGCGGTTTGCCGCCGACGAGATCCTCACAAACAAAGGCGTTTGGTTTACAAGAGCCGAGCACGAAAAGAAACTGCAGCTCATCAAGAAGGGAACAGGGCATGGTGATGGTGGTTCAATAAGCCCCAGAACTCAAAGCCCCGTCGGCCGAACGCAGGACTATGGGAAGGAGAAGCACTTGCCAACTTCACCGCTCCGGGGTCGAGACGGGTCGCCAGACAAGCCTCACTCTGAATCAGGACGTGGCCGGAAGAGTGGTAACACTACTCCACAGAACAGCTCTAGGCGGTCCTCGTTAGCAGCTGCGGCAGGCATAGCTATTTCGGCTGCTGAAGGAACCCCACGTCGTGGATCAGCCTCGAAGCCCAACCAGAATTTGAAGTTGTCAGAGCGGGAGCGGTCGGGATCGGCGCTCGTCAACGGTGAACACATTCCAATGGAACTTACGCTAGATGGCTCCCGCGGTGGTGAGAGAAATAATGACACCAACTCTAGCGGCACTCCGAGGCTAGCATCAACAGCAAACGACGTCGGTGCAGAGTCTTTACAACCCCTCAATGACAAAAGAAGAGACAATGCAGTATCAATGCGTGCAGGGACAGAGGCCATTCCACAGGAGGCTCTTGAACAGAGCAACGTATCAGATGCAGAGGCAATGCAAAAATTCAATTTTGCCACCTCGAAGAAGGATGAGCCAGTGCGGACGTACGATCCCCAACAACAGTACAATCCTTCACATCCTGGTCTACGCGCAAGCGCACCAGCAAGCGACGTGGAGTCGAAAAAGCCTAAAGTCGACGCGATCGACACGTCACCACCAGCGAGATGGGCCCAGAGCGACAACACGTCGAGCGCTATTCTGAGAGGAGGCGGCGGTGAGGGACATATTTTAACTCCTAGCGGGAGCACTGAAGCAACAAGCTATACCTCAGACAAGAGCGAAGAATTGATAAGACTTCGAAACAGTCTTCAAGCCATACGCAACCGGGCAGTAAGTGCACCGATGCACTCGGGAAGTCCGGTACTGAGACCCAGTTTTAGCATGGGGAGTAACAGCGCAACTAGCCGAGAAAGCAGCAAATATGACATTCATACAACGATCTTGAGTAATGGGGATGTGGAGGAAGCAAGCACGAAAGACAGAAAAGCCAGCACCAAGACGATGGGCAGGAGAAGGAGTAGGCTAAAGCTCGGGCTAGCATTCTGGAAGAGAAACCGGAGTGAGAAGAGCATTGAGGGTGAAGTATTGAGGCCGGATAGTCAGGGGAGTGGAGGAAGAAGGTGAGGGCCCTCAAGAGGAGCAAAGGATTTGATTTACAGCGTTGCGGGTGGCATTTGTCTGGATCTTGAGAGCTGTTTGGGAGGCACTGTTTCATCAAAACGCGGGTTTGTGAAGATTATGGGATTTGGGGGTTTCTGGGAGTTCCGCGCTCCCCTTTATTCTTGGACGGCTTCCGGTTGCCAGGGGGTGGGGGTTTGAACCTGATTCACGATGGGATGGACGATTCAGAGCATGAAGGAGAAATGCGCATGGTCGCTTCTTATGATGTAACTCATGGGAGGACAACAAAGGGTCGACAGGCATGAAGACACGGGGTATGAAAAGTCCTAGGAAGGCCCAGTGGCGACGCTGAGGCTGAGGTGGGATTCACTGATTCAGCCGGGCGACTTGAAGCATACTATGCCATAGCTATAAATTTAGTGTACTATGATCGAGTTTGTCCGGGTACGGGATCACGACTTGACAGATAGAAAAGGCTCTCTCGTAATTCCGTGGTTTGTATTGTATTGTATCTCGGCATTGCGTTGCATATCTATTCATCCACTTTCAGACGACGTCCAGCCTGTGGGGGGGGGTTCAGCGGAGAGCGCTCTTGAACTGCTTCAGGAAGGCGTTCTGGGGTCGGCGCCATGCGGAATCAGCACCAGCACCAGCACCAGCACCTCTCGCTTTTTTCTTTTTTTCGGTCTTCGCGCCGTCGGCCTCCCTGGCGGTCTTGTGGGCTTTGTCGACAACGCCATGGTCGCTCGGGCTGGGGCTGGGGTTTCTCTCCTTGCCCACGTCCCACTCCCTCTCTTCGCCCTTCTTGCGCCATTTCACGTCGCGGGCGTCGCCTTCTTCGCCCCCGTCCCCGCTGCCGGCCAGCAGGGTACGAGACGAAGCAGACTTCTCCCACCGCTTGATCTCCTCCTCGCTAAAGCCCGCGTCTTTCATGCGCTCGGCCTGCTTCGCGCGCCACGCTCTCCGGTCTCGAAGCGCGGAGAGGGCGGACGTCCATTCGTCCTGGTCGCCTTCTCCGTCTTCCGGGTTAAGGTCATCTGAGTCGACGAGGCCCGCGTCGTGCGTGGAGGGGTCGTATGTCGGGGAGAAGTGGGCGTCGATGTTCGAGCGGGACTGATGCAACGACCGGTGATGGAAGCCTCGGCCACGGCGCTGCGGACATTGGTCGTCGGGCGGTGTTGGGCGTGGGCCGATGAGATACGAGAGAGGATCGTCAGTGGTGGAAGTGGAGGATATTGAAGGCGTGCGAGTGCCATGTTTCACGCCCTTTTGTCCTTCAGGCTCTGGATCAGTGGGTGGAGAATGTCGGCGAGACTTTCGCTCATGCCCCTGCTTTTGCCTGTCTTTTATATTTCTCTCTTTCTCCTTCCTTTCCCGACTTCTAGACCTAGACCGTGAACGAGATCTAGGTCGGTGCGATGAGATGCGGTGTCGGGTTCTTCTGTGGTTTGAGCCCTCGTCGGGCTCGTCCGTCTCGTGCCGCCGTCGCCGTCGTCGCTTGTGCTCAGGGCTCCTGCTCCGTCTTGAATCTCGGCCTCTCTCACGTTCGTCTGTCCGGGATCCCTTGTCGTCGCTTAATCGCCTTCGCTTCCGCTCCCGGTCATGACGCCCTTCGTTTTCCCGCCCACGCCCAAGTCCCTTGGAACTCTGCTCAGCGTCTCTGATCCTTTTCAGACGGATCCTTGCCTCCAATTCTTCCTTCTCTTTCAATTTGGCATTGTGGCTATCGGCTTCTCGAACGAGGGTCTTCAGAAAGCGGGTATTCGGCTTCGGTGCTGAACCAGGAGGTCTTTTGGGCAGCAGGGCAGACAGGCCCTGGGAGGCATACCGCATCGAGCTCCTCCTACCATCCTCGACGAGGAGCTTAGTGACGTAGTCGTCATCTTCAACAAGATCTCCCGAAAGCGACATGATTCAGTGAGAGACCTGCATTGTATCTTAGCAGGAAATACCGTATCTTGCAGTGTCGGACACGCTACTTACCTTGGAGAATGGAAATAGATATCTACGTACGTAGTGGTTGGGCAGGGAACATTGCTCCCACATTCGGCGCACCTTCCTCCCAGCAACTCCGCAACCTTGTGTCCGACTCAATGGACTCCAGACGTTGCTTCCCTGCCAGCGAGGCAGGACCAGCTTCAGGAAATCAATGCTACACAGATTCTAGGAGTCTAATACTCTCCGCTCCAGATGCTGTCTCGACTCAGGCGTTTCATCAGGGTAGATCCCATCCCCAACACCGGTTCCGTGGCTCGCGATCTCCTTGCCTCGGAGAGAACCTTCCTCGCTTGGGCTCGAACCGGACTCGGATTCATTGCTCTGGGTGTCGCGCTGGAGAAGGTGGAAGCCTTTGCGGCTCTGTCGCCCACATTATTTCACCTCAAAGACTCGAGGACGAAACTTGCGGCCGGCGTCCTCGTCGCGAGCGGGAGCTTATGCGTTGGCCACGGAACGCTGCGCTACTTCTCGACTTTGCGTCTGTTACGGGAAGGGAAGTTCAGACCCAACACTGGCGGGATAAGCCTCATGGCGATGACTTGCATTGGGATCGCGGTGGCTGGAAGTATTCTGGTAATAGAGAACGAAGCAGAGCAGGAAAGAGCACGGGAGAAAGAGAAGCAAAAGATGTGATACAAGGCAGTCTTCCAGGTGTCTAACAATCGGTGCGCCCGAGTCTATCGGTCTAGCTGTTTGTCGACACAATTCAGCAGATCCGGGCAATGGATCCCATCCCCAAACACTCGCCAGCCGATTATGCCGCAGAAGTCCCATACGGCCTTGTCTGGGCAGCCTCGATGTCAACGTACCCATAGTTGCTGGCGTCACCCGAGCCCATCTTTTGCGCCCAAGCGCCCAAGTCCTTCAGGAAGGCATCGACGTTCTCCTGGACCGACATATCGATCGGTTCTTGGTCTTTGCCGACCTGCCTTATCTGCGACCCAGCAATGACGTTGGTGAGGCCGAAGTCATCTTGGTCGACCTTTTGTTTGATGGCGCCCGATATCTTGCCCTCCAACATGTCCTTGGCGATACGGAACTCCTGGCAAACCGGTCGACCAAGCCCGACGCCATCCACAGTCTTCAGAGCGTTCACCATACCATCCAAGGTCTTGAAGCCGCCGGTTACATACGTCTTTGTTTTCTTCAACCCTGGAGTGATGTTGTCCGCAAATTCAAGGAAAAAGGCCTCCCGCTTCTTGGTCGATTCTCTCTTATGTGTAAATGCCAGGGACTGATACGTACCACCCGAGAGTTCGACAAAGTCCACCTCGTTCTGCTCCAGCAGGACGCACAGTTCTTTAGCTTCTTCGGCGGTGAATCCGCCCTCCTGGAATTCGACCGAGTTGATTTTAATGCCAAGGACGAACCCCGATGATGCGGGCAGTTTGCGACGAATGGACTGCGCGATCTCTAGGATGAGCCGAGCACGATTTTGTAGAGATCCACCGTATTGATCGGTCCTCTTGTTGGTCGTCTGACTGAGAAATTGTGCTAGGAGGTAGCCATGAGCGCCATCTGGACCTATCGTTAGCACCCAAAGTTTCTCGGGGAGGCTGAGGCGCTGCGGGCTAGGTACAAGCACCCTTCGGGGACTTACGAAGCTCGATACCGTCATAGCCAGCCTTGGCCAGATACTCGGCAGCATGGGTGAAACGGTTGATGATGTCCTTGATTTCTTCAAGAGAGGCTGCATGAGGTTTCGCGAATTTCATGCCCATCAACTCCCCCTCCAACTGGACGTCACTCGCAGAGATCGGATCAGACTCGAGCCTCTGGTCGACTTGGCGGCCTGGATGGCTGACCTGGCCAACGACCAAGCTTCCGTGTGCTTTGGCTTGACTTGCGAGCTCCTTGAAGGCTTCGAAGCGGCTTCCCTCAAACGGAGCTGCAGGCGGGATGATCGGGTTACCGGCTGAAGATGCTGTCAGTCTCATGGGCTCTATGGGATGCAAGCCACTGGTGAAGGAGACGTACGGGCTTCTAAACTCTGGTAGTCGATCATGATATTCCCCGTCAAAATCAGCCCAAGACCGCCCTCCCCCCATCGTTGATAGACGCGAATGAGTTGTTTGGAGGGAACCCCCCGTTTCTCCTTGTGGACCGGGTCCCATGACGAGAGGCGCTCGGTCATGGCGGCCTTGAGGAACCTGTTCGGGGCCGTCTTTCCGCTGAACTCGAACTTCAAGGGCTGTCCCAGCGGGGACGCGTCTGTGATCTGGGAAGGCATTCTGTCACTCATTGTGAAATGGCTCGAGGGACGAGAAGCAAAGCCTTGGCTCAGGTCGACTTAGGTGACGGATTGTTTTGTGTTGCTCGCTGGTGTATCTATGTCCCGGACTAATATTGTCTTTATCGCTGGGAAGGGCAAATAGACCTACATACATAGACCTAGATGGGATGTACAAATACCCAGGTACGTACATGTTGTACTTGACCTATTTCCGACCGAGGCCCGCCGGCCGGGTTCCCTTCGAGAAGCCTCCATGACATATGTTCCATGTTTTTTTGTAGTTTGTATTTGTAACTTGCAAATGGTCTGTCACGTCATGAATCAGACTCCACTGACAGAGTCCACCGGGGAAATCTGCATATGCACATGCCGGCCGAAACAACGAATCCCATCGATCCTCTTCTTCCCTCCCGTCATCAAAGGGACCAATTCCCAGAGTGACACCGGCATCAATGCCCGAATAAGGTGCAGACCAACGGCAGAGGCCCAGAACGGCCGAATGGTCGAGCCGCGCCGCCAAGGGCTTGCTTGCCCAGGCGGTGGTCGTCGCAGTACACAGTACATAGTGGGATGTACAGAGTATGAAAGATGTGAGGGCAGACCGGAAATACAATGCCGGCAGGGCGAGAGAGCTCGAGCTGTCGGTTTGATTAATCAGCAGCAATGGCGGCCACAGTCCATTGGAGATGTGCATGTATACCTCCTCACCTAGGTACCTGGGTACATAAACACCGTGCACCTTTGTCAGCTGTGTATGTACTATGTGTGCAGCTGTTGAGCTGGCTAGCCTGGCCAGGACATTGGTGAGATGCAAGACGCCGCTCGACGCCGGTTTGGAATCGCATCCATCCCTCCGTCCCCATCGCCCCTTTTTTACCTTTTTTTTTCTTTTCTTTTCTTTTTTTTTTTTTTTTTTTTTTTTCCTTTCTTCTGGTTTTGGGGGGAGCATGGCTCGCGGACTCGGAGCCAACTGAAGAAAGGAATGGAACCACGTTGCGGGCACAGCAAGGAATCGGGCTACTGCCTTCCTGCCTGCCTGCCTGCTGAGGTCATTCTAGTCCATGGGGAGCTGCCAAGTCTGAGGCCGTCTACAGACCTCTAGCCCGCGAGACTCTATGCCGTGTCCTTTTCGGGAGTGTGTGTGCAGGTGAGTTCCCCCGTTGCAGAGAACTAGTATTAGGAAGTCTATTGCGGAGACGGGTCTGTCGCGGACGGCGACAAGGAGCGACGACGAAAAGAGGTGGCAGGGGGATCGTGTGAGCTGATAATGCGACCAGAAGGGCTGTTTTACCGCTTTTACTGTTCGAAACCTCCGCATTGGGAGCAGGAAAGAAGAGACGACCCAGGTAGATAGATATCCACGGCACGATTGATCTATCTCTTGGGGCGGGTGTGATCCAGCGGCAGAAACCAGGTGGCTAACGACGACCGCTCGGAGCAGTCAGGCAGAGGATGCCGCCACGGCTGATGAGCTCAGGTTGGTGTGGGCATAGAAAACTGAGATAGGAGACCTAAGGGGAGTATCGAGGAGACAAAATCGTGTGTATTTGATCTATGTGAGCCGTCTTGACTCTTTAATTAGCCTTCAAGGCCCCTTGAGGTTAGTTGTTGAATATCCTTCTCGATTAGCGTGGTGCTCCTACGTGGGGAAAGAGTGCATTCATCGCTGACAACCTGGTAGAAAAGGACTCTGTCAGTTTCGAACCCACGCTGATGATATCGGTATAGGCGTGAGTGTGCGGCGTGGAACATGAAATCGTCACCTCCTCCCTTGAATGAGCAATTCACATACTCGCTGGGGAATTTAGCCGCCTCGGCCCTCGATCGAGTATCGAGAAGTGTGGGCTGAGGGTGCTCGCTGAATGCATCCATTCCGATCCCTGCATGACAGAAGCCATGGAAGTATAGGGGCGAGCTCTTGTCACAGTCCCTTCCCACTCATCTGATCCCTTGACTCTCGTCCCTTCTACACGGTCACCCATCACCGAGATCACAATGCGGTACCCTCCTGCCTCCAACAATCTACAAAGTAAGACCTCCCCTAACCAGCCGGGTAGTGAAATATTGGTGTCCAGGACCGCTTTGCACTCAAGAAAACTACCCGGGTCTCATGTCCAAGCATAACGACTGTGTTCGCACTGTCATCACCTCTGGGAGCAATAGAGGCATTATGGTGGTTGTGCCCTTGGAGCTTTGATATCGAATCGAAACAACGCGAATATAGGCATGAAGGGCAGAGCGTGCAGATCGTGGTATGGGCAGTTTGAAATGTGGAACGGACACCTGCATCAGATGTAATTTCTTTCATTTTCTGGCCCCCAAAAACAGGCCGCAGAAAGGTTCCCTATCCTGTCGTTTGCTCTCCAAGCGTCCACCCATCACAACTTGTCATTCTTGTGAACAATCTTGCTATCTCGCCCAAAATGTCTCTCCACCTCTGGCAGCATTCTGCTGCCGTCAGAGAACTCCAGCTTGTCAATCCACACCTTCGCCTGCTCGAAGAACGACATCTGGATCATGTTCTGAAGCGACGAACGCAAAATGATCATCTCTACGCCCTTCCACTTGCTGGGCACACGGCGCATGGCGGCTTTGGCCGATGATTCGATCGCCGCGCCAAGAGTCTGGTTAGGAGTGGAGGAGGGAAGAGAAGAGCCCACCAGGTTATTCTGTGCGCGGGTTTTCATCGTGTCGAGTGGGTAGGTCTGTCAAGGAAGGTTGTCAGAATCAAAACAGGAAGAATATGAGCGAAAGAAGTGCCCAATGAACGTACCACAACCCAGGCGCCAACGCCGCAAATTGCTCCCGCCATCGCAATCGCGCCCGCAGAATTAGCCTTCTCAGCACCATAGTACGAGTTCAGTGATTGCTTCGTGGTCTCATAGACTCCGAAATAGATGCCGCTGCCAATGACATCCCGAACCAAATGCAGTCGGAACCCAGTCCAGAGGCCCAGGGGACCCCGTCGGGCGATGATGCGCTTCATGGACGTCCAGGAACTGACACGGCCGACGTTCTTGGGACCAACGGGCGTTGGTGCCGCCGAGGTATGATCAACTTGAGAGGCCATGAGGACGGAAGTTTGTGTTGCATTCTTGATGAGTTCGACGGGAGCTGTAAATTATTAGAGTCATGTCTATTGTCAAGGGGACCCGCAGGGAAAGCATACTCAAAGCCACGGCGGTAACGGCACCCGAGACCATTCCTGCTCCAGTAAAGCAAGTCATGGTGTACATGTCAGGGTAAGTGCCGGGTATGTTGACATGCTGAAGAGGAGATCGGCCAGTGGCCGCTTCGATCCAGCCGTCAAACGTGTACTTTGCCTTCCGATAGATGGAGAAACCAAGGGCCCGCGAGGTGGTGATCGAGACCAACGGATTGAACGTGCCTGGAGTGATTAGTTCCTGCCTTCTGTCCCGCGGTTCTTGCTCTTACCAGCCCAGAAACCACGGAGGCCTTCGGTGCGGTAAGTGTACTTGGTAGCTTCCAAGGCATGTGCGAAATGACGCCTGATCATCATCAGCATTGGCTACCGTCCCGAATTTGAGTTGCTCGCTTACGATTGCATTCGGACCTTGACATTCTCAAGAGGAGCCTGGGGAATTGTCAAATGGTGCACCCCACAAGGTCGGTTTCATGCCACTCACCCCTGCGATCACGGCAAAGGCGCATGCGGGAGCCGAAGAGAGAACCTGTCTGTACTTTTTGGCGTAGTAGATTCGAGTGTCGGTGGAGCTCCAGCCGGTGTCCAACTTGGATTGGGTAGCCATAGCTATGGGGGGTTGTGATGATTTGGAGGGACGTTTCGAAGTTGGACCATAATCAAGAGGTGAAGAATCGTCGGCGGTTTTGCTGGCATGATTCATCGCCCCAGCGATGGTGGTCGTTTATTGACCACAGTACGGGCAGAAAAACTGACGTGCGTGTGAATTTCTCCCTTTTCCCGTCGCGGGGCGCCGGCGAGCACAATATTATTTCCACCAGTGTCCGACTCTTGCTCGCTCATGCGCACAATGGGCTGCGGAACCCGATGGAACGCAAGATAGATCTCTCAATCGGTGTGACTGAGAAGATCCCTCTGCGTTCCACACTCCATCACAGGCCCGGGCTTGTTCGAACTCTGTCTCCCTCGCAAGCACACCGACGGGGGACAATTTCTGCCAGAGCACAAGGCCACTTCCTGGAAACGGCACCGAAGCGTTCAGGAGGGAAATGGCGGTGCTGTGACAGTCGACTGGAGGTAGCTCCTTGATCAATTGAGCATGCAGATCAGAGATTAGCCTTTGCGAGGTAAGAGGACGGCGGTGGGAAGCTGACGATGCGGCAGACGGTGATCTTTGAGGGGCAGGCCAAAATGTTGACCTCACAGCCCAGCAATCGAAGGGCTGGTGGTTCAGTTGAGATGGACGGGCGTTGTCGGGGTCAAGAACATGTGTCGATAGGGAAGGATGTGAGCACGAGAGACAAGAAAGAGGAGAACAAAGCAATTCAGAGCATCCAGGACCGAGCAAGACCAAGAATGAGAATACCATGTGCAATGAGCCTGGCCGTACCACGGTTTGTACGGTGTGGACTGGCAGCGATGGCAGTGAGTGGCAGTCTTGGTGCTTGCAGTGTGGGTTGGTGGCATTTGGTAAGGAATGAACGCATGAATGCATGAAGTGGGGGGGGTGTCTAAGGGTGTCTCCATGTCGCTTTCACCAATCTGCTGCCTCCAGACACCAGCCCGTGACGTCGAGCGCGGTGGAGGTGTCGCCTAATTGGACCAGTTAGGCATCCCTGGGGCATCCCTGGGGCATCCCTGGGGCCTTGCTGCGCCCGTCTGGGCCTCGCTCGGCCCTTGGATTGATGCTTAGTTCGTCATTTGGGCGGCCATGATTCGCATGTCGATTGACCGTTTCCAATCGCCATGCATTACTGTGTGTCAAGCCAAAGGAAAGGCTTTGCCGATGTCTGGCGATGGGAGCGAAGACAGTAGCGTGGTTTGTTCAAGCAAGAGAGGGAGGAAGAAGTAGAGGGGCTTTGGCAGGGGACACAGGGAGTCAGGGACTGTGACACGGTGAGCCAAGAACCCTCAAATGATGCCACAATGCACATAACCTACAGTACCGGGTACCAAGCAGGCAGCTCGGGTAGGTATGCCCAGGAGTGCCCAGGAGTGCCTCCCACCGCGGCGTCTTCTCGGAGCAGGGAGCTACATTAATCCGAACATTGCCTAGGTAGCGGAGGACGGAGAGTAGGGTACTGGGTATCCTTGGGTATCGCAGGCAGCGCTGAGCATCCAACTAAACCCCGCAAGCCATGGCGCTGTCGGTCCACGCCCTCACTGCCGAGGTCCTGCGAGGTCCAAGTAGTAAATAATGCCGAAGACGAAACGAGGCTATAACAAGTCCGTGGAATCTCACCTCGAGTGTGATTGTTGATCCCAAAGCATTTGTATCTGTATCTGCTCCCCATTGTGTCCTTGTCCTCCTTCTCTCTCTTCTGTGCCACCGAGCGGTCAAGTCTCAACCCGTCCATCTACAACCCAGCTTTTCCCCAGACCCATCCACCTCCATCTCCACGTTCCCTTACAAGCCGCCCATCACAATGCCTCGCAAACCAGCTCCCGCCTACGTGCTAGGCGTCGGCATGACTAAATTTATCAAGCCTCGCGGCAAGGTGGATTACCATGAGCTTGGGTTCGAGGCGGGCATCAAGGCCATGCTGGACGCCCAGATCAACTACGACGATGTCGACCAGGGTGTCGCATGCTACTGCTACGGCGATTCCACTTGCGGCCAGCGCGTCTTCTACCAGTTCGGCATGACCCAGATCCCCATATACAATGTCAACAACAACTGCTCGACTGGCTCGACGGGTCTGAATATGGCCAGGCAAGCCATCGCCTACGGTGCGGCCGACTGCGTCCTAGTCGTCGGGTTCGAGAAAATGTCCCCCGGCAGCTTACAAGCATACTTCAACGACCGCGAGAATCCTACCTCCACCACCAACGCCATGATGAAAGCCACCCGAGGAGTTACAAATGCTCCGGGCGCCGCTCAGCTCTTTGGTAACGCTGGTCGCGAGTATATGGAGAAATACGGCGCAAAACCAGAAGACTTTGCCGAGATTGCCCGTGTCAACCACGAGCACAGCAAGAGGAACCCATACTCCCAGTTCAAAGACGAATACACCCTAGAACAGATCATGAAATCTCCCATGATCCACCCTCCCCTCACAAAACTGCAATGTTGCCCGACCTCAGACGGCGGTGCCGCTGCGGTTGTCGTCTCTCAAGAATTCCTTGACAAGCGACCTCACCTCAAGTCCCAAGCTATCTTGATCGCCGGCCAATCACTCGTCACCGACTCGCCAGAGCTCTTCAATCGCTCTGCCATAGATCTCGTTGGGTATGATATGTCCGTTTTCGCCGGTAAACGCGCACTGGCCGAGGCGGGTATTACTCCCAACGATGTCCAAGTCGTTGAGGTCCACGACTGCTTCAGCGCCAACGAGATGTGCGTGATTGATGCTTTGGGACTGTGTCCCAAGGGTAAAGCCCATGAGCTCGTGAGGAAAGGTGATATCACATATGGCGGGAAATATGTCATCAACCCTTCGGGAGGTCTCATTTCGAAGGGCCACCCCCTAGGTAAGCCAGCTTGATTTTTTTTTTTTTTTTTTTGATTTTTTTTTTGAACATGCCGTTCGCCCAAATGCTAACAAGTTGGACAGGAGCTACCGGTCTCGCCCAATGCGCCGAGCTCACATGGCACCTCCGCGGCTGGGCCAACAACCGCACAGTCAAAGACACAAGGTACTGCCTGCAACACAACCTGGGCCTAGGCGGCGCCACGGTGGTGACAGTGTACAAGCGCGCCGACGGCAAGGTCGCAACGCCAGTCTCGGACGCGGAAGTCGGCAGGATCAACGGCCTGGGCTACAACCCCGCCACCGAGGCCAAGGGCTTCACGACCGAGCAGGTCCGGAGGACGGTCAGCCAGAAGCAGTTTTCCGACTGGGCCGTCCAGGACGTGCAGAGCAGAGTCCAGGCGCGGTTCTAATCGTCGTCCACCGCCTGCATGCCTCACCGCCTGCTTCTGGTATATACCTTAGTTTAAATAGGCCCCGTGTATAGAACGAACGAAAGCAATGCATTTCCGGATAACAACGAGCCCTTCCGAAGGGACCTCCTTCACCAGGATTTGATTGAACCCCTCACTTCCATACACACATAGATACGCGGTATGTAGATACACGAAACGCAACCTTTGTAGTATGCAGACTTTGAACGCACCGGCCCTGCGCCTGCGTCTCGCCCGTCACGTCACGCAATAGTAAAGGCTAGCCGGTGTGACATTGATATGAATGTCACGCCGTCCAGGAAGGGTTGGTTCAACGACGACGAGGAGGAGGATCTACCTAGCTCGCTAGGTATGTTTGCAAAATAGACTTGACTTGCTAGTCATGCATGCAAATTTGTCTCAACAGGCGCGGAGGGGGTATCATATTCTATCTGTTCGGCATCCCACACATCACACATCACAGACCACAGACCACAGCCCCGCCCTGACTCCGCGCATTCTCATGTACCCGTGAGTATTGATATCAATATCGATATCAATATCAACCCGTGAAAGCATCCACCCGTCATTTGAACAGTTTCATCCTCGCTCGCTCGCTTGCATTCGTCTTATCTTTCTCTCGTCTCGGCCCCAAACCAGGAGGGATCGTCGCACCGTTGACTCGTTCTAACCATTTCACCTCTCGTCCGACGACGTCTTGTCCTTCTTCTGGACCAGCGCTTCGCCTCCTTCCCCCGCCGCCGAGGCACTTGAATAGGCCGTTTCAGCAGCGCCGTCGGGCTGCCTGTCGTCCAGTGGACTCGTCGGTGCGGTGACCATCCCGGGGATGTTGCCGTTTTCGTTCTCTGACTCTCCAACCTTTTCCATGCCTCGATCCCGTTCTTTTTCCCTCTCTTTTTCCCTCTCCTTTTCTCGTTCTTTCTCCCTGTAGCCGCCTATGCTACCACTCAGGCTATCATTCCGCCCATGACCTCCACTGGCGCCTAAGAGATTGCTTCTCACACTTGCCGTATCGCCGCCTCCGTACTTGCTCCCGATATAACTGTTCCTCTCGCTCGCCAGGGCGGGGGCAGTCACTCCGCTTGCTGAGATCAGGCTGGCACGTTCGGCATTCAGGTTTGAGCGTGTGTTGTGCGCCACGTCCCCGCGAAGAGACGCCGTGTCTGCCGTTGCACTAGGATGAATAACCGTGCCAGACAGCACAGATAAAGGGAGCGACTCGCGACTCCCGCCAAACATGGACGCCGGGGCAAGTGCTTTTATAGACGCATTGGTATCGACCGAATTTCTCCTTCGGCGCTTGGATGATGACGCTAGCGTGAGGATTGAGGCGTCGTCTGTGAGTACATTGTTGGCTATTGCCGAGTGGTAGGTTGTCGGATGCGAGTGAGGAGCGAGATGCGCTGGAACCGCGGTTGCGGGCTGTCCGCCATAGTAAACAGGATTGCTTGCCGCAGTCGAAGTATGCGTAAGCACTGGTGTCCCGCCGGGGTGGTTGTAGTTGTTATTATTGTGTGATGGAGCGGCAATGGACTGAACTGTGGTCAGGGTCGTAGCCATCGACCGGATAGATGGAGCGGGGGAGGAAAATGTGCTGTCCCTGCCGCCATCGGTCTTTGTAACAGCCGTGGCACTTGTTCCGGCTCCTGAAGGGGCCGCGTCTGAGACGGCCGTCTCTGCTTGCGTGGCCAAGGTGGGGGCTCTTGATTTGTTGCCGCCGGTCTGGCTGTCGTGGGAGATGGAAATCGAGTGTTTGCTCTGGGACTGGGACAGGGAGCTGTGTCTAGATCGCTGGGACGAGGTCATGTGCGTGGAGAATGAGAGATGGCCATTGGTAGTGCTACTGTGATTGTGAGGCTCGGTGATGCGCGAGGACAGAAGGTAGGGATTGTTTTTCGCGATATTGCCCTTCTTGGACTTGATGGTCATAGGTAGGGTCGCGTAGCGCCGTGAACTTGCGCCAGGCTCGGTGTTCGAGTCGGTATGGAGAGTCTTGAGGTTCGCGAGTCGGCGCATCCAAGTGGTGAAGGGTCGTCGGCGGCCATGTCGGTCTGGTTGGGTCAAGTTAGAATGGTGCGAGGAAGCGGTGGGCCAGTGCTTACCGTGAGGCCTGGGAGGCGCCTCAGTCGAAGCCATAGAAGAGGGAATCTGGCAGTGTCGGTGCTGGTGTCGTGACAAGAACAGAAACACAGTTCGCTAGATGGTGGACGCAGAGTGTCTTGGGGTGCGCAGAGAGCGAGGTTGGAAGAGGTGAGAAAGAACGAGGTCAGGCAGCCAGGCTCAAAGTGGGCGCGCTCTGCGAGTAGGGATGTTGTACAAAGAGAGATGTACCCCAGCTCTCCGATAAACACCGTTTCGACAGGCGCAAGGCGAGTAGCAGTAGGATAGCGAGTACACAACGAGCAAGAAAAGGAGATCGACTAATACATTGTGTTTTGGTTTGGCGGAAATGAACTGATCCGGGGTTGCGAAAAGCTTTCTCGCTTCCAACTTGTTCGGCTGTTTCATGCTCAGCCTCATTTCCCCACGTGGCGAGAGTCGAGACTGGGGATATCAAGGACATCCGCCTCGCCGCCATTCCTTCGCTACATAAAGTCGTCCTCATAGAAGGCCGCATCTCGCTCCTGATTGCTCACCATGTTCTCCTCCCTCATCATGTCATCGTACGCATGGTCCTTCTGCCATCGGAGCTCTTCCCGTCGTTGTTGCTCGTCTCGATCCTTGGCCTTCTGAGCGTCTCGCGCCATCCTCTCGACCTTGCGCTTGTCTCTTTGGTCTACCTCCCTCTCGGCCCTCAAGTCTGGAAATCGCTCTTCCCGAGTCTTGTTGAGTCTATTGACGATGGGATTTTGCCTTACCGGCACGTGGACCTTCTTCACCATCTTGGGGTCGTGGAACGATACTTGACCTGTAGCCATAGAGGCATCTTTTCGCAGATTCGACCAAGGCGTGTAGATGACTGTAATATTGTCTTTCTTATTACCTTGGGTAGCTGGTCAATCAACCGCTCGGGCGTCCATACGCGGTCGACAGCGATACCTACCTTCAATCGAATTTGCCTTGGTCAATTGCGCGCAGTCTTCGAGTAATGCTTGTGGAATCGATGTCCACGATTCACCGGGTTGTAGTCTCAGATAGACGTGGGCACTCGAAAGGTTGTCGACGTGAAACTATTGCATATCAGCGAACCATGTCTGGATTCGACCCGGTCCGACGGTAGTACCCTTGCGAGAGTAAGTCATCTTCTACCACAGCCGTTCAAGCGGAACACCTCACCAAACATCCTCATCCCAGCCGAACTTGATGAGATCTTCGTCTGTGTCCACCGTCAGAAATCTGAGATGCCTGGCTAATTGGGCGCAACAACGTAAAACACACTTTCAACCTTGTCTTTCCCCACGTAAATGAAAGCAGGAGGGTCGACTGCTGATGACTTGAAATAGTACACCATCTCGTGTGCTCTGAAGGGAACAACGTTGGCCCAAAGTCGGCGGCAGATGGCTTCTTGAAGCGCAAATATTCATTCAAGGAGAAAACCAGGCCGAACACTTTCCACCCAAGATCGCCAGGAGGAGACTTTGCAGAGATTATTGACTTTGGTCCGGAGTCGAGATGGAATCACAAGGTCATCCGCCTTTGGCAACGAGAAGCGCACATCCCGATTCTTTGATTCTCCGTAATTCCATGTGTCCGGCGCAGTATCCATATCTTTGCCACATCGCGTCGTCGCAAGTTGGGCAAGTCAACAAGTTCGCCTCCTTACGGACTACAGAAGGGACCCAGACACCTCCCACTCATTCTACAAGACCTCACCAACGATGAACACGATATCACTTAGTAGTCTTCATATTCTCCTACATCTCTCACCCTAGCTGCAGTTAAAAACGAGAACGGAACTACAGCATATCAAGCGGCCTGCGGTAAGCAAACCAGGTACCAAATGCTCTGTCAAAGCAGGTTGGCGTAAACCGCAAAATGACCCTGCCAGAACAGACAAAGTCGGCAGCATGAACGGTAAATGAAAAAGTGCGCCTTTCCACGACCAGCGGGTATTTCCGTACAACAGGACGCCCGTTCATAAGCTAGGCAAGGGTGCATTGTCTGCACCAGCGCCCATCATTCCATCAGACACGTAGAAGCCGTATAAATAACATTGGTCGACCGAGAACAAGTCTTTGTGTTCACCTCTAGCGTCGAGCATGACCTGATATCAGAGCCTCCTCATTATCGAGCACCACTAAGCACAAGACAGGCAGCAGCATCAGCTAGATAAATCATAAACACAACTCCTGTCTCGTCTGTAGAAGTGGATGGGTCGATGGCCACGTCGATGGATGACACTTCATCCAGCGCTTCTGCGAGGTTCAATTGGTCCACACCGGTTCGAGCGCAGCGACAACAGTCCAACAGTAGCCACCCACCTTTCAGGTTTCATACATCCATCCCAGAAAGCGGTGCCAGCATGTCGTGTCACACGAAATTGTGCATAACTTGTGACACAGACACTTGAGAATTCTCTTGCGAAAATGTTGGCCGTCGAAGAGACGATGTAAGAGTTGATTTGCTGAGTGCAACATATCATGCGGCACTATCAAGGTGGGAAGGTCGAATCTGAACCGACACCCGAAAGTAAGCCAAAACGGTAGTGTATCTGTCTGACTTGCGAAATATAGAATGGGAGGGGGGGTTGTTTCCAATTCATTGATGCGGTCGAGACGGTGGCGGCAAGAAACGGGCCCCAAAAAAATCATTTCTGCGGGATATGAAGGCACAAGGCTTCACAGATCAGCAATCCCTCGCAAGAAATAAGCGGTGATCCCGAGACGATGTTCCACAGAGGCTTAGGGGTATCCTCCTCCCAGACTTGCCTAGATTCTAATCCAAGGCCGCGGGACTTTTGGCAAAAAGCACCTAATCCCAGACGTCGTGTCAGTATATGTGGTGGACGTCCTTCCCACTGGTAACTACTCCTGCGTGTCGCTCATACCAGATAAGAATCAGGGAGAAAAATACCATGTGGCAATCCTACAGGCATTCGGTGCAACTCGGACTTCTGGTTCGGGGCGAGCCTTGCGGCGCGACATTGAAAAATGTACTTCAGCCTTGCCACATTCACAATCGAGGTCACTAGATTTAGTGCACGTCATCCCTTTGCCCATCAGGAGAGACGGTACATGCTTTTAAACAAAGATTGTAGCATTAACTCTCGATCCATGCAAGCGTCGCGGGGATCGGGCCTAGAGACGGCAAAACGGCAAGGAAACTTCAGCCCCCCACCATTGCAGTTGCATGTACCAAGTAGGCCCCTCGACAGAATTTTTGCGGAAACCCGGCCACATTTGAAGGGTTATCTGAACGGATTCTGTTCAGATAGGCCAGCAGGCCATACGAGAAACCGGACATGGCCTCGAAGCATAAGCTCAGACTGGTCAAGGTTGCAAGGAATTCCTTTGAAAGGCTAGCGTATAGTATGATCCCGTCGCGCAAATCGGACTGCCACCCACCCAATTGCGACCCGTTGCCCGTTCAAGTGTCCCTGGACACAGGTATGGATTTTCCTGCCTCGTTGCGAGAAAGATGGGCTACCGCCCAAGGCCCCTGCGGAGCCCGTGAAATACAGCTTTGGTGCTGGCTTGGGACTGTCCCACCCTTTGACGGCAATGATGGTATCCGATCTTAACGTCATATGTGGTGATGGTTCGATCCAAAATGTTGAAAGAGTTCAGCAGGAGCTGGATGAGTTTGAGGCGTCGCCACATTTCGGACATAGGCCCCATCTCTAACAATGTGTCCGATGGTTAACTCCCCAGAGAAGTAATATGACAATATTTTATCCATTTTGAGCGCCTCCCAGTCAGAGTGACCCCATCTTTCTTTGTTCTGCTGCACTTGACCACGATGTGGACAGCCTCTTCATGTCGGTTTAACTTCACAGTGAGCTTTTTGAGACCAGGTATAACAGGGTGCTCACGAAGGAGGAGAGCGGCTGAAGGGGCGAGGTCAAAAAGCAACAGTCGACTTAATGGAGGTGGAGAGAAGTTCCAAAGGTTAACGGCGTAGGCGCTGCAGGGAAGAGTGCATAAGAGCTCGACATCCGGGACTGTGAGCCAGCGAATCGATGCCTGACAGATGTATAACCGGCCGACTTGCAGTTCAAATTAGGAGAACTTAAGTTTGGAAATATGAGAAAACGAATGGCCTAGTGAGCCCCCGCATCTGAGTACAGACGCAGATAGAGCCGCATGGGACGGATGAGGCAGGAGGTTCTTGTCCAATGGTGTTTAGAAGGCAGGGGTTGGAGGAGGGATATGGCATGGTAGGGTGCAGATAGGTCAACTTCTCCCTGCCGGCACCCCCCCCCCTTGGTAGCCTGATGAGCTAACTTAGTTCTTGGATTGACGGCAAGGATGAATACCTCGTACATCCTTCTCTCGCCCTCCAGGTAGGGCAAAGCAAACCCAAGCCCGCCGTGGACAAAGCTCAGGTGGCCGGGAAGTGACTCAGCTCTGACCCATCATCCAAGAGCCCTAACCAAGGCCCTTTACGAGGTCGATTATCACCGAACCTCGAGCCAAATGAGTTCTTAGTTCAAGACCCAGCAATCCTACTTGTAGAGGCTGGTGCTGGGGCAAGGCCGACGGGCACCCGGGAATCCCCTAGACACACACCATGTTGCCGGGGGCCCCACGGCCTGTTCTCCCTCCCAGTGTCCACTGCTGGGTACGGCGAATAGAAGAGGATCATGGGTCTGATCCTCACCGGTTGGTTTGCCCGGCTTGTACAAGGGCGGAGCTATTGAGGCTGTGGCCATTGTTCCCGAGTGAGACTACAGAAGTCCCGGCATCCGCGTTAGCCCTCTGCACAAATCCGTGGATGCCTTTGCCGCCTGAGCTGTGTCCTGCGTTCCCAGTACTTACGAGGTACTGTGCTCCGTACTCGGTACCTCTCTAGCAGAAGGACGCCCAGGAAATGTCCCCAGGGTTCTCCTCGCGGTGTCAGTTCTCCCAGCGCCAACTGGTGCAAACCCTCCAATCGGCTGGCCACGCCAGAGGACGTCTCGTTGCCTGCCGTCTTCATCCATGGGTCTGGTAGACATGCTCGGTACATGGTCGTTGGTGATTCTCCTTGTGCTGGATGTAGATTCGGTTAGCACCTTGCTTTCTGAACTGGCCATCCATGCGATTGGCTGCCAGAGCTAAGCCGGCATATGCATTCTGACGAGATCCTTTGACTGCGCTGGTGGCTCCGCATGACATGTACCACACACGCTGTGAGTCAGATACTCGAAAAACCGTTGATCTCGAGAGAAGCCGGGGTTCCAATTCCGCCATGGGGACTCAAACTCGGTATCAGAGTCAGCAGACGTTTGGTATCCAGGATCCAGTGCAGCGTGTCTCCCTAGTCTCACAGATTCGAGAGAAGTTGAGCACCATTTCCCCAAAATCTCGCATTACAATACGAGTACTCGATCGTGGAAACCTCTCAGAAGACGCAGCCGCTCAGCTGAGCCACTTGTGCCACCCCAAAAACGAACATGTTCTCGCACTGGATTCCCGTGCCTAACCACTCAAGGGCGGAAATGCGAAATGCATTCCAGTCGGTGTCCGGCACAATGTCATCCCAGTACGACGATTGGGCGATTCGGTCGGTTCCATCGAGCATGTTCCCTGCGGCACCTATGTACATTACTTTTGTGAACAATGGGGATCGGCGTTGCAGCATCCTCGCGTATGCCAGCGAAGGTCACACAGTGCAGCATAGCGTGTGGGGTGGCAAGCATCGGCTGGCTTTCATTCGCCATCCCTCTCGAACTTGGTCAATGTCGAGCGGAATCGGGCTCTTGTAGGCATCCCGAATGCGATCCTTGAGTGTTTCTAATCTCTGACCCCAGTGCACCCTGGCCGGCCCGCCCCTGCCATTGAGCCATGCCATGTACATCATGATTCCCATCTGATTTACCGAGGAGAGGGTTGGTCCTTCTGCGCCGGTCGACGTTCTGTAAGTAACTGCAGAGGGAACATCAACCTTAGGCTCACATTATATACCCTCGGCAGTGCTTCATCTATTCAGAGCAGGTCTCAGAGGCCGACCGACCCGTGATCCACGATCCCGAGGTTTGCACCACGGTCGACAGAGGGAAACAGATTGTCGAGGCATGATCGATCTTCGGTACGACCCCAAAAAAGCTGGATGCATTAGCTTGGTGTGATAGTTTTGCAAAGTTTGGGATGACCAGGATGACCGACTCGGTGTCTTGAATCTTGACCAGTTGGCAGCGTGCCTCGAGCCTCGCACCTGTGGCATCCCTCGAACCGCATGATCATCAACGCCCGATTGTAGAGCTTCTGGGTCGCCATCCCAGATTCAAGCCAGCCAGGATTCTGTCTGCTTCAACCCAACAAGGGCAGCATGGCCAGTAGGAGGGAAACCCAGCATTCCCGACACGCGTGTACTCCGTTTTCAATCCCGGGCTGTGCGCCCTTACACCCCGTGTTCCCAAAGTTTATGGCAAAGTAAGTTTGGATGGGTTTGCAGAAGCCAAACTTGAGCGCTTGATAGAGTTCCAATGGCGGTCGGAATTTACCCGGTGCCACAAGCGCTTGGACCGAGCAGCGCAGGAGTTGGCAAACATGAACCAGTCTTGAGATTGCTGCGTGATCCGAGAGTCAGTCGATTCTAGTTTTTTTTTTTTTTGGCCCTTCGCTACCAAAGTTTCGAGGTATGTAAGGGCTTGTGAAGACGCTGAGCTCGCGGCGGCAAACTCTGCGAGGCATTCGTCGACCATTGACCAAGACTTCTCCTTGCTCCATCACACCGCGCTGCTGCTCCAACTGCTCCAACTGCTCCATTGCTTGCCCCAGTGTTTTGTGTTTCTGCTCCAGAAGTTAAAATCCGAAAACTCAATCCCAACGCAAACCCACCGAGCATTTTTTTGCCCACCCTGAGCGTGACGGGCGCTGACCGCCTATCATGGCGAAAGCGACGTTGCTGACAGGATAAAGACCATGTTCAATCGTGTGGATTCTGTCGTCTGCGTGGAAAGGATTTCATGCTGTACATAAACTTGCTGCGGTGTGCCCCCCCAGTCCCCAGTCGCCAGTTCGTGTCGGGTGCTGTCCAGCGGGCTCTGCTCAGGTTCGCTTTGGGAAATACCAAGCCATGCTGCTCCTGCTACCCTCTTTCGTGGTCGAGTCGTAGTCTTTCACGTTGCATCATCAGATTCGACTCAATAAACATCCTCAGCTATACTTCTCTAGCCTATTAGACAGCCTGCCTACTAGACACCGGACTGGCTATGGTCACATTGCACTTGTGGGGCGCTCTATCTCCATGGCTGTCTGTCTGTCAACCAAAGGAGCCTGGAGTATATTCCCCTCTGCACGACCGTCCTTCATCAGCTCTTGCCTCCTTGCGTCCTCGCCCACGCCCAGTCTTTCAAAGGCCTTGTCTTTGCGAGGCTCTGGCTCAGCTTAGAAAATCCCCTGTCGGAACCTTGAGATGCTTCCTGAGCCAATATCCCTCTTATCGTCGAGAGATTTACAGAGCACACCCGTCCTAGTCACCAAACATGTCCCGGACGCTTGAGGTGACGGTTCGACAGGCCCTACAGATCGCTCAGAACAGCCAGACAGGTGTGATTGATCCGCAGATTCTCCAGATACTCGAAAACTATCTCAGCCGGACCTGGAGTCGCATTCAAGCCGAGCCAGATACCTATATTATGGACGGACTGGAATTCGCCGTCTTCAATCACTTTAGGGCACGCTCGGAATTTCAGAATGAAACTGCAAGGAAGGCCGTTTCAAGATATTGGAACAGTCGGACTGCTAGCGACGGCGCTTGAAACTCGGAATATCGGCACCGGGTCGAGTGAAAGCAGCTTGAGTCCAGGCTTCCTGACGGCTATTTTGATCGTCACCATCAGCTCTGTGCCCGTCAACCGCCACTTCGATCTGGCCGCCTGGTGGGCCTAACGAGGAGTGCAAATAAGTATCGACAGATCTCGGTGCGAGCAAGACAGGCATCTCCAGGGTCGAGAGGGACTTGTCTCGTGTTTGAGATGCCCGTGCGCCTTGGGAACCTGGCAACTGGAGCCGTGATCCGAGTCTCACGGGACGAGAGCCGTGGTTTACCGCTGCGCCCAGGAGTTCGGGGGGTTTTATGATTGGACGTCTCTATGGATTATTATTCATAGAGACGCTCCCACGTGTTCCAGGAAATAGGAAACGCTCATGCAGGGAGGAGAAAGGCTTGTGTCGCCGCCGTCAGCCTCAACCATCGTTTTGTCCCCATACCCGAAGTCTGCCAGCGTTCATAGATGTTTTTCTATCACTGCAGCACTCCATTCTTCAGAAGCATTTATAGCTGTGTTTTACGGCCAGCAATAATCGTATAGCCTTACATCGCTACACTAATCTCCTGATGATCAATGTCCACGAACTGCCTTCAGTGGCAGAAAATGCCTGCAGGGCAGCCTTACGAGACTGGACACATCACCACGCTCCAAAGACCCGTATTCTTGGGCTTCGCGACGGAGGTTATTGCATCCACGGACTCTCTGTTGCATCAACCCTTGACACAGCAGAAAATGAGGATGCTGGATCGAATTCAGCACCTTGACAGGTATGGGACGCGTTGTCGAGCCACATTCCAATGCTAACGATGGATGCTTCCCAAGGACCGTGCGGCCACAACATCACCCTCATTTACCGCGTCGAAGGACGTTTGATCTCTGCCTTATGCCTACAACTCCGTGAAGATGCATGCAATGCTGCCCACAATATTCTTCTGTCTGTTGGTTGAAGTACCGGCTACATATGCTGTAGCCGGCGCAAGTCGACATGATGGTTTGGCGCCGCATGGGTTGGGGAGACTGTTACATGCTCCAGCAAGACGCGATATCTCTCATGCGGATATTTTACAGGTTAGGGAGTTTCTGCATGGGTTGGAGTCGCCGTTCATTGACAGTCATTAGCTAGTATCGCGACAATCTTCTCCTCCCCTTACGACCGACCCGGATTGCACAGTGTATGATGGATATTTCTACGTCACGCCGCGAAACTATACCTGGCAGCTGCAATGCTCGAACACCTACGATGGCGTTATCCTGGCTCAGACTACAGACACCACGGACTTGGGTTCATGCATCGAAGAGTGTGTCAATTACAATCGCCTAAACACACCGGGTGCCTGCTTAGCAGTGACCTTCAATGGTGCCTATGCTACGGCGGATACTGTCTGCACCCAATTCAGCGACGTGACTTCGGTTGGGATTGCATCTGAAGAAGGAGGTAAGCGTTCTCAGCTTCTGACTTGTCGGGTCGAAGGCCATGGACCTCGCGTTGCTGAACACCAAATTGTGAAATGGTTTGCAGATCCTTTTTCAGAGGAGATAGAAAGATTGACTGGATTCAAAGCTGACTGGAAATATAGGTTTCGAGAACTCGGCTCTGTTGATCCTTGGTCCGAATGGAGAAATTTTCGCGACGGTAGGTTCCCTGAAGCCGCATAGCAGCATTTCAAGAGCATTGGTGCAATCCCCCGTCGTTCATGTTCGAGGCTAACAACACATCAGCCGCAGCCAGAGCCATCTTTCTCTGGGGCCCCATCGCAACCGCCAACCGCTGATCCAGTGCCTACCTCGACCACAATAACTTCCCCTGCAACCACAACAAGCACAATACTATTGACCTCGAATTCGCCCACCGCGAGCACTTCGTATGCCATTTTCACCACCACCACGACTTCATACAGTACAGTCGTTGTCACGTCGTGCCCTGCAGGAAGTGGGTCGTGCCAGCAGAGCACGACCCCTACCCCCTTTCCCGCGACAAATGGGGCGGGCACATCGGCGAGCAGTCCTCAAACTACAAATCCGTCGTCCATAATCATCACCGATGGTGGCTCTAGGCCGGTTACATCTATGACAACAACTTCTAGCAGCAGTGCATCAGGGGCCTTCACATTTGATGCGGGTCAGACAACATTTACAGCTATTGTCCTATTCACCGAATATAGGCTTCAGATAATCGAGGTCTGTGCGGCAACACCGACGCCATGCTCACAGTCGACCAGCACGGCAACAAGCGTAGAACTCAGAACACAGATATCTTGTTCTCCCGGCCCCTGTATCGGTGTAGCGCCAGCTACCGGGTTTCTGGTCGATGCACTTGCTACCGGAACTTGCCTCGTTCCTTGAGGTTGCTGGAGGAGTGGGCTGGCGTGGAGGATTTTCGTGGTGGAGGATCTACTTCTTGTACCATTATGCATCTAGGTGGATTTCCGCACGCTGAAGCTGGCTAACGGGATGTTGCTCTAAAGCAGAGATGATTCATGACGAGGGCCAGAGAGGGCGTTATTCAAGTTGCGAGAGAGTTTCGGGGAATTTTTAGTAATTGGAAAGCTTGGTATGAATTAATCCGGAACCGGCCACCCGGAACGGAGAATGATTCTGCCGAGCCGATGATCTGCCGAGAGTTCACGTCGAGACGTCTCGCACATCTAAACAACATCAAACAGATTCACTTCTCTCAACTCCCTCCTCTTTCTGTAAAGCACACCAGACGTCATGTATGACCAGATCCCACTGCATCTCCATCCTATTCGGAGCTGCAAGTCCACCGCAACAATGAAAATTCGTGCCATTGACCAATGTCGCGCTTCTCGTGCCAAAAATATCACTTATTATATGTTGCGCAAGCGGACGCCATTGTTGTTTCCCTTTGTTTCGTGATTCACCAACGTGGTGCCGGTAAGTGAAGGGTGAGGTCTTCATTGTCTGCCGCACCCTCCATATCTTGGAATTCTGCTACTCTACTTTGATCAGTACATAGCCAATTTGCTCCTTCATCTTCAGGTTCCCACGCACTCTTCGGAACCTTGTAGCCGTCTTCCTGTCTGCGAAGATGACTTTCTCACCTCTCATTGCGATAGCCCTAGCAATATTCGCCACCTTCCTGAGGCCGGTGAGCGGAGATTCGTCGTCAGCATGCAATCCTCTGAATGGTCAGTAAAACTTGTCCAAGTCGCGCTTCTCTTCAACTTTCTGCTAACCCACACTTGTGCAGGCCCGTGCCCTGCGATCCCTGGCTTAGCAACTGGCGAGTATTTCATGGATTTTACCCAACAAACCACAACTCCTTCGGACTGGATCCTCGCCGACTATGCCAATGTCGGCTACGGGCCTAACGGTGCTAATTTTACCTTCGCAAAGCGTTATGATGCTCCCTATATTTGGACTCGCTTCTATGTTCTCTTCGGTCGCATTGAAGTGGTCGTGCAGGCCGCCCCAGGCGCTGGCATCATCACAAGTTCAGTCATGATGTCGGACGATCTTGACGAAATAGACTGGGAGTGGTCGGGAAACAACTTTGCTGGGTCCAGTGGTGCCGTGCAGACCAATTACTTTGGCAAAGGACAGGTTGGAAATTCTGACCGCGGTTCCCAACCTGTTGTGGACGATCCCGAACACAAATTCCACACCTATGCCCTAGACTGGCAACCGGATAAGTTGGTCTGGTCTATTGATGGTGTGGCCGTTAGGACATTGAAAAACAATGGCGCAACCACTGGGTCGTACCAGTATCCGCAGACACCTTCCCGACTGCACCTAGGCCTCTGGTGCTCGGGAGACCCAAGCACTCCTTATGGTACAGTGTATTGGGGCGGCGGATACACGAATTTCAGCGCCGCTCCGTTCTCAGCGTACGTGAAGTCCGTCAAGATCACGACCAACAATGTCTGTTCAAGCTGGCAATATCCTAGTCCATTTGACGGTACTTACCCGTCCGTGCAATGCACGAACCAAACAATTGCACTTCCCTGTACCTATACGGTAGTTACAGGTGATGACGGCTCCAAGATTGCGAAGAACTTGACAGTCAATTTCGATAGCCTCAAGGGTGTCAATCCTGGAGTCAATTGGGATCAACTGTTGGTCGGCCAGGTGCTCAATGTTCCTGGCGGTACTTGTCAAACCTCAACCACGACGACAATGTCTGCTACCTCCGGTATTTCTTCTTCGATGGCTAGTTCCGCAAAATTTTCTTCAACTGCATCGTTCACTTCGAACTTGACCAATTCGATGAGTGCTTCGTCCGTCTACACGTTGCCTTCTAGCTCATCTCTAACATTCTCGTCCACGACCACTTCAGCATTCTCAAGCTTGACTTCTTCAAGCCCAACAGCTTCATCAACAGCGCCTCCAAGCTATTCAAGCTTGCCATCTTCAGCGAGTCCAACAACAAGTGCAACAACTTCGGCACAACCATACTCGAATTCCACCCCCGCTGTCATGGTAACTTCTACCTCAGCTTTGACCACGGTCACCTCGACTACTGGCACCAGCTTGCCTACTACGGTTTGCACGACAGTTGGCGTAGACGCCTCCGCCACCGCCGCCACAACAACATCGTCAGCTCCTTCTCAATCCACAAACTCCTACACCGTGGCTGCAGGCGACTATGGTTGGGCTATTGCGAACGCATTGGGCTGCTCTTGGGATGACCTGAACGCTGCAAACCCCGGGGTGGATTGGGATAATTTGCAGGTTGGGCAAACATTGAGTGTCCCTACTCAGGCTACTAGCTATTCAACATTGACGGCTTCGTCTAGCTCTGGCCCGGCTGTCATCTCTGATTCGATCTCCGGAGGCCAGTGGACGTCGTCCACCTCGGCGGCTGCTTCTGACTCTGCTTCTGACGCTTCCTCAGGCCCAGTCAGTACCCCTACTCCTGTCACTCCCTTGGGCTCAACCGGTATTTCTGCATCTGTCGCTTCTTCGGGTTTAACCAATACCTCTCGGTGTGACTCTGGTCAGCCATGTGAAGGTCAAGTTGGAAATCAGTCAAGCGGTTCTCAACCAGATTCGGCAAGCTCGGCTGTCCCAACATCAACTTCTGTTTCCACCAGTCCATCTGTTTCATCCTCCGTAACTGCTGCTTACGCCAGTGGCACAACACCCAGTGCAGCTGGCGGCACGAGTCCAACCAGTCCAGTTTCATCAACACCAGCGTCTGCTGTTCCCGAGACGTCACCAGTGAGCCAAATAACGTCCTCTCAACCAGTTACCAGCTCGAATGCCGTGAACCCAGTCACACCTACACCATCATCCTTGCCTAAGATGATTTGCAACCAAGATAACTGCCTCCGCAATTTGATTGATCCTCGTTATTCATCAACTATGCGTAACTTTTGTTCGACCTACACCACCAAAGCATCCAATACTGCGCCTCTGCCGACATTCTTGGCCGGCTGCTCCGCGGATGCTAAGCGAGTGAGTAGCGCTTGTTCCTGTTTGATAACCAGCTTTGGCACGGGCACAGCAACTTCGGGGACACCGGCTATGACGGGACCACCTCTACGTGCAGGGAGTCCGTCGTGGAAGCAGACACCGTCTTGGAAATTGAAGCGTTCGCCTTTGAGATGGAATCGACCAGCCCTGTAAGTAGGGACGCAGCATTAATCGTTCTGTTTTGTTCCAGGAATTGGTTCAGGAAGCTGAATAAGTTGGGCGTCGTGGAACTGTGTAATCAATGAATTCAGGAAAATGAGACTTTGCATGTTGACTTGATTACCCATAGACTGTTTCGCCTCGATGGTGTCAAAACCTTTTCCCTTGTTCACATCTAGGACCACCCCGACACTGACATTTGCAGACCTAACTTCAAGTTGACAAGGTCGATGAATAGCTGACAGTCAGAGCAAGGCTCGCGACTGATTAGGATTCTTGCCTGCTTAAGCATAACAAGGGGTGGGCTCGAAGCGAGTTGTCGGAGCGGACCTTCGCTTTTATGCCGAAGGTCAAATTTCTCGAGTGCTTCCCTCAACACCTCCAGTGCGCTCCCCGATCCTCGATCCTCGATCCTCGATCCTCGATCCTCGATCCTCGTAAGTTAGGGCCATCTCGGACCCAGCATCGCTGGGTGCGCTGACTTCATCTTTCAAAAACACGTGCTGACTGATAAAATAGGCCATAAGCTTCTTCTCAGCATGGCAAGCATAGTATTTTCCCCTCGTGCCCTGGTCTTTTGGGTGAGACATGAGCGGATGGCCGACGATCTTTTCGATTCTCATGACTTCAGACGCCCAGCTGCGGCCCGATCCAAAGGTGACTTTTGGTGCGTGAGACCAGCCACTCATCGCCGATACCGAGGGATATGGGTGCCCTCGTTCAAGCCGTGCAATCGTCTTCCATTCGTTTGGAACCTGGTATTCGGCAACAGGCGCAGAAAGTCAAATAACGGTCTCTTTTTGGTGGAAGACGTGATAATCATAATTGCTCCTCGGAACAGAGATTGCATCTTCGGTGGCATTGCTGAGCAGGTGGACAATCATTCTCCGTGCTTGGTTGGCGACGTATGTAATTTCTTTGTACATTTGAACTCCTCTCCCCGAGCGACGATACCGTTCACCTTCATTTCGAGTGGATGGCTCAGCCAATTGCATCGCAGTGAAGCCCTCGCCGTCTTCCCAGTTTTTGTCGGCCCCAAAATCAAGAAGGGGTTTCACATTCTCATACCGTCCCCACAATGCAGCCTCCATCAATGGACTTCTTCCGTCTTTCGTCTGGGAGTTGGGATTTGCCCCTCGCTGAAGCAGCAGTTTAACAATGTCCGGAAACTGCTCAGCAGCCGCCAAATACAAGGCCGACTTCCCGGATTCGTCAACTCCATGGTGCTTCCGCAGAAGTATCGAGGTATTCTTGTACAGTTTTCTCATTACCGGTCGCCATGCGGCTCGCAATGTGGTCGATTCTTTTTCTGATGAGTGGTTTATGATTGACTCCAGCTGGCAATGGACCAAGTATTCTAGGCTCAACAGCGTCACTCCATTTCGACAAACCGTTGGTGCCTGCGTCATTCTCCAGGTCTTCGGTTGTCTGCTCGGCCGCCTCTAGTCTTGAGACGGATGGATCCGCACCAATGGCAACATATCTCTTATTGATCTTGTCAATCTCATATGCGGTCCAACCGCCTTTTTCCGAGACCGGGTATTCAAACTCATAAGAATGAAAACCGAGTAGAGGAGCGCATTCGCAATGTGCCACGCGGGTGTTTGTGTCGTAGCTTCCGCCAAACCCATACGTGTGGATTTTGAGGGCATATGGGACACTTTATCTTGACTATGCGTCAGTCCCAACATTGGACTTTCGCACGAAGAATGGAATGCTCCATAGTTGCTGATGCATCTCACATGCGACTGCAGGAGTCGAGACAATAAAATTTGAGTGACGGACAGCAGGCGATGGCTCATGCCCACCGTAGTGGTTTGCTCAACAGTCCTGCCTCGCAAGGCTGAGGCGCTCGCGAGGCTGACCGAGTTAGTCGTGTCTTGGCATAAATCTTGGCGCCCACGAAAAATGCGCCCGCTCCTGCGTCTTGATTCGGGCGTCAATTTTCGAGCTCGACCTTCTCAAACGTCTCTGCCTCAACTACAAGCAAATCTCCCGTACAGTTCTGCGCCCTTAGGCCACGGCTTCTCGATTACTGATTTCTTTGCAGATCGTCTTGTCTGACACCCCGCCAAAATGACGAAGGGAACGAGTTCATTCGGAAAGAGTGAGGAATCATCTACAATCTCCTCCCAGAATTGCGAAACAATTTGAGAAGAACGGTTTTCTGACGGAAGATTATGAATAGGACACAACAAGACACATACTCTGTGCCGGAGGTATGTTGCTTCCGGTTTTTCTCGGTCTTGTTTTCGCGATTGGGAACACTCCAAGGGAATACCGAGTTGGACTCATGGGCTGACTTGATTTGGTTGATACAGATGCGGTCGTCGAAGCATGCATATCCAGAAACACACCTGCGCGAACTGCGGAGTACGTCGAAAAGCCTTGAAATCTCTTGTCATCCCGGTTACCCTCTCCCTACCCACGCGTCCCGCGGCCACTCGACTTTGGATCATACGATTGCCGATGACTTTGGGAATTGGGTGACTGACTGTTCGCTGTAGTATCCTGCTGCTAAGACCCGCAAATACGAATGGAGCGAGAAGGCCAAGAGACGCAAGACCACGGGCACTGGCAGAATGAGGCATTTGAAGTTGGTTGCTCGGTAAGGACTCCTACTGTTCCTCCGTGTGTCTGAGACTTGGTAGAAGGAGATGGACTATGGATCAAAGGCGAAAAGCGCGCCAATGGAGGACTGGAAAAAAAAATGGGTCAAAGCTTTCAAAGCGTTGATGAGCCGGGATGGAATGATTGTAAGAGAGATTGAGCACTGGGGCTGACGAAGTTTTGTGATTACAGGAAAGCCAGCAACACCTTCCGGACTGGTGCACCCAAGGGTGCTCGTGGGCCTGCAAAGGCATGATTGGAGTGATGGGATCACGTGTGGAAGGGCAATCATGATTTCGCGTTGAAATGCATTGACACGTGGCTTGCCAGTGAGGAAAGCTCAATGCGACAAGCATTAGGAGTGCATGGCTGTGTGTGTCTCGACAATGGCGAGGCAAAGGCGATTCTTGAACAGAGAGTGTCAGCTGCAGAGGGTATGAACGACGCTATTCTCCTGGCCATATTCATGGGGCGCAATCAGATGCGGAGGCATTGCGTGGTTCAGATAAAAGACAAAAACAGAAAGGGCAACATTTTCTTGCTTTTCAAGCATGCCTGAGGACGATTTCGAAAAGTCCCCCAAGAATTGAGAAAATTTACCACCGAAACTCTCCTTTGATTCCCCCCCAAAGTCTAGCTATTCTTTCTGCCCTTTTAAGCCATTCGCAATACAGACTTGTAAAGAGTTCCGCACGACCCACACGACTATGCGACATATTTCACCCTCATGCTCGTCGCTCAAAATAATCACTTCAACACGCCGGACGGCCTGTGCCGTATTGTTCATTAGAGGGAGAGAAAAGAGAGACTGAGAAAAGATAAGAAAAGGGTAGAGGGGGAGAGAGAAAAAAAGTATTCAGAGTTATATCTCTTTTCCCCAGATATATAAAAATGCCTCCGGCAATCCCCCCTCCGCTGGCAAAATACATCCACTCCTCCCTCTCCTCTCCGTGCCCGCACAGCCAAACCCTCATCACCTCCGTCCTCAGCACGCCTTCGCCCTGGCTGGTCCTCCGGTTCATCTACGCAGCACTGTACGGCGTCGAGGACGGCGCCGGGGGGGATGGCAGAGATGCGGGCAGCAGACGCGAGAAGATGACAACGATGACGCCGCCGCCGGCGGTTGTCTTTGCGAGTTTCCTTCGTCCTTTGGCTCTGTGGGTTGAGATGGGGAAGAAGATGGTAGGTTTTGTTTTCGCTGTTTTGATTTGATTTGATTTGATTTGATTTTTTTTTTTTTTTTTTTTTTTTTTTTTGGAGTTTCCCTTCCTGCCTCTCAGAGGCTCGAGCATGCTCTGAAATCTTGTAGCTTTTTCTGCTATTGAAAATTTCACTTGTCGCCTCGTCGTTCTGCATGAGTCTCGGATGTAGAGCGATCAATCTCGGTGGGCGGGCGCGAAACCTCAACACTGACTTCTCAGCAGGGTCTGGATATCCCTTCTTTGCTACGGAGCAGGAAAATCATCTATGTTGATGGGCTCACTTACAGCTCACCGCCTCCTGTATCGGTGCTAGGAGGAGGCGGCGGCGGCGGCGGCGGAGGAGGAGGAAAAGGAGACCCGGCTCTCCCAACGACGAGGCTCAAGTCACTGGCTTTGAATGATGTACAGGACGTTTTGAACTCAGCATTGAAGAACGTCTCTACAACCACGTCTACCTCAGCGTCGATATCGAGTCCACCATCAGGCACCGCAACGCCACGAATGCCCACGGTACGGACCTCCTCCGCTCAAAGCCCCGGAGCTGCAAAGCCTTTCATTCTTCTTGACGGCATCGACTTTCTCGTCGCCTGCCAGCCTTTCCTCTCAACGATATCTGTACAAGCATTTCTGTCCTCCCTCCGAATTCAATCTGACGCTCTGGTGCTTGCCTGCAATGCCGACACTCCGTTGCTACACATTGCGACGTCTGCCAGTGAAGAAGGGACGCTGTTGGAACGTAACCATGCACATCTGGTGACTGCCATGGCTCATCAGAGCCGATGGGTTTTGCAACTCAGAGGATTGGACACGGGCAGTGCGAAGGATGTGTCTGGCGTGATAAGGGCGAGCAAGGGTGGTGGTTACGAAGGCAGCGAAGATGAGTTTAACGAGTCGAGCTACTTGAGGGCTGGAAATGTTGATGAACTGGATGATGCCGAGTGGCTCTATCAACTCAAAGGAGACGGGTCTGCTAGGGTTTGGGGTCGTGGTGAATGAATCCTTGTAGCCTGGTCGTGTCTGCTCTATCCAGTGTTTCTCGAAACTGACACACCTACTGCTGTCACACAGTTTTTCATTGCACAACATCTTCCTGATAACTCTGAAGATCCAGGAACCCCCAAGCATACTCTGGTGTGTTTGCCATGTGAACCCTACATCCTGGCCGCAAATTTTGTGAACAAGGAGCACCACGAGCGCAATTTGATTCAAATAGCCGGAAGCAATTCCGCTCTCGGTCTCAACAGGCTTTGAATGTGCGGATGATGCCATCTTCGCTGACCATTCCTCAATACATTTCTCGGCCGACAGAAAGACTCTGTTTTGGGAATTATGTGTCTTATATCGACAGGAGCTCCCCGGTCTGCCTCATAGTAGACAGTGATTGGTAGCTCTTGATCCTGCTTGGTAGAGCCTGGTGATTGATCACTTACCTCCTTTCGCAAAGAATGTCGGATCCGTTCTGGTACACTTATCCCTCTCCATTGGAAGGGTATCAAGACCTCCCGCCACTCCCAGATGAGTTAAATGAGGATGGAAAGTCTTTCAAGAACCCTCAAACGGGCATCTTAAGCGAGAGCTACCAGAAATTCACCTCTGGCGTGACAAATGGCCAGCGGGGTGGGTTTGACGTCCACATCTACTACCATCTCAACAGCGACGAGCAGAAGGAGTTTGCCCGGGCACTATGGGAGAGGATTCGAAGGGAGTTTCCGGAGCTGAGGTGAGTCGTTCTGGCTCTCTGGCTGTGCTCTCTATGTCCCCTATGCTCATTTAAACACTTTAGGATCTATCGATTCTGGGATCATCCGGTTGGACCACATACAATGGCCATGTTTGAAGTTAATCTCTTCACACCTGCGCAATTTGGGGCTTTCATTCCATGGCTGATCATCAATCGAGGGCCCTTGTCTGCTCTTGTCCATCCCAATCATGAAGATGGCGATGCGTTGAGGGACCACAGTCAAAGAGCCACCTGGCTGGGAGAGCGTGTGCCACTTGATTTGGGCATGCTGAGGAAGTTTATGAACCAAAGGACAAGTGAGCGAGTAAATGGGAAGACAGAATAGGAGCGATGTGTATGGCTGTGGCTGTGGATTGTGAGAGAGTCTTTGTGTTTCATTGTCTCAATACGCTCGCCTTCTGACATGCGTTTTCCTCTGGGAGCGTTCGATACTCAACCGCCCTGAAATTCACCTTCCTGTTTGTTTGTACCACGTTCTCCATTGTCGCCGCCCACTGCCTCGTTCAAGGTGCAGTGTCCGCGTACTTGATGTTCCGCGTGAAGGCAGTGCCACTGGTGCCCGGCTCGGTGACAATTCCCAACGAGTTCTCCAAGCGAGAAGATCTTCTTCCTGCAACAATCATCGAATCACTTAATCCCGGCAGCTGTCCCAGCCCTCCAACCTCTGGGCTAGCTGATCTCATTGAAGACCCTGATATCATGTATTCTCGCGAGGCGCAATCTTTTGCCAGGGCGGGATCGTTGGAAGCGGAAGTCACTGGGCATGATTTGGGTCGATACTTCCCGCGGCGACAGCAAGAAGTAGAGATCTTCGAATCTGAGTATGAGTTTGAAGGTGACGAAGAATATGAGGACGGGACTGAAAAGCGAAGACCTTCAAAAAATGATGTGAAACCGCCTGCGAGGCACTCAGCCCAACCTCGAGACGCGGCAACTTCTACGCGTTCCACTCCTCGATCCGTCTGTGGAAGTCCTAAAAGACAGCACTCACAGCAAGCGACTCCTGCTGGAGCAAGATCTCCGACCTCTACACCCCGCCGCTCAGTCAGATCTCGATTCCAGGGTAGCGGTCGGAGTCTTCAGTCTCGAGCACCACCGACAGCCGAGTTCTCTCTTCCTGAGGACATCGCCGCCGCGGAAAGGAATGACCTTGATGAGGAGAACAATGCAGAGGATACCGAAGGACCAACCTCTGTCGAACGAAATCTTCGAAAGAGAACTCTTCAACAGACAAACCCTTACAAATTCGACAAGCACCGGCATAACCTATCCTGGAAGACTGGCCACGAGGCCAACCCCAAAAAGGTGGAAAAGGCAATCCAAGATGAGATCGGAGTGACGGAACAAAAACAAGCGAAGAAGAAACCGCGAGGATCGAGGAGTAACTCGACCAAAAGCAAAGCCAGAACTTCAACGCCTAGGAAGCAGACTGCGGACAAACGCCGTCTGTCCAACTCAGCCTGTTTAGTCCCTCCTTCACCAGAGACTGATAGCGAGCATGTCTTCGACCCGGCGAGGACCACGCTGCGCGTGTGTTTGGACGGCTTTCATGGTGGCGCAGCGATCCCAATTCCTCTCAGCAAATGCGACAGCAATGACAAGCTGGTCGATTCCATTCTCAAGTTCTGGGGGTGGAAGTTCACGGGGACCGGCTTCCCTTACGCAATCGTGTCGTTTCCGTGGTTGACGGAGCAATCCAATATTCTACTTCGCCCAGGATTGGCCGAGAGCTTCCAAGGCATGATGGCCGAGATTGAAAACGCTCCTATCTGGGCCGAAGGGCGAAATGAGAGATGCGATGTTCAAGTGACGGTTTACCAGCAGTAATGGGGGTTTGGCAACAGACACGATTTCTATGAGAGATTCGAAGGCTGTGATGGTGGAGCCGGTTGACAAGATGCGAACCACGAAATCAGGGACGTCAGCACAAGGGCGAGAGAGCACTAGGACTATTATTCTTCAGGAGGGAGAAGAGGATCTGGCCAAGGGGCAAAATGTTAACAAACTCTGCGCGTCTACTGGTAGTTAGTGGACTAGTGTGACAGAAAACATGAAACGAGCAAAGCTCTGAGCCTTATCCACGCCTGCTGTTGGCCCGCGGCCAATGCCGCAGCGTGGCTTGGTGTTCCTAGGTTCTCTATAACCAGTCGGCTGTCGAGCTGCACAGGGACCACTTAGTGAGAAGCCCCTGAATATTCCCCGATGAAAAACGGCCTGATCCTGATCCTGATCCTGATCCTGATCGGGTAGCGAGGGTCACCAGAGATGAGGACGAAGCGAAAGAAAGAACTCTTGATCTTCTCCTCGTCTATCTCTGACACCTATTTTTTCCCGCTGAAGGTTTCCTCGAACCTGTCGTCCTCCTCCCTGCCACGACGTTGCGCTGCGGATTGACATTGACGCATGCGGCACCATTTGATTTCTGAGCGACCCGCCGTCAAGTGCGTCAAGTGTGCCTCTTGTGCGCCTCTAACGCAGGTTCAAGTGGTTCTGCTGCAGTAGTCGACCTCGCTGCTCTGGAGTTCGGCGCCCTGCAAATTACCAATTACCCCATATTCTGGTCGAGAGCAGCACCAGGACCAGGACCGGGACCAGGACCAGGACCAGGACGAGCTTCAACGGACGGCGGTCGCCTGTATCCCATTTCTACGCATCCAAAACCCTCCTCTGGCCTCTCGCTGTCGCCAACTCCGATAAACCCATCATTCGGTCACTTTCCACTCACTTGGCTCCGTCCTCCACCACATTGTTGATCTTCACTTTACGCTCTCGTGCAACCTCTTTCCTCAAAGTGTCCTTTTCGATTTGCTTCTGCGCTGGTCGCCTCCTCCCCCTGGTTGGTTGTGCCGAATCGAATCAAGTCCTCCCTACGCCCTGCGTCTCAGTCGTATCCTCCACGAATGATCAATCAGCCGTCGAACACCACGCAGCAAGCACCTTCCGCCAACTACAACTACTCAAACCACCAGTCCCGTTCTCCTCACGTCAGCACCCGCGCCTGCCACCACGCGCGTTCAATTCGCAGTTACTCCGAATTGGCTGCTCAGCAACAACCCCTCTCCGATACCTGATCTGAGACCTCCGACGCCATGACTTCTCCTACTCCTCTCGCTCGCAATGAGTCTCAAGCCTCCAGCCGTCGAAGCACTAGTCTCGGCTCTCGCTTGTTTCGATCAAAGAGCGGCGAAGCTTTGGGTGAACGCAAGACCTCGGCAAGTCGTCTGAAAAAGAAGCACCAAGAGATGGACGAAGCGGTCAAGGTCACACAATCACCTCCTCGCCTGCCAAACTACAATCCGCATCCGTTGGGCATCCAATCCTTTGGTGGTGAGAACTACAATCCTCAGGCCGCCTCCAGAGTGCATGCAAATGGCGCGAAAAACACCCCTCCCGTACCCCCTCTGCCCGGCAACATTGAAAAGGAGGCTGTTGATCCATATGCGAGGACTGAGAGCATGACCCACCGTAAGTTGAGCTGCATTGACGTGATAGCAGGACAAGGCTGACTCATTCCCGACAGGTGGCCGATATTCCTATGCGAACTCGACTGTGTCTACCATCAACTCACCTCGGAGAGTTCGACGTCGCAAGGATCCCACCCCCTATAACGTTCTCATCATCGGCGCCCGAAATGTCGGCAAGACCTCTTTTCTTAATTTCCTCAAGAGCTCCCTTGCTTTGCCAGCAAAGAAACAACCGACTCGAGCTCCAGATGACGACACACCTCCCTCGTCTGCGAAAGCAAACCCTAACTTCGTCCACCACTACCAGGAGATCGAGGTCGACGGTGAGCGAATTGGGTTGACCCTTTGGGATTCTCAAGGATTGGACAAGGGCGTTGTTGACCTTCAACTGAGAGATATGAGCAACTTCGTGGAAAGCAAATTTGACGACACATTTCTTGAAGAGATGAAGGTTGTTCGTGCCCCAGGCGTCAGAGATACGCACATTCACTGTGTCTTCTTCGTTCTCGACCCGGCCCGGCTGGACGCCAACATCAACGCTGCTCAAGGTGTCAGCAACGGGGTTGAAGCCACGCGGGTCGGCAAGCCGTCTCGGCTTGTCGGCGCCCTCGACGAGGACTTTGACATTCAAGTCATAAGGACTTTGGCCAGCAAAACCACTGTCATACCCGTCATCAGCAAGGCAGATACCATCACGACTGCGCACATGGCGTTTCTGAAACAAAAGGTCAGTCGAAGTCTAAAAAAGGCCGGCCTTGATCCACTGGAAGCGTTGAGTTTTGATGCCGAGGACGAGGATGACGAACGTCTGGATGAGCGCGATGAAGATGAAAACAGCAGTGCTGCAGATTCAGAAGACCAGACTTCAACCCGGAGTGACGGCTCTGATGCGGATCGAGACCCTTCGACTGTCAAGCGGCCAGGCAACCACAAGCGCCAAGTTTCCGCCGAGGACGCCGTTCCTGACGGTGGCTATGTTCCATGGTCCATCCTCAGCCCGGACAAATACTCCCTTGAAGCAAAGGACGGTCCGGTCGGTCGACATTTCCCGTGGGGATTTGCCGACCCGTACAATCCGGATCATTGTGACTTTGTCAAGTTGAAGGACGCTGTATTTGGAGAATGGCGATCCGAGTTGCGAGAAGCCAGTCGGGAAGTGGTAAGTCTCACGTATCTCTCGGGAGCGTAAACTCCTTACTAACAGTGCTTAGTTCTACGAACGCTGGAGGACGAACCGTCTCAATCGCCGAACACTCCCGGCCAATGCGACAAATGGCCTACCGTCAGGACCTCGACAAAGCACTGGCGGGATCCCGATTCCCCTCCAACCTCGGGTGCGATAAGTGAAAGGTATTCTGTACAACAAATGTACAAAAAATGTGGAAATTACCGGCCAACATCGATCGAATTGAAGACGATAACTGGAGGACAGTGTTCGTCTGCATGCTATTGAAACATATTCAAAAGTGAAAGGGCGAAGAAACTCGACCGAAGAAATTCGAGTAAATGGGAAGGGAAGCGGAATGGGGAGGGGGTTCTTGTCCAGGGGCAGGGAATGATGTGCGTGGGTGGCCCATTTGTTGATCTTTCGTCCATCCCTTGCATTACAGTGCCTTGGTTTTTGAACGACCTGACACGAGTCATGACACAACACAGCCTTTTCTCTTCTTGGAGGACATGACCCCGATTCTTGTGAGTGCAAAATGCAGGCAAAGTTGGGCATGTACACACACGTTTCCTTTTGTTGACTTTTCAGGAGGTGCTGGCAACAAGACGGCGAGCGAGCGAGTGAGCGTTGAGCATCGTGCACGTCGGCACTAAGCTGAGCTTGGTGTTGCAGAATGATGGAAGCCTTGAGTTTGGTGCAGGAGCTGAAATTGTAGCGAGCAGAGTTATCTCACAATACCCCTTTTTCCTTTTTCAACAATCACAACCTCATCCACTGTCGACCATAGAAAGTTTGGCCACGTCCTCTACGGGTCTTTTACCTCATCACACCGTCACTGTTGTGCAAATAAACAAGTCGTCTTATATACTGGGACGAAGCTCTGTAAAGCCGTAGGAAACAGGCAATGCGATCAAAAAGGATACGTATAAGAACAAAAAACAAAAACAATCAACAGCCAGGATTCCCAAGTGGTCACCCGCCTTGGTACTAACCGGCCGGCCTATAGCTTAAGTATGACTGAGCGGACGGGAAGCCCTGTTTTCTATACCCTGTGGTCGATTGCGGAAGAAATTTGGCGATGTGGAAGATATATATCCTGCGGCCCCGTACCCCGTACAGTAACTTTATATGCGGCGCGGTTCATCCCAGGCCGGGCAAGGCTGGGGTAGGTAGGTCAGGCAAGCGCAGGTCAGGCATGACAGCTTAGCAATAGCCTGCCCATCTCCGACCCAGACCAGCCCATCCCACCCTATCCCACTCCATCCTATCCTATCCTTCCCTATCCTATCCTATTCCATCTGTTTAATATGTACCACCTGCACATACATACCCCGGCCAACACCCACCCCTCAGTAGAACCACCTGTACTCTTGCGCAGCGGGCCCGTCGCGCAGCAGCTCCGAGGGGACGTCCCTGGCGCGGAGCTTCTTGCCGCCGTCCCTCACGGCCCGGAGGTTGCGTCGCTTGTTGTCGACGACCATCCAGGCTCCGAGGAGGAGTGTCAATGCGCAGCCCACGGCGCCGAACGTCGCTGTCGTCACGAGCGCGGGGAGGTACTTGGGGCGGTCTTTGTTCTGGAAGATATTCGAACTGTACCAGGTCAAAGAACAAAGGGAGTGAGAAATGTTAGTTATGATGTACCTCTGTATTTGACTTTTGTTGGGGGTTTGCTGGGGGCATCAACATCACATACCTAACCACACCCATCAAGTTCGCCACGGGCACGCCCACGCTCGTCAACATGACTCGCTTATTCTCGTCGGCGATGTTGTTGTTGTACCAGACGTCCAGGATCACGCTCGGCGCGCTCGTGCCCCAGGTCATCATGAAACACGCAAAGTACGCCGTGTTTATTTGGGTTTCCAGGTCCACGGCCGCGAAGATGATGAAGCCGATGCACGTGAACGCGAACCCCAGCGCGACGAAGGGGAATCGCAGGCGCGTAAGGTCCGATGCAAACGCCAGGACCAAGAGCATCACCGCCCCCGTAATGTTTGGCGCGACGGTGTACAGGTTTGTTTTCACCGTCGAGTAGCCGAGCTGGTTGACGATGACGGGGAGGAAAAGCGAGACGGACTGCAGAGGCACACCGAGACAGATCTCGATCGCCAAAATCACCCAGCTAGTTGGGTGTTTGAAGATGGCCAGCGCAGAGCGCAGGTTGAATTTCTCGTTCACCACCGATGAAGAGTCAACCTGGATCCTGTAAAAGGCCAGCTGTTTCTCCTCCTCGGTCAGAAACGTGGCGGACTGCGCGTTGTAAGGTAGGACCCAGAATGCGAAGAGCGAGAAGAGTATGCTGCATCCGCCTTCGATGACGAAGAGGTATCGCCAGTTCGCGAGCGAGGTCGAGTGGATCTGGAACACGCCGAAGGACAGTAGGCCGCCGAAGGCGGAGGCAATGTTGGAGGCGGCGTAGAAGATCGCGAGGCGCCGGGCGAGTTCGCCACGGCGGTAGAACACTGCGAGTGAGTGCTTGTGAGCGGACAATTGAATACTGGGGAGAAGGGGGACATAAGAGCTGGCGCGATTCTTACAGGTCTGGTAAAAGATGATGCTGGGGAAAAACCCTCCTTCGGCCTGTTACCATGATGCCACATATATATATATATCAGAATACAGTCTTTATCGAGAGGGAAGCAGTTTTTGGAAAAGGGGAGGGAATATACCATGCCCAAGAACCATCGACAAGCAAGCAGGCCTCCGAAATTCTTCACGGCGACGACCATAAGTGTGCTGAATCCGAAACACAGCATCATCAGCGGGAGGGTGCGACTTGGCCCGAATCTTTTGCTGGCCATGCCGACAATGGGTCCCGAAAGCACATAGGGGACGAAGAAGATGGACAGGATCAGGTTGTAATCATCCCCCTTCATGCTGAGCGTTTTTTCAAGCCCAGCAGTCTTTGCGTTGCCCAGGTTCGATTTGTCCTAGGATCGCCCATGATCAGGATTCGGAAACAATTCTTCTTTGGTACACTTTTTCTCGGAGAGGAGCGAATGTGTATGTCGCTTGTACCAAAAACTCACCAGTGCATTGAAGAGATACATAATGGCCAGCGTAGGCAGGATGCGCAAGTCAAACTTCCACACCAACCGTCTCTCCGCATCAGGGTCAATTGCCGCACTCGCGGAGACGGTTTGACCTTCTCCAACTGAAGTAACCGGGACAACGCCATCGTCCGTGATAGATACTCTCTTATCGTCTTTGAGAGTGAGCATGGCCCCTCCGCTGCTGGGTTGCGTGTCCATGCTGGCTCCGACAACCTACCCACAGGAAGACTGTATATAAAAATCGACGAGTCTGATCGGGGACAACGGCACCGAATCACCGCCTCCAAATATGTTTTTTCTCACCTCAAATAGCTGACTCCCAGGGGAGATGTTGAGAGAAAACCAGATTCGCAGCTCGCTCCGTCCACGGAAAAGAGTCACGAGCGACATCATACATATAAGCCAGTGAATCTGGTGGCGTTGCACCGGCTAATGGAAAATCTGCCAGTGGCCTTCCTCTTCTGAGGCTAGAGATAAGGGTGCTATCGAAAGAGCAGCCCATCATGTCAAGAGGAAGAGAAGATCTCACGGAGGGGAGGGCACTTACTGGAAAGAGCAGCAAAAGTGCAATCGCAATCCGGCGAGGAGACGGACCACTCCAAGGAACTAGGGTCACGTCTACCTAGGTCCCCTTGATCCTTTCATGCATGTTTTGCAGATCATATTGCGTCTGGCGTGGCACCGAGAGTTGCGTCAAACAGAAGGTGGCCAAGTTGGAGAGCCAAAGAAATCGAGGTGAGATAAGAATGCGACAGGGTCAGTTGCTGAAAGAGGACAAGGGGGTTGTTATCGCTGCGGTGGCCCTGGTAGAGATGTCCAGGGATACCACCTGCTCGCATTGTGGACTTCTCCGTTTCCCAAGCATTACCATTGGCAGTGAAAGACAACAAGAGGAAGATTGACGACCGCCATGATGGTCGGTAGATCTGGGGTTGCGGAGATCGACTAACTAATGAATGGCAAGTAACTTGACTGTTGTGCCGACAGCTCAAGGTCAAGTCCTCCAATAGCTCGAGCTCGAAGGCAACCTTCCTGGCTCTCCTGTATAACAATATATAGTCAAGTTCTCAGTGCTGAGAATGATTTTGGTCAAAATACTTCGCCATCCATAGTTCCATATATTTCTGGAGCATTCGTAGCCCAAATGCCTTGACGTAGCTGGATGTAAGCGTCTTCTCCAAGGAGATCTTTCGCCCTCCCTTTCAAAAAGAATGTGGACCCCTTTCCAGTGACAAGACGGATTCCGACGCCTCGCAGCGCCTGGCGACTGGTGACAAAACTGTCGATGAGACCCCTATCTCCTTGAAACACGTCCTCCAGAGGCAGTAGAGTCTGGTATGTAGTGTCGAGATCTAGGAATCAGTTTGAGAAAATAATTCCATCAACCAGCTTGGCAAAGGCCAATATCAGCCTCTCCAATTCTCTCGACCACATAACCGACCCTCGTATTCCCTTGCTTGACTGAAAAGTGATCTGGGTCTCCCAAAATGTCAGGCGTCGCAGCATATTCATCGGCCTAACGATGTAAAGCTACTGTCAATCGAATCTCTCCATCCTTCTCGACCAAAATCCCAGCACTAATCTGGTTGCCAGAGTTTGTCGATAGGATAGTTCCTGGGTAGAAACATCCCTAAGTCTGAAGGTAATCGGAATCGTCTTCTTGAAGACCAGACAAATATATTGCATCAGGCTTTTTGGGGCGTCCAAACTCTGTATTGGTGAGTGGCTCGTTTGAATACTTCATGCAACCGAGGAGTTTTTGGCAGCCGTGTGGCAACTCAACTATCTTGTTCTTCCGCGACTCAAGGTCCATCTCAGGGAACTCCACGACAAGAGTGTTGCAGATGAGGGAAACCGCTATTGCTCCGTTGAAGTAGCGGGTCACAATGTCGAATAAGGTCTCGGCTTTAGGCATTCCACAGGGCATTAAATCTGCTGCAAGCCTATCATCTAACTTGATCTCACATTCTAAATCATCATTGGTCGATATGTTTCCTGCCAGGAGGCATGGCACCGGTTCGTCAAACCTGATCCATACGGCGATACAGGCCGCAACGGAGAAAGACCGCTTGTCTGGCGGGGGAGGCGTACCATTACATCGAAGTATGAGGAGTGGTAGGGTGATGACGAGCTCAACCACGTTGAAGTTCTCAGAAAGGTAGTGGGTAAGAGCGGCGCGATGCTCGGTCTAGAGATGCTGATCGTGAAGCCCATGATCCCGTAAACTGAACTCTTCAAAGTTAAGCGACGCGGTTGCGGATCCAGAATCTGGCTAAAATACTGTGCTGAGGGCATTTTTGGGTGATTCGGAGTGCGCTCATGAAGGGTAGGTGAGAGGGATGGAAGGGTAGCATGGAAGAGGATAGAGAGAGGTTGAGGTGTCTGCCATTGTCCATTTTATACGAGGTTCTCGAAAGGAAAGAAAGCCTGTATATTTACTGATTGCGGCGCGGCCGCGAACCAAGACTCGGTGCAGCAGCAAAGCTTGATTCGGCGGATCAATGTAGATAGCTCGAGAACCTTAACTATCTAGTTAGGTCGGTAGGAGGATCGCAAGAGAGGGGGTAGGTCGGGGGTGGCAGGGGTATGCGAGAGCTGTCAAACCTGTCGGCCCACTTGAACACAGATTAGATCAACAGGATCCTGGGATGTCTCCGCAACCTGTGTGAATAGCGCAGAGCGTGAGCGTCAACGAGGTCGCCACCGCAGAGTGAGATGGTGGAGAGATGAGAAGGATGGATGGTTGTTGAGAAGGAACTTCAGAGATGGCAGGAATAGACATGCACGTTTGAACAGCTCTGGCTGATCTGAGAACTCTGAGAAAGGGGCACGTACACAGATGTGAAGATCATGTTGCAGCGTAGATTCGATATCCTCGTATCCTGCCTCGTTGATGTCAGCCAGTACGACCCTCCACTGCTCCTTGATGTTGCCATTACCTGCGTTGGCCAGGAGGTGATGCCCAAGAGCTAGCCCCATCCTGGAGCTTGCGCCAGTGACAACGGCGGTCTTTATGACCATGGGCTTGTCAACCATTTTGGCGATTGTTGCAGGTTGTCGCTGTCACCCGCTGTAGTCTGCCGGGGAGTCCTTCCTGATATATCTTACCAGTCTCGCGGACAATCTTTCTCCTCGAATGACAAGTCATGAAACCCAAGCTCATATAACTCTTCTCCGTCCCTATTGATCCCATTATCTTTCTTCCAAATTAAGGCTAAGCACAATTAAACCAAATTGGTATGATATAACATGCAACACGCAATATGTGCTCGTTCGCCGAACTCGAGACGCACGCTAGCGCCGACGACCACCAAAATCTTCTTCAAGAGGGGACGCTGTTAGCAAGAGGTTCCGACATATATAACAAAATAATGGGGACACTCATTTTAGAACGTCCTTTGATGGCAAGAGAAGATGTCGTTGAACGCAAGGCCAGGATATTTGGCGGCTCCTTCAATCGGAAGGCCGAACCCAAGCCACGAAGACAGCTATCCAATTGGAATAGATATCAGTACTCTAATGTGACTAATGGGAAATGAGGAAACCCTGATATATAAGACTTTTTTGGTAAATCACGTGACTTTTGCCCCTCGTCTGACGCAGCCTTGTGTCGAGTTCACGAGGGGAGTCGACTGCTATTAGTATAGTCCTATTCGGAGCCCCAAAAAAAGAGTTCATGCTGCATAAAGAGACACGTGAAACCAATGAAGAGGTATCGAGCCTCCGGGAAAATCCGACAGTTGTCCTGTGAAGTTGTTCGATGGGAGTGAATCATACATCACCATATCACCATATCACTGTAGGCCCAAATCCCCCTTGATTATCCCAGGCAGCAGCGCTTTGACATGCGTAGCCGTGGTCTCGGGGTTTCTCTCGATCTGCATGCCCTGCGGCACGGTTTAGCAGCGAAGACCCGGCGCTCTGGGCGGCCGTCCACGTCCAGGCGCAGAACTGTGATGTGGAGCGATCTGTCAGTAAGATTACTTTATTAGTGAGGTAGGTGGGTAATTTACGTGGATTTGGTTTTCTTTTTCCCCTTTTGGGTTCATCTTCCTCCTTCGGTTCTCTTCCTCCGCCGTTTGGTTGCAGCATCGACACCGAATCCATGGGGCTGGGCTGGGATTTTTTGCAGGTAAATATGGGAAACCTACCAGGATATCAGGCCGGTAAAGCAATACAAGGAGCTCCACTTCGTCAATCCCTGAAGCAGTTCGTTAGTTAGCTATGTGTCTGCGCACCTAGATCCATTCATTGTCCGTCAGCTCCCCTGGCGCGGAAGCAGGGGGAAAATTGCGATATTTGAATGGTTCCCCCCAGAGGCGGATTTCACGGGGCGGACGTTGATAACGAAAACCAACAGTTTTTCCGAGTATCTTGCTGGGGAAGAATGAGGTTGGAAATGGGACAGCTATGGACTCTGTGTGGAAAATGTAGACATAGACGGTATGAATGATGCTCTGCAGGTGGTGCTTTTGGCTGATGACTGAGAGACAACGAGTACACTCCCCAGTACTGTACCTAGACATGGAGTGAAGGGCGTCAGCACAACAGCCAAGCGCGGCTTGGATGTCTGACCGCGATTGCGATGGTAAATGGCTCCTACATAGATAGACACATGCCAAAATCCCCTGTTTCACCAGCATGGAAGTCTGCAAGAGAGGGGCTCAAGGGACCCTGGAGGCAGCCCCAATTCCGCATGTTCCTCCATCGGATTAGGCGGATAGTCTCCTCGAAGAAGTCCTTGTCATATAATTCCTTCCCTCCGGTTGCGATTCTCCTCTCTAGGTGGTTGATGATCCCCAAAAATGCCGCCGTCGAGAGAAAATACCTGCAGCCGACTCACCGACTGGACCCCGATGGTACAGAGGGGCTTGGCTTGCTGATGAGTGGTTGATTCTGAAGGATATGGAATGTGGCTGGCATAGCTCATAGATGTGCTATCATATGCCGACATCTCGATGAAACCCCCGGCATGGTAAACTTAGAACAGCATAAATGCGAAGCCGTGGAGCTGTCATTGACCAATTAGTATTGCAAAAATCTATCTGAGGTACTGTAGAAGCTACGGCCACAGATATTCCCGACGGTCAATTGAGAGGAGTGGGGGCGCGCCGAAACCATATGCCCCATGCAATTTTCCAATTATCCCGCTCACAGCAAAAGCTCATCTTGAAGTTTCTCCTAGTCTCTAGGTACTTCGATTGGCTCGTTTTTCACACCGGTCGGACCTCCAGCATCTTGCGCAAGTGCAGCTCAAGTCATCAATACGGTGGCCGGAAGCCGCTTGACTTTCGTCGACGCGCGTCCCTGGAGCTTGGGGTAGCCCCGAACTGCTTGCCACATCTCCAGGACCAGTACTTCGACAGGGCGTAGTAGACATAGTTGTCGTCATTATTGAGGGTTTCTGGGTACGGTTGGGTGAGGCTCCCGTATATGTCTTTGATCTGCCTGGCTCTGTACGGGCCGTATCCGTGTTTCGGATTCGGACCCCGGTAGTCGTCGATGGTTCCCCCTCTAATGAAAATGTACCAGTTGGGGACGTAGACGAAGAACCAGGACCAGTGGATAAACTCGTGCAAGATGGTAGAGCCCGTGGTCTTCATCCAGTCGGAGTCGTAGTCCCCAAGGTTGTCGCAGGAATATCCAGGCAGAGGCCGACCTTGGTTGTCTCTCGCCCACGGGGTCTGTGGTGGATCTGCGATGTCCTCAATTGATGGCCAGCCAAAATATGGGTCGCAGAGGTAGATGTTGGCGTTTCCATGGCTATCGTCTTCAAACATAAAAGCATTAATCCTGCCAGTGCAACCTTGCCTATCAGGTGGCAACAGGCTGTCCGAGATTGAAAGTGTTGCCTGCCTGAATCTCGGATTCAGTTCTGTGTTGGGTGTGGTGAGGACCGACACCAGGGTTTGACCTGTAATGACTGCGTCCAAAGGTATGTTGGCAATGGTTCGAAAGATATTTTTCACAAAATCCGCATCCTCTGGCCGGAAATACCGCAAGAATACCTGTGATGTCGGTTAGGATCAAACGCTCTTTGTGATATAGCATACTTTCATGGTGTGCCGCAGCGCTGGAAGTGGGTAACCTGCCTCTTCGCATGGACTGAATGTCAAAGCCGCTATCCTTGCAATGTGAATGGCATCCTCCAGCCCCTCCCGGACCCTCGCGATTTGTGCCTCAGGCGTACCAACGGGATACTATATCGTAGGCACGTTTTGGCATTGTGTTGGGTTCAGACCGAAAAAGTGAAGGAGTAAGAGCAGTTGGAAGAAGAGATAAGTCCCCATGATGCAAGGATTGACGATGATTTTCGTACAGCCACTCCCCGGCGTCGATTTGTGAAGGAAAGCACGCACTCAGCCACTGGAGCTTCTCGGAGAAGTCTGAACGTACAGCAGCCACCACGGTAATCAGGAAGAGAGAAACGGAACAAAAGGGCGATGGCCATCCTAAATGCCTTTTCGTGTTAGACAAAGCCCACCCTGGAGAGTAGGTTTCCCGATCATGTTAACGGTCTCGCATATGTTTGCTTGGCACTGCAGAATTCTCTCTATCGGAATGGTCTTCTGCCGTGTGGTGAAGGGGTGATTCAGCTTCGCTGCTGTGTGTACACCGAATTAATCCGAAGCAGGGCCGATACTAGCTAAAGGGGCCAAGTTGATCTCATCCTCCCTTTCCAGCTCCACTTCTTCAGCCTTGCCTGCAGTGATGTGCTCCAGCTTCAGGCTACTTTCAACCTTATCATACTGATACTTTGAACATATAAGAAAGTGAGGAGACGATCAATGCCAAGAGAGCAGGAATGCTGAGCGCCCAGTGTTAGACAGACAGAGGACATCCGGACGGTGAATGTAGAAAGCCCAGGTGCATTCCAAGGCAAACTGGAGCCTTTTGTAGGGACATAGTGCTGTTCAGCCCAGAAACGCGTTCGTTGCGTCCAAAATAAACTGCACCGTCTCCTCGGGCCTACTAAGCATGGGCGAATGACTGCTGTTTATCTCTCTCAAGGTAATGTGTGCTCCTCCATCTCGCGCCATTTGCACAAACATTCTCTGCGCTTCCACCGGAAGGGCCTTGTCATCCTTGGTGGCAAGGTACCACACAGGCACGTCCATCCACCCTGCGTAAGTATGTTCACCACCTTCTGTCAATGTTTTCAGCGAGTGCTTGGTGAGCTTGCTGACCCATTCCTTGCCCTCCTCTTCAGCGAGGTCGTGGTAAAATAGTTCCCGGGGGTCGGCGACAATCACAGCGAAGCCGCTCTCCGGCTCGAGTCTCCAGGACGGCGGTGGTTGACCACCGAGGCCGTCAAGGAAAGATTTTGCGGGAACAACAAAGCCAGATGCCATTACGATGAGGCCAATGACATGGCCAGATGTCTTGTTCTGTGCCGGTGGTGAGGGTGAAAATGGAGTGTCATGTTTTCCTCTCGGCAATGCAAAGCCCCTGATCGCACTTTGTCCTGGAATGCCACCATAGGAGTGCACCACAACTACGACATCTCGTCCTTGAGTGGTTTCGGCGAGAACGACGCTTCTGACAGCCTCGATGTCATCTAGAAGAGTTGCCGTGGGGTCAGATTTGGTTGATGGTAGGGCCACAGGGATACATTTGAATTGGTGTTCGGTCTCGAGAATTGTCGAAACCTTTTTCCACGTGTCGGCACTGTGCCATGCTCCCGGCACAAAGACCAGAGTAGGCTTGGAAGACATAAAGACCACTCTTGTAGGTTAGCGTGTAATGCTTCAGAGGATGCACTGGCTCAAGGGATGGAAAGGAGAACAAAATCAAGGGAAGGAACAGAAATCCTTGGTCGTCTGAAGCCAGCAAGGGCTCTTTTAAGGTCATAGTAATACTCGTTTGATCCGCCGGCCGCGACAGCCCAGCATCTAATCCACGCAACTTGGTGTCTGGGACCTTTTCGGGATAGACGTACCTAAGGGAGAGGTATCCACCTTGTACCTTCCTAAAAGGTACTACGGAAAAACCAGGACGTACAAACTACCGCGGAATGAGACTTCCCGCGGCCCTTGTCTTGTACCCCATCTTCCTCCAGTTGGTTCCTGCATATAGACTGGGTGGAGCAAGAGAAGGGGACAAATGAGACAAGAGCTGAGGGGCGAACGAAGCTGTTCTAGGAAAGTACAGAATACGAGTTGGATCGATCCCCTACAGCCTTTTGATGGCCCTCAATGTCAATGTCCACAGTGCCATGTGGAGTGAAATTGATATCAATTCGTCAGATATGTATTCAATCGTCAATTTGCTCGTGTCCATTTGATCGTCTGTGCCGGCCCGTTACTTAAATACCTCAGACCTTAGTAGCAGCTCCAGTTCCATGCTAACTGTCAATCCTACCTAGTCAAATACGCCAATCGAAATAACAAAGTCACGGCCAGAATCCATTTATGTCATCGCCATTTCCTCCGCCAACGCCTGATCCCCCCGAAGCACCCGTTTGCTTGCCGCCATCCGCTCAATGATATCGTTTATAAAGTGAAACCATCTCAAGCTCGAAACATCTTGACAACTTGCTTCACGGTCTTCCTGCAAATAGGGCAGAGTTCACACTGTCTGGCGCACTCGACACAAGCGCACACATGCCCACAGTCGAAAAACAACGCATCAATCTCGTTGCCGTAGCAGATCTGGCACAAGTCTGCCTGCTCGTCTGCAACCTGCCAGAATGTGGTGCCCATTCCCCAGCGCTTTCCATTCTCGAAGCCGCCGACGTATTTGTTGCCTGTTCTAGCTTCCACAAAGGTACCTTGGCCATGCCGCTCGTCCTGATGCCATTCGCCTTCGTAGATGTCACCATTACAATACGTCATTTTGCCCCCTTTGCCACATTTTATGTTGCAGACAAGGGGTCCCTCGTAGGTGTTGCCCGTAGAGCTGATAGTGACGCACTTTGCCCCATGGCATAGCCCGTTGACCAGGGGTCCTTTGTAATAGTCGGTTCCGAACTCCGCAAGCTCAACTGGTTCGGTGGTCGTCCTGGAGTGAAGAGGATGCTGTCGCTCAACCATTCTTAAATAGTTGGATAGGTCGTGAGGGTTGGAGAATTTGCCTTCCTTCTCAAGCTCCTTGACGCGAGTTTCGGACACTGGTTCGTAGACGACAAGATCGCAGCCATTAACAAACCTGGGGTCTAGGAAGGTATCCTCAGGTCCCACAATGGTTCCGTCAACCGTTGAGTGGCGACGCCAAGCGACAAAGTTCTTGTCGGCCCCATAACCAAGGCGCCTTTGCACGAAGTCTCTCACTCTTTCCTCCGACCTGGCAAAGAAGGTTCCTTGGACACGGAATGTCTGCCTATCAACATCGAAGACTTGAATGAAGCCATAGGCACTGTCAACGGGCCCTTGTTTCTCAGGGGGCGGTGACGAGGACTGCGACGACTCGCCGGACTGTGAGGCTGAATGGTCTGTAGAAACAGATCCGGAGTTCATCACGAAATCCATGGCCTCAGAGTCTTCGGCAATGACCGCGGCAAAAATGGATTCTGCGGTTTGAGACAACGTCGAGACTTCGGGTGCCAAAGATTGTTGAGTCTCATCGTTAACAGGCAGAGCCACAACATCGTCATGTGCTGCCGCGTCGATGAGATGGCCATGAGGCACATTTGCAGCTAAGCTCTCTTCGGCGGTGGGGGGTGGGACCTCGAGCTGCATGGGCGTGTCCGAGTCATTGACCTCCATTGCCACAGCAGATGGTTGCTGTCCACCATCTGAGCCGCGCTCAATGTCGGCGGTAACAGCCGCCCGGACCGAATCTTGTTCTGCATCGGGAGCAGCGATCTGCTCTTCACCGCCGTGGGCGACGCTGTCAGAGATTGATGCATCACTTCTTGATTGTAACGAATCCGCATCCACTTGGACACTTGTTCTGTCTGGTTCACCGAATAATTGGAGCTCGTCCTTGCTAAGCACTGACATCCACAAGCACAACGGTTGACCCGTAGCTCTGCCATCGCCGATAGTGTCCAACAGATGGACGTTGAGCATTTGAGCCGTTGCATAAAAGCCAATGCCACTGTAACCCATTCGAAAAAGTCGAATCATTTGAGGATCCTCAAGTCCAAGCTTTGCGGCCAGGCGCTGCCTGAATTCTTGATATGTTGCTTTTTTGGGAGAGCTCATGAGGTGGAACTGCCCCTTGTGTTGAGACTGTACTTTGATGTTGTACATGTCCAGCAGTCCCTCCCTTCCGACGATCCCCTCATCAGAGTAAACTTCGACATTGATCTCTTCCGAGTCCTCATCGGTGGTGTCTTCGGAAAAATTTCCATGCGCCTCCTGATATGAAGACTCAAGATAGGGTGCTAGCCATTTCGGAAGCTGATACGGTTCCAGACCTCCCGGCAGGTAGTCGGCCAAGCAGCTGATCTTAATGTACATTGCCATGTAAGCGGTTGTTCGGGTGGAGTTAAAATCCTTCAGAGCCTGCCCTTCGAGACCTTCGAATGCTTGAATTCCCTTCTTGCTTAAGGAGAAAACCTGGTTGCCATCTCCATCCTCAAAAGCGAGCCACATTGTATTTGGCCCGTTTGGTCGCAAGACCGTGTAGAACTTTCCTGAGTTTCTTACACCGGCATGAACCACGAATCCATAGAGAGTGTACTTGGCATCCTGAGTATCAGTGCTGAATTCCGAAACGTCAATCTCGTCATTCAAGATCACACGGTCGTAAAGCAACTTCCATTCTCTTGTCTTCTTGTCAAACTTATCCCGAGCGAGCATAAGTGGCAAAAAATTTGGGAGACATGCTTTGAATTTGCTTTCACGCAAAACACGGGTGAGTGCTTGCTGGATGTCGAGGACGTTCTCAACGGGTAATGGTGGAAGGGAGATCGGACCGCTCGGACTGTCAAAAATTGCTTTCAGTGCCCTCAAGCTTTCTTGATCATTGTCCAATTCAAGTTCGATGCTTCTTCGGAAGGCTTCCCAGAAAGTCTTGACATCAGTATACTCTTCTCCGAAATCTCTCATTGCCTGAATCGCAGGATACAGGTCCACGTAGGTTTCACGTTCCTTCCTTGACGTTCGCATCAAAAAGAGGATCATTTGAAGGTAAGCGATGAATGGCCTCGGGCGGATTTGGGAATTTCGCCGCCAGCCTCCGGCGTCGACGTTCTGAAGCAGTTTGCGGAAAGGAGCCAAAAGAAGCCATGCAGTCATCCCTGCCACTGCAGGGCTGTGATAAAGTGGAGGAGTTCCCATTGGAAAGTAACCTGCAAGTGATTTCGAGTCCCAGTGGGGTTCGCCCTCGGAGCTACGCCACCACAAGGCTTTCGTCGGGTCATCGAAGATGCGAATGTAGGCGTCGATGGCAATAGTGTCGTTCTGCAAAAGCGGTGCTCTTTGCAAGTGTTGTCGAAGGTGTACATCTCTCCAAGGCCCTGCAACACTTGACCAGCCCCAGTCATCCACATACTTGGAGAACTGTCCTTCCGTAGAGGCATACGCGCAAGTGCGTGGCTCGTCTGGGTTGTACATCACTATCCCGAGCTGGGCAGACAGTCGCCAAGTATCCTCTGCTGGTTCTGGAGTGTTTTGTACGTCAAGCGCTTCGTCACGGCCGATATCTGCACCGCTAGGATTTGCGACTTCGGAAGGTGGATGACTGTCTTGTTTTTGACTGGCTAATGGAGTGGTAGAGGAAGTTGAAGATGGGTCGTCCTTCTTCGCGGTTGGGTCTATCTTTAACGTGAGGGCTGGCACGGCTCCATTGCCAAAGTCTGCATCTGGAGGGCCTTCGAAGAAACAAAAGGTGCTATCTGCGAGTTTGGTGTCTGCTTTGGGGGGCCGCCTGCTGCATTTGATGTAAGCACTGTAAGAAGCCGATGTATGGCCGCGCGGGTAGAACTTGATTTGCCAGTAGTTCCCATCCACCAAAGCAGGAGGAGAAACCATGACTCTAGCATGGTTGGGCTTGTCCTTGGTCCCTCGGACGCCCTTGATGACCCAGCTGAGACGCAGCTTCTTGATCGGACGCATGTCCGGATCGTCTGTGTCTGAATAGATGCGCTTCTCAACACTAGGAATGTCCAGTGCACTCAGCTCTGTGCCTCTTGACTCTCGCATTCTCAGCTCTTCCATCTCCTCCTCACTTGGTTTTGACCAGTCGTCTTCAAAAAGTGTCCATTCTGGGATGTGAAGGCGCGGTTCAGGCGGTGGAGGAGGGGTTGAGCTTGAGTCTTGACTTGGGACTTCCGCTACTACTGTACTTGTGCCCTCTTCTGCGGGAGTTGCTGGCTCCTGAACCACCACATCATCTGGTTGCTGCACCTGAGGCTCTTCTTCAGTGGTATTCGTCGACTCTTGTGGTCGAGATTCGGGCTCAGTGAAGGGAGCGTCCGCCATTTCTGCGTCCGCCACTTCGGGAGAGGATGGAGCTGGCTCACGCTGCGGCTGTGGGGAGCTGGAAGAGGGAGGTTCGAGTGGTTCAGGTCCGGGCATAGTCGACATTGGTGGTTGGCGGTCAGGTTCAGGCTCCGGACTGTATGCGGAAGTCAAGGTGTGAGGCGGAGGGGGATGAGTTTGGACCAGGACTGGCGAAGAGCTCTGTGAAGCCATGGTGCCGGGGGCAGTACCAGGAACTGATCAGTAGCAAGATGAAAACGAGAAAAGGGAAGAGTGAGGCGGTGAATGCTTGAATTGGCCTTGTATATCAGCTTGAGGTGGTGTGCTTCGTCAGAAATGTACAAGGACGCCCTTACATTTTCCAGCAATTGGCAGCGGTGGCTGAGAGAAAGCAAGAATGATGGCTCAGTTCCAGGGTGAGCAGTGAGCTTTTGTGTGCATGAAGGGCCTCCGACTTTTGCAATCGAGAGGGTGTGCATTTATGCAGGAGTACTGGGTATGGTAGAACCGGTAAGTGGCAGGCAACGAACGAAGTCCAGGCATCGGCGTGGAGGCTTAGCTATTGGACGGGGCCGACAGGCTCCAGCGCCTGGGTGCTCTTGGATGCCCCCGGTTCTAAGTGGCCGCGTGCACGGCTAGGCTAACTTGGCTAACCTAACAAGTACCGGTAGGCCTACTAGGACTACTCTGTTCCTCGTAATGGTTACTAGTGCTGGCCCCCCACGTAATGACTCCCCAGCTGTCGCCACCCGCCTTTGGGCCGCAAGCCCACCGAAAGCCTACTGTGGTAGTGAGGCTCAGCCATTAGTCCTTTGCAGATGTCTGACTCTCTTAATACCCACCCACCAAGGACTCATCGGCTACTCGTAGAAATAGTGGTACGCCCCATTCCTATCCAGCACCCATTGGCTCGAGTCGTGAGACCCTCAAATGTGATCTTTATCCTTTCAAAACTCCCCATTTCTCAACCCTCTCAGCCTGACTCACTTCGCCAGTCAGGGATCAGCAGGTCTCACGATCCTAACCATCACACCACGCTGGCGGTCTCCACTCTCCCATCGTTATGCTTGTACAAGTACTTTTAAATATTTTGCGCGTGAGGCTCTCTGGCTTGAAGCATGTGGAATTGAGAGACACCACACCTGTTTCTTCTGCCAGCCTACTAGGCCTCGGCTTCAGATTCTGTTCAGATACCGGCCGATCATGATTTTGGTTCTGGTTTTGCAAAAGTCGCGGCCACAATCAAGGGGAAGCTGATTGTACTGAAGACATCTGTTAGCCTGGATCGTTATCAACAAGAGTCTGCAAATCGGACGCCAGCTCACGCTTCAACATAGACCTGTTTGTTGACTCATATCAGTTTTCTGCAGTCCTCAAGTTCATCCTTTCCATACCTTAACACCGTCCCCATCGGCTTTGATTCTACTCCATAGCTTTCGGTTAGCTTCTATCAAAGACACCGCCAGTAGTGTTTTGGAGACGACTCACTTGCCCCAACTCACTGCCTCATCCGGTCTGGCACCAGCATCGCTCCCATCGAACTCCTGTGCAGTATTGACATAGACGGCACTTTCGGCGCCATTCCGCATGAGACACGCGTTAGCTATGTGATGTTTGATAATCCCACCCCCGAGGATAATCATGCCTGCCCGCTTCGCCCGCACGGCAATTGTGTTGATTTTTCGAATGTCTTTGGCTATGTCGATGCCGAGATGCAGAGGGGACGCTTTGAAGGAATGGAAGTAGATCATGTCTCCGAGGCTGCCGTCCGTCAGGGCGGGACAAAAGACCGGAATGTCGTTCTTGTATGCCCAGTAGTATACCGATGATTCGTCATTGATCTCTTTGCCGAGCCGACGGATGATGGTGCTGGGAGTCCACATGAATCGTTCACCGGACTTTGCAAACTCCTCTTCCTGCTCTGCCAACATCTTGTCTAGGATGGGAATTATCCAGTCCTCGAAGGCGCAATAGTTGTTGTTGGGGACGATCAAGTTACCGATGCGGTTCAGTCCCTTGGCTCGAAGGGCTGCCCCCGAGGCAGAGAAGGAGCCTAAGTATGTCGGAGCCAGACATTTGATGAAGTCCTCCTCAACACCCCCGGCGGTGGTGACAATGGCCGACACATGGCGATGCTGGACAAGATAGCGGAAGGTGTCGCGCAGGCCTGAGGATATCATGTTGGAAGTGTAACCCAGAAAAATGGTGGTTTTCTCGCCTGACTCGGCGTCTCTCCATGATCTCTGAAAGCAGTCAGAACAACTGCTTCTTCGCACTGACCTTGGTTTACGAGTGACGGACCATGTCATTGATGATACGGATCGCATCGCCTATTGAACTGGATTGGAAACCTTGTCCGGTGAGTTGGTCGATGAAATTTGAGATGATGGTCCGCTGTTCGTCTGGCAAGGACATCCAGTCGATGCCCTTGACCTGTTGGGCTCCATCAGCAACAGGTTCCGAAGGTACCAGGACAGCATCGGTGGCTTTAGCCGGTGGTGCAGATCCCATGGTTGGTCTCTGTACACCTCAAATGGTACCGGGTTTGCGGTAATATGAGGGCGACAGTGTAAAGAGCCGCAGAAAAAAAAAATCGAGAATGGGTCGATCGGTATGAGGTGATCTCATATGATGATTCGCTGGTGTTGTAGGTGACGAGAGCGGGTGGCAGGCAGCCTATGAAACTTGACTGGGTGAAGTCACCAGGCAATACGAGGTACCTTGGGGTTTAATTTGGGCACTCGGCAGCACCTACTTGGTAGTAGCTTGGCTCGCTAGGGGCACCCGAAGGGGTGCTAGGAGGCGCGTGGGATTTCTCTACTTGTAAGAGTTCGGTGGCGCACCGAGGTAAACGCAGAGTATTGACCGAAACAATAGCCGCCAAATGGGGGTTTTTGTTGTAATGACTCAAGCATGCAGCCTGTAATTAGAATCACGGTTGACGCAATGGTCATTTGTACCGAGTACAACGCACAGGCGACGGATCGGCGGCGGCGGCTAAGGTTGAGGTGCAGCAGCCTGGAGCGGCCAGGGCTAAGGAGCTCGGGAGGCAAGCCCACCACGCACAAGCAACAAGCACTGCTACTTACCACCACCAAGCGCCTTGTCCGTGTCAGACCCATCCATGATCCATGATCCATCTCTTTTCGTCCTTTTTCCCTCCTGGTCATTTTTCCATCTCTTCCCATCAAATTCATTTATCCCACAACTCCGTCAACGCGGCTGCTCGATCGCGCATTGGAACTCAAACGCTCTCTGGATTTTTGTGATCGACAAAACAGCCAATACGGCGCTTTTCCCTTCCACACGGACTCTAATCACCCCATTTCAGCTTCGCGCCGCTACCTTCCTTTCCCTTCGGCAAATCGGGATCTGGTCCATTTCTGCCACGTCCTACGCGACCGATTACTCACCTCGTCTCGCTGTTGTCTCAAACTCGTTCTCTTGAACTTCCTTTGACTCGGAGAGTGCCAAGGGCGCGAAAACCGACGACGTGTTCGAATTTAATCCACACAATTCGCCTCAGGTGGCCAAAAAAGGCCACTTGCACTTCAGCGTGCAGCCGTTCGGTCGTCTTGTTCTCTGAAGTGGGACAAGTAGAGAGGACGCCTGATCAGTGTGTCAATCGGTGGTTGTGGCTTCCAAGCTGGGACGGCAGGCTTTCTTTTGACGGCACGACCTTCAACTTGAGGGAAAAAAGGGACGAAACGTTAGCGTACAACCCGAAGGCCAGACAATCGACGAGACCGGATTATCTCAGCCCTTCAAAAGCCACGCTAAGAGACGCCATACCCACCCTGACAAAGCCTGCTCGGTCCACCCCAAATATCCTGGGCATCGATAGGAGGTCCAAAATTGGGCTGGCCAGATCCAGGGATCCCCAGGACTTCAGGCACGTGATGTTGTTCGACCCAAGCGAATCTGCTCTTGGCCAATAGAATTCACCATCCTCGAGGCCTGTGGGGGGGTATGTCGTCTTCAAGATATCCTCCTCCACCAAGAGATCGCTCCCCACCTCGATTCGACCGCAGACCATCAACTAACTATACGCCTCCGAGCTCTTCGTACAGAGGCCAAGGAGAACCCGGCTTGCTACCGGCTCAGCGAGACCCTCCTCGAGGTCCGAAGGCTGACTTTCGAGGTGGTGGAGGTGCTTTTCCATTCAGTTCTACTGCGCGTGGTCGAGGTGGAGGATTTGCTCCCCGGCCTAATGAAAACTGGGACAGAGACCGTGAACGGGACCGTGAACGAGATCGCGATCGAGACGCACGGCCACCCCCACAGTCCTACCGGGGTCGAGAAGATGACCGCGCCGAATGGCCTCGACGTGATCGTGACTTCGCAACTACCGATCGCAATGTCACATTAGCCAGAGACACTCGACCCTATGTTGGCAGAGAACGCTCGGCCTCTCCAGTTCGACCCAGAAGAGACTCGCGTGAATCGATCCCTTCTACTTTCTCTCGTCCTGCGGAATCGGCATCTTCATACTATCCTCCCACAGGGCGGGGCGGGCTTGGCCGTGGCAGGGGAAGAGGTGACTGGGAGAGGGGCAGGGGCAGGAGTTCTTTCGTAAGCGAGCGTGAGCGGGACCTGTTCCATCCACGAAGCCGTTCAAGAGAGAGCTGGCGGGATCGTGAATTCGACCGAGGTCGGCCGCCCCCTGGTGACGCTGACCGCTCCGACAGGTATGAGCGTCGAGACTATGAGCGAAGCCGAGAGCGTGAAGTCAGAGCTCGAGACTCACGAGACCACGACGTTTGGCCGAGGGATCAATCGCCCGCTAGGACATCTACTGGAAACACGGGCGCCGCTGTTGCCACCCCGTCTGCTTCTGGCAATGACCGACCTGGGAAACCCGATCTCGATACACCCAGACGGTCGTCCCTTGTGGCTACGCCAACCAGCGCCATCCGCGACAGTCGGCGTGATGGCGAAGGAGCAGATTATTTTGGAAGTTCGAGGCTGGATCCTTCTCGTCGTGACCAATCCCAACCCCCACAACAACCCTCTACCAACGTTGGCCTTGACTATGGCCCCCCGCCGTCCTTGCCACCGTCAATCACCACCCCCGCTGCGGAAAAGCCGGCCTTACCGAAGCCACAACCTCCCAAGACCGAGCAAGCAACACCTTTGCCAGCCACTTTTCAACCGCCTAGTGGGCCAAAAGCTGGCAGGACAGTGCCCACAGCGAGCCTCACTCAACCCGTGAAGACGCCCCAAAACCAGGACGCCTGGACTCGTACCGAGCCTGTTTCGCGTCCCGTCCGCCCTGGGCTGATCCCAAGTGCAAGCAATTTATCGACAGAAGGGAGCATAAAGAAAGAGGAGCTCCCCGTCGAAGCCAAACCGCCTGCGGCGCCAGCTACTGACCGCTCTATGCCTCCAAATGTTCCTTCCGGCCCACGACTAGGCAATGTGCCGCCATTTAAACACAGACTGTCTTCGAGTGAACCATCAGGCTCTGGTCCACCTCCTATGGCACCAAGAGAACCTTCTTCAAAACCTTCCGGATTGGACAATCGCGCTCCAGCAATTCCGACAGGCCCTCGTCTTGACCGCGAAGTTTCGAGGACAATGCCAGGGACAGCCTCCAAGATATGGATCTCCCCGGACTACAAACCAAAGCCTTCCATTATGAACGCAATGAACAAACAGTTCCAGCCTGAAACCCGGGAAAGAGGCTTGATACCCACAGGCCCAAGGCAGCAGAATGTGTTCCCTACTCACGCCGACAAGGCTCGGGCACCACATACATCTGCAAATGCGATCCCATTTGCACCGTCTGGGCCTAAGGCGCTGATAGCAACAAGCCCCAATATCCAAGACGCCAAAATGACCATCTTGCCTCCTAGGCATCCCGTCGACGAGTTCCAACCCCAAGAAGATGTGATAATGTCGGTTCCTGCATCCAGTGAGGACGAGGACGAAGCTGAAGATGATTCTTTCGATGAAGAGTACTATATTGAATCTGAAGAGAGGCATAAGCAGGAGATGGAATTGCTTGAAGCTAAGAAACCACCACCTTTATTACAAGATGCTGCCATTGTGGCCCTCCTTGTCAAGCTGCAATTTCTTGAGATGATATCTCAAGCTCCTGTTCTTAGGCCCGTTTCCAAACCTGTCGAGGTCACAAAAGAGGAGGCTCCTGCTTCTGTTACCGTTGTAACCGGGTTACCGTCCCCAGACCAGATCCCTCATGAGACCGAGTCTAAACAGGAAGTGAAGGAAGTGGAATTACCACATCCTAAAGGACGACCTCTCAAACAGCCACCAGTGAACCCCATACCCACTCCTCCCATCGAAGATTTGCCGTATCTGAAGCCGGGACCTATTGAGCCAGTCGTCTTTGAAGACTCTGACAACGAAGTCGAACATGAAGCAGTCGCAATTCTCCTTCAACAAGAATTTGAGCGCAATGCTTGGGACTGGAGATCTGAGCTTGAAGAAATGCACGCGGAGTTCAAGGCCAGGTATCCTCTATGGAAGCAGAAGATCCATCGACTGGAACAAGATAGGCGTGAGCTACAGGCTAGCCCTGCGCCTGCCTCTCCTGCACCATCAGTGGCACCATCGGTCACACCTTCGTTAACCCATGAACGTACCAGAGGCGCGCGAAATACGACAGAAGCCGATTTACAAGCCGCAATTTTAATGTCTCAGCAGTCCCTCAGAGAAGAAGAAGAACGACGAGAGAGAGAGGCAGCTTCTAGCTCTTTGCCAAACTACGACACGGAGGCTGTCGTACCGCCAATGCTAAAGCCCGCGGACATTGAATTATCCCAATTCGAAGAGACGAACCATCTCATTCCAAATGAATGGGCATTACATGCTTTTGCCTACGTCCCTCCCGAGGACGACTTTACGGAAGAGGAGCAAAGCCGTTTCATCACAGCCTACTGTCAAAATCCGAAGAAATGGGGCAAGATCGCAGAATCTCTTCCGGGGAGAACGTATCAAGAGTGCATCGTTCATTACTACTTGACGAAGGCCCAGGCTCACTACAAAGACCTCTGGAGACGATCGCAGCCTAGGAAGCGCGGTCGACGAGGGGCTGCAACTAAACCCCGTTCCACGGCATTGATGTCCGAGCTCCTCAATGGTGATGATGCAGAGGCGACACCCGTTGCCGTTACAGATAGCGGAAGGCCGAGGCGGGCGGCGGCGCCCACATTTGGAGATGCCCCCAGCGAAGCTGACTCTTCAACACCCGCCCCACAGTCGAAGAAGCTTACATCGGCCTTGAAAGATGGCAATTCAGACGGCAGTGGAACCAAAACGTCTAGAGGCCGCAAGGCTGGTACTGCTGCTAAAGTGCGCAGGACCAAGGCACAGATTCAAGCAGAGCAGCAACAGGCTTTACTTTTGAATGCTGCTGAAGCCTCGCCCGGCAAACCTGCCACCGCTGCTAAGGTTGAAAGAGGGCGTACACTGATTCGCGCTGAAAATGTGCCCATCAGACCCGATCCTCCCGCCATCCCGCAAGTGCAGCGACCGGTTGAAGCAGGACTACAGCACTATCCTATCTGCGATGTCCCAATCGGCCCTCCGGCAGCCCCAGCGTCGACAACATCGTTGCAAGTGACGAGTTATTGGTCGGTACCCGAACAGCACAAGTTTCCAGAGCTTCTGGCGTACTTTGGTCGAGACTTTACCGCGATTGCAGACTTCATGAAGACCAAAAGCGTGACAATGGTGAGTGCACCGATGGATGGTTCACACTTGCCAGCTGACAAGACAAAGATCAAAAATTATTATTCTCGGCAAATCAATGACGGCAAAGATGAGCTTGAAAAGTTCGCCCGGATGGGTGAGCAGATGCGCGAACAGATGCGCATCGCCGGAAAGGTCGCAATTCCACCTCCAAGTCCGATCGCGGCTCCAAAACGTCGGTACGACACAGCATTGGCACCCATCCCTCGTCCAACAACCCAGGGTGAGCAGAACGTTGTAGATGGTGAGCCGCTAGTTCCAGCAATCACCCAGAGCGTCATTGAAGACTTCCCTCGGAACATTCTCGAACGGACAGCCTCTGGGGACCTTATTTCCAAGCCCCGCCCAGTCGGACGCGAAACACTTCGTGAGGCCACTTTACCTGCTTCTCTTCCACCCAAGACTGAAGAGCTTCCGAGATTACCCAGTGACCGTCCTTCTCTCTTTGCCCACAAACCATTGCATGGCCCCAAAGCTGGCGTTTTCCAGGATGATATCGGTTTCCAGCCTTCCCGTCAAAATCTTCGGGCAACGCTTCAGGAGCGGTCGCCCCAAATACTCACGCAGAGACTTCCGGATCTGCCTCGCCCTGAATTAGGTCAACAAGCCCCAATACCGACAGCCGCTCCAAGCCTTCTTGGCTCGCAAGAGCCTCTCATTCAAGGACAGCCACGGCCCCAAGCTCCTCCCGCTCCTCCTGTTCAAGGCATCCAGGCTCATGTCGAGAAGTATACACAGCTAAATGCTTTGCATCCCAGCCAGAACCATAACAGTAGCTCGGCAACGCCGAGCCAACCGCCTCTGGAGAGGTCTCAGGATATTTCCTCTTTGCGCCACATGGACGATCAACGTCCATTGTATCGACCTGGTCCGACAGGATCTCCAGCATTGACACCAACATCAATATCTGCCTCGCAGCCTGCGCGAGCCGAGATATTTCGGCCAGCGCCAGCGCCTCCGCCTGCAGAAGCTCCGAAACCTCCCGCCAAACGCTCGAATGTTTTTGGTCTTCTCAACGATGATCCCCCAGATCCACCGCCAAAGCGACCGTCTCTGGAGACACCGAAACGAACATCCATCCTCTCTCCGCAGATTAGTGCTCTTCCTCCAGGACAGAATCTGCTACAGCAACCGCGAAGCCAGCATCACCCTGAAGATCCGCTTCTGAATAGAGCGCCGAGAGGCCCATATGGTCCCAGTAGCGGCAGCGTGCTCTCAGCAGGTAGCGGGCAGCAGTCATCGACTGAGTATCCGAGTTCGTTTTCTGCAACTACTGCCCCTGGACCCAGCAATGAAGCATGGATGGACCGTTTTGATCCGCGTCCTCAGGGAGTCCCAAGTGATCAGCGGAGTCACCACCATTCGCCTGCCCCGAGTCACTATTCTGTTGTACCTCCAACTTCCCAGCAGAGTAGCATTCCTCCGCTCCATTCGGTGCGAGTGGACGCGACCCGAGGAATGGATCGATCTGGAATCGACCACCGGCGGACGTTGCTAAGCCCAATCAATCAGATACCACATGTGCCCTCTCCTCCACCTCAACAGCCGACACAGCTTGTGCCACAATTGCGTTCAGCTTCCACTTCATCGCACCATTCACGGGTACCCTCTGTTGGTTACTCTGCTTCGCAGCCGCCGAGTCAGTCTTCGCTCAGTCACCCGACAATCCCGCAAAGTCACTCTCACTCGGCAAGCTCAACTCCTGTCTCAAGTCTTCACCGAGCTCAATCGTCTCTCGATTTTGCACCACGACTAACCATCCAACAACACATGGCTCAGCAAAACCAGCAGAAACAACAGCAAGAGCAGCAGCGTGAACACGAAAGACACATCCAACGCCATCGAGAATTGGAAGCGGCACAACAGCGTGATCGGGAACGCGAGCGAGAACAGCAGCAGCAGCAGCAGCAACAACAGCAACAGCAACACATGAGGCGGGACATGTACGGTATTGAACATCATGCAACGCCTACAGTGTCTCGCCAAAACCAACTGGGGACGGCAGTCAATCAAAGCCACGTGGCATTCGCTCAACGTGAGATTCCACGAACCTATACACCTCCGCATTCACATAGTAATTCTCACTCTCATTCTCACTCGCAATTTCCGGGATCTAGTCACGGCCCGGGTGGCTTGGGAGCGCCTCATCCTCTTCAGCATCCACATCCGCATGCACACCAGCAGCAGCAGCAGCAGCAGCAACAACAACAACACCAACATCAACACCAACATCAACATCAGCACCAGCACCAGCACCAGCATCAAACGGGGCCACTTCCACACCTACAGGCGCAAGGGAGAAGTCAACCGCCGCCTCATTTGCATCACCCTCACCCTTCTCAACCGCAAATCCTCCATCCAGGACCGACAGGGCATTTTCGAGCGATGAGTCAAGGAGAACCGAGACGTGATGAGAGACGGTGAAGCGCATCGGCTCAACCTTGGTTCTGCTCTATTTCGCTGCGTCCGGGCATGGAGTGTACGAGATTCCGATTCGGTCTCAATTCTGTGTCGATCAATATCTTCCTGACTTGTTCCTTTTCTATGCCGTGTACACATACGAACGGATCGGGATAGGATGGTTGTATGACTAGAATTCATTGTCATGAGAGTCTGTGAACAGGAGGAGCGGCAATTAGTGGGGAATCAATTTCATTGGAATGGTAACGGCGTGGAATCGATCGGAGCTATGTCTCGTGAAGAGTCACGAGCAGCTGTGTAAAGCACAGCACAGGGATTCTATTGTATCGGAAGAAGACATGTACTGTACGAATGTGAATAGGCAATACATTGCAATGCCTACCTTGCTATTACCAAGTAACTATGTACCTAAGCAGAACATTAACTGCTGCCTAGGCACCAGTTGTAAAGGAAGGGTAACTGCACCGCCACAAGTGAGGCACAGCAGACCGTCAACATTGTCCAGACTACATGGTAGAGTGCGGATATTACCTCGTACGTCACCCAGAATCAGCGAACCGACCCTCAAATGGTGATCAGCGAGAAACCCGCGTCTCGCAATCAATCGTTGCCTCGAGCCCGAGTCTTGTTCTATCTAAAAAAGCTTACGCGGTCCTTCGCTTGTTCAGCCACTCTACCACACTCGGTGTGCCTCGAAGCGGCACCACGATATCATTGTTGTTCTCCTCTCCTTGTCGGCCGCTCAAGAACATCGTCTGATCTGCCTCTCTGTATTCTTCGGGTCTCATGCGGCTACACCTCTCCGTCTTCCTCGCACCCAACCCGCCGCGGCTGGCTGGGACATATGAACCTTAGGCAACCACGATTAAAGAAACATCGAATTCCCGACAAGCACGCTGTCTCTCCGAATCCGTCGCTCGGAAAATAACAATGACACGTAAAGCATCGCTGCCGTATCCCACCAGTCACCCACCTCAGCCTCCATTGTCGAATTATAACCTTGAGCCACAAGCCAGCCTGGTACCCGACTCGGCCGATCTCCCTCCCCTACCTTCCTCCTCGCGCAGGAGCCCGATTGTCGCCGGCTCTTCTAGTTTTCATGATGCAGAGAATCCATGGTCCGATCTGCCCGCAAAAGACCAACCATCAGATCGACCAGTGCCGGATCTTCTAAAACCAGGGCAGCCAGGTCCACCGGTAGGGACTGGGACCAGTCCCCAGAGCCATGCCCTCTCCAACATCCCTTTGGTTCTAAGAGCAGGGCATTCGCGGGAAGACACCCCCAGATCATCGCTGGATAGTCAACGATCCAAGGATTTCTGGGAAGATTCAGATGATGGACAAGACGTGCGCGGCAAGAGTCCAAAGAGAAGTCCAAAAAGGGGACAAATTGCGCTTCCAGACACCGATTCGCATGAAGACCCATGGGTGGACGTAGAACTGCCAGACCAGTCTACCGGGATCAAGCGGAAACCCGTGGGCTGGGGGACCACGCCTGTGCTATCTAGGCCAGACGTACCCACCACCTCGACTTTTGCTTCAAATAACCCTTTCAGACGTCCTTCGGACCATGCTCTGGCGGATGAACGATTAGAGACCTCAAACTGGGACCAGGATACACCTGGCTTAGCAGCGAAGGGGAAAGAGCTAGATCGAGGGCATAGACTACCTCCAACCGACCAGCTTCAAGGTTTGACCGTTGGAGGTGGCACGATAACTGGCCTGCCATCCTATACCACCACGCAAGATACGCAGACACCCGCGGGAACATGGGGAAACGGGCATCAATTGGGGAGCCCTCCCATGCCCCAAGGTCCTCCGCCACCTCCGCCGACGGGCCCTGGATCACCCTTCAGTGAACAACCGCCGCTCATGCCAGTCTCTCCGCATCATGATTCAATCGAGAACCCTTGGGCTTCAAATGTCAACCTTGCACCGCCCACTCCATCTCCAATTCCATTCGCACCTTCCCAGAAGCAAGTATCAACCTATAGCAATGATCTACTGGACCGCGGACAACAGAGCGGAGTCGTGTCCCTCAAGGATGAATTGGAAACACTCCCAAATGCTGCTCACGCAGAAACTGCAGCATCCGGTGAGCTCTCCTTATTAGAGGACGACGAAGCCCGGCCTCCTCTTCCCGTCAGACCGGCACAACGTACCGCGACCGAGTATTTCGATCCTCCCGAAGGACCCCCTCCGCCTAAGCCACCGCGGCCAACGATACGCACAAGCATTCCATCGGATGAAGACGTCGCAAAAATGATCGAGCAAAGAAACGAAACGTACCAGATCAAGCATTTCAACTGGTTCGATCACGGCTCCCGGAAATTGAGAAGATCCTCCATGTTGACCCAGAATAAGAACGGTCCGTGTCCCCTTCTTGCCTTGGTCAATGCTTTGATATTAGGAGCGAAGCACGAGTCTCAGGCCGCTCTAGATGAAGCTCTTCGGACGCGCGAGCAAGTCTCGCTTGGCCTCATCATTGAAACCTTGATGGACGAACTGCTATCGAGAGGGTTTGATGCTGTAGGAGAAGTCATGCCCGACGTGGATGAGCTGAATCACTTCTTGATGCGCTTGCGGACAGGGATGAACGCTAATCCCAGATTCGTGTCCCCTTCGCAACCGGCGCCGAATCTGATGGACGCCGATGACTCCATGTTGAACATGCCTCAACAGGAACGAGCGAAACAAAGATTGGGCACGTTTGAGGCAACTACCGACATGAAACTCTACGGAGCTTTCCAAATTCCCCTGGTTCATGGTTGGCTTCCCGACCCGAGATCAGAAGCCGCGAAGGCGTTTGCACGATCCGCGCAATCCTACGAAGATGCACAAGCGCTACAGTTTGGAGAGGAGGAACTGGAGTACAAACTGATGAACCAGGGCCTGTCCACAACTGAACAAAACATGTGGGAGGATATCAACGCGATCAAAATTTTTCTCAAGACATACCCCACCCAACTTACTCCCTCTGGTCTCGAAGCCGTTCAAGATTCGATTCCGTCAGGCTCTTTTGCCATCATGTTCCGCAATGATCACTTCAGTACCATCTATAAGCACCCTGAAAGTGGTCAACTTTTCACCTTGGTCACAGATGCCGGGTACGCCGATCGAGATGAGATCATATGGGAAAGTCTTGTCGACATCAGTGGCAAACACAACGAATTCTTCTCTGGTGACTTTATGCCGGTGAGTCACCACGATGTTGGGGACGAGTCATCAACTCATCCAGCGGCTCGACGGTCATCGCAGCTTTTGACAGTCAATAATCCTCCACCCGCGACACCGCTGTCTCCGCAAGAACAGCAGGAACAGCACGATGCGGACTTTGCCATGGCACTACAGCTCCAAGAAGAAGAGGAGCAACGACAACGTGCGGAACGAAGTAGGCGACACGGCGGGAATGCCAGCGCTGGCAGCACGCAACAGAGAAGGTCACAATCCGGCAGTATCCCGATCCCTCTTCGCTCCACTCAACCGGCACCGGAGGTGCGACCGCCCATTCCACCCCGCGTCTCGCATGCACCCAATCCAGGGGTCAATCGACCCTCGGACGGGCTGGATGAAGACGCACCGCCTGCATACGAGGAAGCAGCAAAAGGTAGACCGTACATCCCACCGCTCGGCAGCCCTTTGCACCCCTCTGCCGAACCGTCTCCTATGAACTCCAACACGCAGTTGACGGGTACCATTAGCAATATCAGCACCCACTCGGTCTCAGGAGTGGGTGACGCTCCTTATCACCCACCGGGACCAAATGCAGGCAGGAGGGATCCAAGACGAAGGTTGAGCGCGTACAATGAGATGTCTCAGTGGTATAGCCACTCACCGCAAAGGTTGCAACAACCGCAAGGAGTGCCAGGACCGTCTGGGAGGGGCGGGAGGCATGGACAAGATCGCGATTGCATTGTTATGTAAAGTGGAGGGGCTGTCAATGGTAAAACCAGGGGAGCTACTGGTAGGTACAGGATTATTCGGTCGGTTTAAAATAGCGGACGAGACAGGCACAAGATGAGAACCAACGAGATACTGGGTCCTGAGGAGACTTCACGAGATACGGAATAATGAAAAGCCCATCACACACAAATCACCACCAAGTGGCCGCTCCTGCGATAGAAGCGACTCGCCCGGTTTCTGACCCTGGAGGTTCCACTGTTCTAAAGGGGATCGCAGTGCCAGTTGTGAGTGAACGACACCTCTGATCTAATTTATCAAGGTGTTTCCCTTGCGGCAAGGAAACACGTCCCATCAGACTACGCAGGTCGGGTCATTTTTGGTTGAGGTCCTCCAGCCATACATCGCTCCGCCGAACCAACCTTTGCTGCTGCACCGAGTCTTGGTCCGCGGCTGCCCTGCCAGCCACTGGGCCCCCGGTTCGAGTGCCATAAGTAGGGGGTTGCTCGGCCTTGACCTACGCCACCACGAGTTTGAGTGGTGGCTTCCAGCCTACCAGCTTCAGGTGTAACGAGTAGCGGGCATTGAAAGTCTTTGATCTGGCCCCTACACAGCTTACCAGTGGTAGCGGCGGTGAGGGGGACAGCTCAGTGGAGCAGTACCGAGCAGGGCAGATCAGGTTATGTGATAAGTACCGAGTAATTAGCTAACTAATTAACTACGGACGAGAGAGCCGCTTTGATATTTGCTGTGTGGGTTGATCCGTTCGGGATCCATGGTCCCCGGAGGCGCAAATGATATCCGGCTCGCCGGGTCCGCCACGGAGGATTAATATTAGTACTGGATACTCGTTCCGTTTCGCTTGCGGCCCTCTCGCGGTTGGTACGTAACCTTCCCACCTCTCCATCTCCCTGCTCTACCATCTTGCTATTATCCCTACTCGAATAGAAACAGACTACCGCGCCTACCAAGAGAACTTCTCCCCCGTCAACCCTTCACTCACCTCCCATAACTTGGTCGCGAACTCCTTCTTGACCGCATACGCCGGCGTAGCCTTGAACTGACAATCGCTCAGGAACACGCCGTTGCCATCGTCTCCCGGTACGCTCAACTTGTCGTCCACGGCCGCCACAAGTGTCGTACTGCAGCCCTGCTGTTGGGTCTTCCAGACTAGTCCGTGCTTCTTGGCGGCGTCGAGCATGGTGTCCAACATCGCCGGGTCCGTGTACCGGCCCAGCTCGGTCCGGATTTCGCCCGGGTTCACGGCGACGCCGAGGATGCCGTGTTTGTCGTACAGCTTGTCGTTGAGGCCGACGCTGAACAGCACCGCGGCCGTCTTGCTGGCTCCGTAGGCTGCGGTGGGGATATAGGCCATGGTCTCGTCCACGGGGAGATTGAAGGCCTTCATCATGGCGATGTTGGGCTTCTCCTCCTCCGGCAGCTCTGTCACGGGTTTCTGGTAATCCATATCGCTGAAGCGGACGCCGCCGACATTGATGCCCATGCTCGCCAGGTTGACGATGCGCACCGACCCGCGGTGGGACTTGACGGCGGCGGCGGCGGTGAGGATCTTTGGCATGACCAAGTTGGTGAGCAGGAAGTGGCCCACATGGTTCGTCGCCATGGTGACTTCCACACCGTCCTCGGTGATGGTGCGCGTGGGGATGTTCATGATGCCGGCGTTGTTGATCACGATGTCGATCGACGGGACATCGACCCAGCCCATGACTTCTGCACCGGCGGCACGGACAGACTTTTGCGACGAGAGATCCACTTGCAAGGTGCGGTAGTCGACAGGGATATCCGGATACGTTGATTTCAGGTCGTCGATGCATTCTTGGAGCTTCGACACGGACCGTCCCGCGAGGATGAGGCAGCGTGGCGATTGCGACGCAAACGCCTCGGCCGTGGTGTAGCCGATGCCTTTCCTATTGACGCCTGTGATGAGGATCGTGCGGCCCTTGATGGCCGAGGGGAAGGCCGCGGCGACGGTTAGGCCGTCTGTCGCGAAGCCGAAGTCAGGGTGCGTAGTGGCAGTCGTCATGGTTCGGGGCCAAAGGTGAGCGATCGATGTACTTGATCAGAGAATGGCAGCAAGGCAGAAGGAAAATCAGGTCAAGTTCTCAGGTCTTTTCCGGGGGGGGAAAGGGCAGGAGGTCCAAGAAACCAAGCACAAGAAGGCAGAAGACTTGACTTTGGGAAAAATGTATCGTGCTCTCTTATAGCATTTCGCTCGTGCAATGGATGGTTCAGGCTCTCTGCAATCCTGATTCGCGGGTTCGGGTTGCAGGCGTTGTGATTGGCTGTGGACCAAAGCTGCATATTTCCTGCCCTCATTCCTCATCGTCCTCCTCAGGATCATCCTCCTCATCTTCCGAATTCCCTTCATCGTCCTCATCGGAATCATCCGCTTCTGACTCACTTTCCTCCTCGTCCCTAGAATTTCTCTCGAAGGGGTCAAATCCGTCTGCCTCCATGTCCTCGTCACCCCATTGTTCCCACTGCTCGAGAAACATCGCCGGAAGTTTTGCCACATGTCGTTTCAGCCGTTGCTGCCGGGTCCTGATGATGATTTCGCTGGCCTTGAGATATGCTTTGCGGAAACGTCGCCAAAGGTCGGGATCGAGGCGGGGGTGCGGGAAGTAGGGGTCATTTCCAGTGACTGCGACGAGGCATTTCCTGACTACTTCTGATGATGGGTCCTCGGCGTCTAGATTAATGTTGGAGCTTTTATCATAATCCAACATCCACAGGTGGGTCTCTCGTTGCGTAAAATCGTCACCGGAGGATACTGGAATCTCCGTGGGCTCATCACCCAGGTATTCGAGGCTGAATGGCTTTGATGTCGAGCTGCCGATGACGAATTCGGTGTCTTGTGCATCAACCTGCGCTTGCCAATGTAGAATTGCAAGTCCCATTGCCATCTCTTCCGCAAAAGCATTCACATCGAGCCCAATCATTTTTGCTTGGTCCAGGTAAAGAGGAAAATTTCGGAGTGTGTCAGTCGAATTGTAGAGGGTGGTGTTTGGATTGTTCGCACCGAAGTAAACGCGGACGAGGCAATCTTTGTCGGGAGGGTTGCTGAATACGTCGTGCTGTATGTGCCTGTCTTCTTGGTAGAATTGTCGAATTAGAGCTTCACGCGTAAGCGCGGGCACTGGCAGAATGCGCTCAACGTAGAATACCGCGGCTATCGTTTGGTCTCCTTCGGGGAATCGTGAAAGGTTCGCAGTCCAGAATTCACGAGCCTCGGGACTGTGGAAAGTATGTGCCCGTGGCACGCGTGGCGTACGACGTTCGGGAAAGCTGTCTCTGAACAAGCCGGCCCAGATGAGGTAGCTGTTGTAGGCACGGCCTGTCAAGTGGAAGTCTCTGAAAATTGCCTGGCGGTTGGCGCCTTTCTTGATTGCTTTTGCGGATCCTGGTATCTCGAATACACTCCCGCAGCTGCCGCGTCCAATGTCACGTAAACCAAGATGATCGACACTGTCGAATCTGACCCCGTTCATCCGCTCCGCCAAACCAGATGAAGTTGACTGCTTCGATCCAACCGAGAGTGTTCGCTTCAGAATGTCATGAGCAAGCTGCTTGTCGAGGAGGTCTTCTAAGACAAGTGAGCGCATGAGACCCTCTGAAAACGTGGTGGAGGTGCTCTCTTCCGAAAAATCTTTGAATTGAGGCATGGCGTTTGAATTTGAGTGAGTCGAGAGTGAAGGAGTGCGAAAGAAATACGAAATGTACCTTCCTTTTAGATTTGACTCGTAGCAGACAACTGCGAGCCAGATTTGTAATGCAGCAAAGTTTGGTTCGGCAAAGGATGTCAAAGAAGGTTCACTCCATATCTGGGCCGAATATCTTGAAAAGGATAAGTGGTCCGAAAGGGGAAGTGGCTTGTTTCGTTGATTGAGTCTTCCATGGCAGATACGATGAAGGACCGAGTCTCGTTGGCAAGCGCGAGGCGTCGCACCGCTGGTCTGTGAAAGCTTGGGGTATAAGACAGACTCTGGTTTGACGACTCGCCTGGAAAGTGCTACATAGAAGCTTGGCATCGACTTGACTCAGCTGAGATAGATAGTTCAACATGGTTGGGCCACCATGATACTGCCATAAACCGTCGCTTGATGTGGATAAACTCTTGGCCGGATACATAACGATCCCCGTTGTGCGACATTCATTGTTACGTTGATTGTGGGTCCGACTGAAATCGTTGCTGAGGTGAAAATTACCGACAACTGCATTTCCTCAAGACGGATTGTTAGGAACACTGGCGAAGCCGGGTTTGAATGACGACTGGTCATCTTGCAGTGTGGTGACTGCAGTAAGAGTCAAAACAGAATGCACAAGCCGGAAACACAGGTCGAGTAAAACGATGAGATTCCCCAAAACGCCAAAGGTGGAGCCCCTAGATCGAACCCCGACAGAGTGAGAGCTCATTGAGAACCACAAGCATTGAGTGAAGCCAGTGGACGAGGACTTGGCCAAAAGAACCTTGACCGGGAAAGCCAGAGCACACCCAGCCGAAGTGACCACCGGCTGTTCAAAGTCAGACTGGGCCAAGGAGCGCAGGGGTGAACAACGAGACCATCAGCGTTGGGGCTCTCCAGTGCGGTACTAGATGGGGGAATTATTCGACTTGGTGATATACATCTGGTCGAGGCATTGGACGAGAGAACTGAAGCTTCAGCCTTGCGGGCTTCAAAAGCATCGTGATACATCGAGACCGTTGCTAGATGAACGCAAAGCGCAAATGAGAACGAGATCACCAGGCAGGGAACAGTCTCTGTGGTGCAGTTAGTTCCATCGCGAGTTGAAAGAAAGCAATGCGTTTTTGTTGTCAGTTTGCGTGAACAGCCAAAGAGGGGGGAGATGTCAAGTTGAAATGCCGGTGAAGGCAGTTTGTAAAGATCTAAAGACACAAAGTACCGCACCCATGTTTGAGATGTAGGCACCTCTGGGTGAGCAAAGGAGTTCACATTGGTCATGAAGCTGAGGTCGGCAAGTAGGCAAAAGAGGGTAAAGGTGGTGGAAGTGCAAGCAACGTCGGCAACTGCAGAGGGGCCGAAACAACAACAAGCCATGTCGTAGCTATATTTTAGGGCCAGCCATGGCGCCACCAGGTGTTGGACTATTCTGGACCATCACTAGATTGATTGATTCAAAGGAAGGGAAGTTCTATCTGTGAGAGAAAAGGCTTCAAATAACCGAGTCGATGCCAAGTTGCAGCCGTGCCAAGAGGTCTCCGATATTGCCTAATCGGGTTAGTCCAACACTAGAAAGCTGTCTACGTCCTGCAGATTGCGTCGGTGTAATATCGTAAGTCGTACATTCTGAGCAGATGGTCCTTAATGAGAAGGCGTTGTTTGATGTATGGAGAAGAGCAAAAGAGTCGCTCAGCCCTGTCCAGCCTTGCGGAGGTTTTATGGCAAGGTGCCAACGGTGCCTCCGCTATCGGAGCGGAGAAATTGCCGGACTGCGCCGCCTTGTTCTCCACGGTGGGGGTTTTGGGGGGTTGAAGCCGGCAGCATACAAACAAACTGTATAATTTAACCAAGGATAACAATCACTCAAGGTTGCGGAGAACCTTTTCGCCCTTCTTATTTTCTTTCTTACCTTTCGTTTCTCTTGATATTCGGGGCTGCTGTATTCCTAGAGACGGTCGTTGTTCTAGAAATATAGCCTTCAATTCGTTTCTCCTACCGTGTAGCCACCGGCCCATATCCCGTCGTATGACGCCGCGGCTAAGGTCAATATTAGTTTGATCTCCAAGCCTTCTAGAACAGTTTAAGAAGAGGGTTCATAGGAACCGAGAAATACTAAAGGACAAGGACATAGACAGGTGGTCGAGATCTCCACGTGTTCCCAAGTCAAGTTATTGGAGGAGAGGAATCACAAAAGCTTCTAGTGCATAGCAATAGAGGATTCGACTTCAATCCAAAGACTACTATACTATACCGAACCACGACCAAGAGTCAATTCTCGCACCAGCTATCAGTCATGGCCGCTCCAGTCCTCGAATCCAGCAGTGCAACTCCGTCCAGCACCTCTCCACAGACCTTCCGCATCCTCGTCCTCCCCGGTGACCATGTCGGTCCCGAAGTCATGGACGAAGCATTGCGCGTTCTGGACACGGTCGAAATAGCCTCTCAAGGCCGGCTCAAATTCGAATTCAACCATCAGATCTGCGGCGGATGCAGTATCGACAAGCACGGCACGCCGATTACTGATGAGGTCCTGAGGATCGCAAAGGAGGAGAGTGATGCCGTGTTGTTCGGGAGTGTGGGCGGGCCGGAGTGGTAAGGGTTGTTTCTTCTTTCTTTTCTCCCTTCTCCCTTCTCCCTTCTCCTTTACCAAAGACATTTGGCACGTTTGTCCTGTCTTGCTCCTTGTTTTTCTTGGACCGTACCTTACAATGGCGTCAAGGGGCACAACCTACCCAAACCCCGAGTCTGGCTTGCTCCGCCTTCGCCAACACCTTGACGCATTCGCCAATATCCGCCCGTGCACATTCTACTCTCGCTCCCTGATCCCGCTTTCCCCTCTAAAACCTTCCATCGCCGAGGGCACGAATTTCATCCTCCTCCGGGAGAACTGTGGCGGCGCCTATTTCGGTCCCAAAGTCGAAGAAGCCGACTTCGCCAGCGACTCGTGGGCCTACGGACGCTCCGAAATTGAACGCTGCGCACGGGTTGCCGCCGCCCTGGCCACAACCATGGGAAAGGATGGCAAAGGCACCGGGAACTGCCCGGAGGGACCCGCGACCGTGTGGTCCAGCGACAAAGCCAATGTGCTTGCATCGGGCCGGTTGTGGAGGAAAGTCACGTCCGAGATCTTCGCCAAGGAGTTCCCTCATATCGAGCTTAAACATCAATTAGCCGACAGCCTGTCAATGCTGATGGTGAAAAACCCAAAGATGTTCAACGGCGTCATCCACACGGACAACACGTTTGGTGACATGTTGTCTGACCAAGCAGGTGGCGTTGTCGGCACGCTGGGAGTGTTGCCCAGTGCTAGTCTTTCTGGTATTCCAGATGGCAAGACTCGATGTAACGGGATTTACGAGCCCGTGCACGGTTCTGCTCCAGATATCGCGGGGAAGGGCATAGTAAACCCAGTCGCCCAGATCCTGTCAGCGGCAATGATGTTGCGCTATTCGTTCAACCTGGCAGCCGAGGCCGCCGCCATCGAAGCCGCAGTGGAAAAGGTGCTTGATGGCAAGGACATTGGCGGTCTCCAGATCCGAAGCGGCGATTTGGGTGGAACCGCAAAGACGAAGGAGATCGGCGATGCAGTGTGTTCGGTCCTCGAAGAGGTCTTGATGGGCAATGCCAGTAGTGTCCACAAGAAGTGAATGGAGATGCGGTGCTCGAGGCAAGCACAGCGACGGGGCAGACAACCACAATTGCGACATATGAAAAGGACAACAAGAAGCATGAGGAGGAATTGGAGAAAGAAGGTGTTCCTACGGGCCCAAGGGAGTCATTGGCTTTGTGAGCTTTAAGCTCTCCACAAAATAGGACTTGTCTAGTCACAACCTCATATTCGGACGAAGCTTCCCACGAGAGCGAACCGATTTGTGTTCTGTCCGGCTTTCAAGCTTTCCATTTTACCTGGCACTATCTTGGACAATATGAGACCACCTCGCTGAATCATTTTCCTGTGCCCTGTGGCCCTTAACGAGCACCGCCTTCGGGGTCAGAGATAAATCCAAACTTTCCTTTGTCTGCAGATTGGTTGGTAGTAAGTCACGAGGAGTCTAGACACGTCAGCTGGTGAATGAAGTACTAAATTCAATATCAACCCCTTATAAACGGACCTTGGACAGCCCGATATGGGCGGTAATGCTCGCACCTCTGAACGTCGTCTCGCGATATCCGTGATACCCGGGACTCGCTCCCCTTATTGGTCAGCCTTGTCCTCAGGCCTAGTCACGGTGAACGCTTTCGCGAAGAAGGATCTAAAAACAAGGAGTATTTGGTCTAGAGAGCGAAAGAAAGGCGTAGAAAGGAAAGGAACGTTCATTTTTCCTCCTTGCGCCATTGAGAATTGTATTTCATCGTCTGTCCAATGAAATTGCTTCACGACTCCCCGTCCCGTTTTTGTCAACTTGATCAACCAAGATCATCGACAGCAACAATATAACGGCGGTGACACTCGCGGAAAGCAGCTTGACCGTCTCAGAATTCTCGTAAAGTCTCTTCGTGCCCATTTTTGGCGAACTCCCATAAAGAATAGTCGGCATTCTGCAGATTGCCCGCTGCCCAGCCGGGTGAGAATCCGATACAACCATTAACCCCCCTGCAATGAACCTGTGTTGGCTCAATCTTTTCCCGTCCTGATCCGACGTCGGTGGCACTTGGACCTCAGGAACTTGAGGTAGAAGGACATGATTAAGTTTCAGGCAGTCCTCCAGCCTAGAGGCCCCACCATGCTGGATTTGACCGTGAAATTGTAGCGACAGCGAAGTGCTACCCAGCGATTTACCTAGTAGGTACATTTTTAAGTGTAAAAGTTTCGACAACTCTACTGTACGTTGACTCAATCACGAAGTTCTTGCCACCGTTGCCATACAGATAGCCCAGATGACTCACAAGAAGCGACTGGAACTGTGACTGCCTAAACTAATGCAATAGTGGCACGATGCTCAAACGCGCGCTCATTCCTGGACTCCCCTGGATCAGAGCACTCGAACGGATGGCCGAGCCGTGGTCTAACTGCGAGGCATACATGGTGACTTCTTTCAGACACCTACGCGGCCGATATCACGATGTACCAAAAGGTCATCATGGCATCTCTGTGGCTCACTTCTAGACAACAGTGATGTAAGGCTGATTCATCAACGGGAGCCTTCCTCACTAACAATATTATCTACTTGTGCACGCCTTCTTCATTGCCAACAGCCACAACGATACCATGTCTCGCGGCGTCAATTATCTGCCTGTGGGAAAGAAATTTGAGAAGTCTGTCAGGGCTATCCGGTATAGTGAGCAGAAGACTCCAGATTTGATCGGTACAAAAGCATAATTACTCATGGCCAAAGCTGGGCCGGCATGGAGGAGCAGAAAGGTGGAAATTGAACCGATTGCAGCAGTCCGTTGATACTAGCCATCCTGGCATCAACCATACGATGTACCCATTCAACCCTCAGGTGAATAGCGACGTGGAAAGTTCTGTGCGGTACTGCATAAAGAAGAGATCCTCTTTCTTGGTGCGGATTCAACTGAGAATATTGGGCCACCCAAGCTTTTGCATCCTCTGAGTCCATTCTGAGACCCGACAAAGCATCTGTGCGTCAACGACTTTCCGACAGATATCACCTACCACCTTTCTCTTGGAAATGCCTACACCTGAGTTCGAATGCTTATTTTGGCTGTTGCGATGGACATGATGATGCCCCCGACGCTGTCAGAATCCATAGTATGTGTGGCGGACCAGATCGATGCAGCCCGAGGAGTGGAAGCTGGCTAATAATTTGACCCTCTCCAAGATCCCTGGTCCCGATTTCTGGTCAAGACTCACCAGTCCGAGGGAGCAATCAACACCTATTCCTGGGGGAATCTGTCCTTTACCAGCTGGAAACCTTGACCAGGGCGAAATTTCTTACTCTGCACTGATACCTCTTGTTTCGGACGCGAGTGGGTCAAGAATCCGCACTGATCAGGGACATTAACACACGGACTTGCGATTCTTGCCGGCCCCACGCCGTCGTGATTGATGCCATCCTGGATATCTACAACGGCTCGGTATGCGCTGTTCGTGACATGATACGCCCCATGGAGTCGGTGAGTGAGGAAGCCGCTCCAAAAGACGAAGGTAAATATATTATTTTCCATTCTTTGCTGATACCCACGGCGCTGGCCAGCATGGAGAACCAATTGCCGACCCTCAGCCAGCTTATCCGAAGCTACACCACATTACAAGGCCGGCGATACACTGGGTGGAAACACTGCAGGCCGGGGTGAATACGACCAAGGGCATTACAGACAAGTACCAACACATTATCCCCCAAGAACAAGAACCCCCGGCGAGGGTCGACTGTTCGGCTCAGCAGCCCGGCAAAAGACTAGAGACGGCAGCTGCAAATACTCCAGAAGCTGTAGCTGCGCGCACAATCAATCCAACAGGGACAGACTACAGAATGAGATCCCTTTGGTCTGCGCTGCCCACTCCCTCCCTCCCTCCCCTCCCTCCCTCCCTCCAAGCAGGCTTGTGGCGACCAACGCACTTTTCGTTCCTCAATTTATAGTATTTTTGGTATGGTTTCCTTCGATCAAGGGTGATGGACCGTGTCGAGAACGTCCTGGATCTACTGGGTGGGTCATCGCTGGCCCGTTGACCATCCTTATGGTTCAGCTGTGGAACATTTTCTGGCGTCGTTATTTCTCAAAAGTGAAAACGGTCGTAGGGTAAGCGGCTTTCATGCTGATGAAGATGGGAGTTGATTGGTAGAAGATGGATTCAACAATAATTGGCCAAAGATGTTTACGTACCAAGGTAGATCCGGCAAGGTAGATAGTGAGACGGTATTTACCCTTGGCACATTGCCGACCGCCGTTATACGGTTTCTGATAGAAACAGCACCAACAAGACTTCAGCTTTTTGAGGCTGTGCCTTGTAACATTCCGCATCAGACCAGCCACTAACCAGCTGAACATGGGGTCGCAATATGACCGACGATTAGCTTGCACCAATGCTGCTTCGCTTGTGATGTTGCCAAGCGCTTTGTACTCAACCCAATCAATCTGACTGAATAAAAAGATGAGGGAGGTCGGAATTTGGCGTGTTACATTTCCTCTTCGCGAATTCGACAATTTCCAAAATGCCCTTTCCCCTCCCATGGGGCATCTTCCGTGCAGCCATAAGTAGAGAAGAGTAGCATTGACTTCGATTTGCAAATACAGGGGTGTAAATGACTTGAAGTTGCACCAGAAAGACTTTCAGAAACAGGAAACGCAGGAAACCCTTGACCGAGGGTGTCGGGGAGAAGGACCGAGAGGAGGAAGACAGAAAGACACAACGGGGGAAAAACAGGTCATTTCTGGCCATCCTTTATTGGTGGCGGACTGCCCGACATGGCAAACCTGGGTGTCCTCGAGCTGCTTGGGTCATTACTCATCATATGTGTGTGTCGCATTCGCCGATCAGCCACGGAGATATCTGGACCGCAACGCCATGCCAACCTCAGAATTGATCTATCACCACATTAGTGTCCGTTGTAAATAGTCTTTGCAGAATGTCCAAGACTCACCAAGCGTCATACTCATGCTCACATCTGTACTCTCGACCATTTGCGTGAATTCATCAAAGCTAATCCTTCCGTCACCGTCCTTATCGGCCTCCATGATTGTCTTGTCCACAATCTGCTGGAGTTGTTGGTCCTTCAGATTCGAGCCAACCATCATCTTGAGCACAATGAACAACTCTCCGTTGGAAATGTACCCGTCCCGATCGATGTCGTAGACCTTGAATGCGAATTTCAGTTTTTCTTCTTTATTGCCCTTGGATGAGAAGGCAGAAAGGCCTAGCACGAATTCCTGGAAGTCAACGTCGCCCCCGCCATCTTCGTCGAAGATCGCAATCATTCTTGTAAGGATATTAGCCAAGGGAGGAGGGAGGGGGGCACAGGCCGCTATACCTCGTCGCTAAGGGGTTGGAAGAAACTTGAGGTAACGAGAGGAACTCTTCGCGTTCAATAGTACCGCTATTGTCCTAGTACGGTCCCGCATGTCAACAACCGCCCGACAATGTACCCTGGAGAGCCTTACCTTGTCTAGCTTCATGAATCGTTTTCGTAGTCTGTCGACCTCATCACGATCGACTATTGGAGACGCACTCGTTAGCACGTGCGGAGTTGCTTTCTTCGCCGCAACGGTCACAAGCCGCGTCGGTTTCAATTGAAGGCTGCAACGTACAATTTGAGAAGGAGACAATGTTGTCGAGGATCTGGGAGCCTGTGACTTGCTGCCGTCTTCGAGCATCGTAGAGGGCGGCATTGTTGGGCTCCGCGACCGTCGAGGCTGGGGCCCCAAATGCTGGCGTAGCCATGGCGGGCAATTGAGGGGGTGTTGACAGTCACAGTTGGAGATAGGGGTTAGTTGTCGAGGAATATTTCGTGGGAGTGAGCGGAAGTATAGCCTCGCTGTCGAAGGCGCAGTTCAGAAGTGTGAGATGTGAACGTGAGAAGGGGAAATTGAAAGCTGAAAAAGAGCACAAGACGAGTTTCAAGCCGTTGATCCTTCTGCAGGGCAGCCGCACTGGCAAGGGAAGTCTTGTTGGAACGTAAACGGTGCCCGATTCACCCAATCGGGTGGAGAGCCTGGTGTCACGTGTATACTAACTTATATAGGTTAGTGTTTCCAGCCACATGTGGCGGAGGCTGTTTGTGGCTGCTTGCTGGCTCGGTGGAATGGACGTCACATCGGGGATTTTGTAGTAGCACCGAGAGTAGGAGTTGGGCGCCGGGTGATGCTGCCTGCGCTGCAACGCTGTCACTGCAGGTGCCTAAACAATTTGGTGGTGCTGCACGAGGTAATGGGACTGGCCCCCCGAAGGCCCCTATGAGTGCCCAAAGTTACTAGCTTCCAGGCCGCCTAGGTACCACTCAAGCACTTCCCGCAACTCGCCCCCCCTTTCTCTTCCTAACTGGTGTGTCCTGGCTGCCCAGTGCCAGTTGATCCCCCCCATCACCCGTCACGCAGCCCCTTGGGTTTTCACCGTCCTTTTCCCACTGTTCACCTGCACCTGCACCCACCACAACTCCAGCACCCTCCTGCCATCACAGCCCATCGGCCATCGTCGTCCTAATTTTATCCTTTTCATCATTTTGAAAAAGGATTCATAGTCAGCGTGCATCAAACTACAAGTGATGCGAATTTGAGGAATTTTCGAGCCTGTTTTGTTACTCTTTTTGAGGGTAGTCTTACACGCTGTTGTGGTGCGGGAGTCACGGTGCGGCTGCACTCCTCGCTCTGCTCCATGAGGGAGTCAGTCACCACTTTGAAAATTCCTCATGTCCACCCGCGGCCGCGCCACCCGCCCAAAGAAACTCAACTCCAAGCAAAATGTCCAGATTTTTCGCGAGGATCAGGTTGATCCTCCTTCCGACTACGAGACCCAGCGTGCTGCCATAGAAACTGGGGTTGAGAAAGCCGAAGAATCAGTACGTGTCTCCTCATCCTCTTCACCTCTGCCTCAACCGTGCTTCTTGTCGCTGTGTCCTTTTCTTGCCCGCTTAGTCATCATCCACATCTTGGCACAACACTCACAGATTCGCAGGAATACCATCTTCAACAGGCCATCAAGGCATCCGAGATTGCCAAAGCAGATGCAAAAATCAAAGATGCTTACATTCCCACTCCACCTACTATCGCCAGTGATGTCCAGTATGACGTCCTCTACCCAAAAGGGTTTCAACAGCCCGCCACCTATATCCGCTCCTCCGCCACAGTCGAAGACTGTGCAGGAGTCGCGTATTGCATGGACGAAGACGATGAGCTCGCTTTGAAGTTGATCAACGGAAAATTGCCTGCTGGACAGGAACCGTGCAGCGAGGATCAATTTGAAGTCGTCATGAATTTTTTGGAGGAGACCGCCCAGGCAAAACAACCTTTTGCTGCCGTCGATAGTCCCCCCGTCTTACCTTTAGAAGAACTCGTGGAACAGGTCGATGACACCACCCCTCCTTTTGTCCGCAGCCTCTCCAGGTTCATATATGAATATTGGAAAACACGGCGGACCGCAACTGCTAATCGCCCATTGGCTCCTCGCCTTAAATTCGAGACTGGGCAGGAATCCGACGACAGCGATCCATATGTATGTTTTAGACGACGCGAGTTGCGCCAGATCCGAAAGACCAGGAATCGTGATGCACAGAGCGCCGAGAAGCTGCGGAAACTCCGTATGGAGCTAGAGACTGCGAGAAGCATGCTTCTGATGGTGAAGAGAAGAGAACAGCTTCGCAAGGAAACCCTCGAGATCGATAGACTGGTCTTCGAGCAGCGGCAATCTCTCCGCGACACAAAGAGAAAATTGGGCATGAAGGGCGACGACGACCTTCTCATCAACCAAAAGGTAAAGCAACCCTTTCCCAGAAGAGTAGACTCGAACTCACCTCTTTCTCAGAAGCAGAAGGTGCCACCAGGCATGACACCCAACCAAGCCGCTCTCGCTCAGCAACTCAGGATGCCCATGGCTCCTGGACCAGGTCGCGAACTGCTTACGCTGGAAGATGTTACCGCGGCTCGAGAACGTGAAATCCAAAGGGAGATCCAAATAAATGTCGAGAAACACATCAGATGGAACGAGGGGTTTGTCGACAAGACCATGGCACCACTTACCCCTGATCTTGAAGATGACTATCCTTCGCCCAGTGAACATTTCCGTGAGGCGATGGCTGCGACTGAATACCTGCCAACACCGCCAGCTAGTATCTCGGATGAAGAGTCGCAGGAATTGCCAAATGGAACTGACGTGGTGATGAAAGATGTATCTCGACCATCGACACCGTTTCGGTATGCCAGTCCAGCGGATGAAGAATCCGTCGGACATATGCCTTCCTTCAGACGGAGAATAGGTCGTGGTGGGCGTATCATAATTGATCGAAGGCTCCCTCGGATGCGGCGAGATTCCTCAACTGATGATTGGTCGAAAGATGATCCGTTTAAATTCGACTCGGACGACGAAGACTTCCCTGACGCTGATCCCACTTTGCCCGACTTAACCTTTGCTCGCATGTCCCAGCGGGCGTATCTCATCGGTGGCAGCCGACCGGCAGATGCGCAACTGATAGCAGCGAGGAGATCACAGTTCGATGCCGCCGGCCCAAGTCACTCTTCTTCAGCAGGGCAGCACGCACAACCAACACCTGCACCTTCTTGAATTGTCATGATTATTTTGGATAACATGCTTCCCTTTTTCTGTCTCAGAGAGTACAATTCACAGCGCTCTCTCCTCAAAGTTCGGATGAATCCGGGCTCTTGTTAGGGTCTCAATGACAACAGAGTTGCCCTCTTTTGCGGCATTGTACGATGATGGATCAAGTTTGGGAGAGCTCATTTGCTTTCTGGCCGCGGAGTCAATGCGGTAGAGCCGTTCGGCGGGTGATAGAACTGTACATAGTATCGAGGCCAGCGCCTTCGTCAATGAAACGATGAACACATCACAAAGCTTCCCTGTTGAGAGCCGACGTTGATTGTTCGGATGAATAGGATGACGAGATCACTTCTCAAGACTTGTGACTCCAGTGTCAAGTCGTTGTGATTGTCGTGGTTTTTGGTCAGAGCCAGAATGATTCGACTGCTAGCCAGAAATTCTGCCTCATGTATTGTCTCTTCGTGCTGCTTTCTTAGGTTTGTTATCCGAATCATCGCTGGATTGTCGTTTTGTAGACTTCGCTGTGATCTCTTGGTTCTTATGCGCAATGTGGGCCTGACATAATCCGATCAACTGGTGTAAGATCTCCTTTTCTCCAATCCTCACTTGCAGTGCCATGGCATATCGATGCTCGTTGCAGCCGGAGGGAATGAGTGAATTCCCAGATTCAGAGCGAGCCAGTAACTTTAGAACAGACCAGTCTGCCTCTAGAGAGGTGCCATATTCCGACAGCCGTTTTGTGAGAACAGACTGTAGCAGCGCAGCTTCTTTGATGGTGACGGCGTCTTTGGGGGTCTTGATGGCCTCAGTACACAGAGCACGCAGGAGCATGTGTATCTGACCGGGGATGGCTTGTTCAAGCTTTCCGACTTCTGCTGCAGGTCTCGGTATGGCATAACCATCGTCGATAACCCCAATCTCCTCAAGTTGTTGCACGCGGTTCAGCCAAGCTGCATCTTTAGCATGCTTCTTGCCTGCTACCTCGAGAAGAAGATCATGCGAAATCTCGACGACGTCATATTGAGCATAGTTATCAGTGATGTAGCCGTACATGCGCAGGAGATCCGAGCGAGGGAGAGGGCCATAGTCGTTAAAGATTTGTTCGCCGGCCCTGATTGGCTTCGTAGATCTCATGATGAGGTAGTCGTTTTCTTGAAATAGACGTGCCTGTATGAAAATACAAGTCAGCTTTCCATAATGATGTCGGATAAAAGAAGATAACGCACGTTATTCCTGTCTGCATCTGCGTTCAGCATGTCAGCGAAAGGCACCATGCCCTTGAGCGGCTCGTCTTCGTCGTCCTCTTCAAACTCGTCATCCGAGTCATTGCTTGCGTCGTCCTTGTCACCATCCTTGTCTATATCGAAAGCGTAGGCCATAATGGAGCTGCCCGCGATATGAGCAAGCTTGATCAGTTCTGCTGTCCTGTCTAAGTCACTTTGACCGGGGACAGGAAATAGTTCAGGATGTGAGAGCATCACTGGTATCATTGTCTCTTTCCAGGACTCTTCAGCTTGGCTTCTACTGATCTTATCAACCACGGCACTGGCTTGTAGAGTGTCAAGCTCGGCAGCATTCCAGAACATTAGACTGTCGAATTTCGTAGGAAGGACTTGGAAGTAGGCGTGCCATGGCGACTTTTCTTTTCGCAGGTATTCATAGATGATAGTGACGATCAACGGTTGCCACGCTCCGGTTTCGCTGAGGGGTTCGAACAGGGCAGGTGGAATACTCGACGTTGTGACTGTGAGCACAAGGGATCGAGGAATAGCGAATAACTCCTCATCTTCTTCGACGTCCTCGACAGCAACTGAAGGGAGGGATTAGCGGAGTGCCTTCGAAGAAGGATTGGACACGGCGAACTAGCTCCTCTTCCAGCACCCTCGCTTCTCAGATCCTTGAGCTGGACTTTGGGACTCAACCGAGTCCCATCAGCGGCCGTGAACCATTCGACGAATCTTGCGGTCGCTTGATCGAAATCCAAGCGTCCGACTGGTTCCACGGCGTCTTCCATGGCTGAGAGAGAGTAGAAAGAGCGAGGAACAAGAAAAGGGTGTATCAGGGCAGAGGAATGGGTAGCCGTTATGTGGGAAGAGAGAAACCAGAGAAGCAGCAGAAGCATAGTGGGATGAGGAATGACAGAGACCCATTCGCGTTGGCAGCCAAGAACGGATAAATGTGTGGGTCTCCGATTGGCTGCCGCACCTGGCAGCCTCACGGGCCTCTTGTGGCGAATACGGAGTAAGAATGGTCTTCACAAATCGAGTCCCATTCTTGCCTCCAAGTTATGAAATCAAAGCCTCGAGAATATTCCCCCTCCCAAAACCACCAGATCATCAAAGCCTGAGCTCACTGGCTCCTTTTTGCTGAACGTGTACAAGTATTATTACTGCATAGTACAATTCTCGTTAAAGCCTGTCCACCAAATTCTACTTATTTTTCATCTACTTGTCCACGCTGACACTACCATTAACGGCTCTACCAACACCCAAAATCTTGAGAGGCGGACCCCTTTGCGCCTAATAAGATCGCATACTTGATTATTACGGTTAGGGAGAAAGTGTGCAGTTGTCTTTTTCCAATCTTGACCCCCCGGTTTCCCGTTGAATCTTGTCTGCGAGGAAAGACTTGGATGCCGCTCGACATCTTCGACACAGCTACAAGAATACGGCCTGGTTCAAGTCAATGAAGGGCAGACACCTATCTGCGCAGGCGTGAAAGGCAGTCGAAGGAGCCGCAAGCCGACCAGGAACAACGTGCACCCCCGTTCACGAGTTGTGGCGGCAATTTAAGTGGTACCTTGCTGCAACCACCATTCGAGAGCAAATCCTCGTTTAATAGGAAAGCGACAAGGCCCCATTGATCTTCCTCGTTGAACCGAAATCCAACACCACCCAGCTCTCATTTCAGTACCATGATCGCACTCGGCCTCGAAGGCTCCGCCAACAAACTCGGCGTGGGCATAATCCTGCACTCCAAAGACAAAAGCAACCCGGTTCAAATCCTGTCTAACATCCGACACACATATCACGCCCCTCCCGGTGCAGGCTTTCTGCCAAAGGACACGGCTTTACACCATCGAAGCCACGTCGCGTCGCTCGTCTCCAGCGCCCTTCGCGAAGCAAACCTCACCCCGTCAGACGTCGACTGCATATGCTACACAAAAGGGCCCGGGATGGGTGCACCCTTGCAATCCGTCGCATTGGCCGCGCGCACGATATCCCTCCTGTGGAACAAACCCCTGGTAGGAGTGAACCACTGTATCGGGCACATCGAAATGGGCCGGTCGATCACAGGCGCCACGAACCCCGTCGTCTTGTACGTGTCCGGTGGAAACACCCAGGTGATAGCCTACACGTCGAACCGGTACCGCATTTTCGGCGAAACCCTTGACATCGCCGTGGGAAACTGTCTGGACCGCTTCGCGCGCACGTTGAACATCCCCAACGACCCGGCGCCCGGGTACAACATCGAGCAACTCGCCAAATCCGGCAAAGTCCTGGTCGACTTGCCATACGCCGTCAAGGGCATGGACTGTTCATTCTCCGGTATCCTGGCTCGTGTCGACGAATTAGCCGCCCAGATGAAGAGCGGCATACTAAAAGATCCCAGCACTGGGAAACCAGTCACGGCAGAAGATCTCTGTTTCTCGCTCCAGGAGACGGTCTTCGCCATGCTCGTTGAAATTACCGAGCGTGCCATGGCACATGTTGGCTCAAACCAGGTCCTCATCGTTGGGGGGGTCGGATGCAATGAGCGGCTTCAAGAAATGATGGGCACGATGGCGAGGAGTAGAGGTGGAGACGTGTATGCGACTGACGAAAGATTTTGTATTGACAATGGGATTATGATTGCACATGCGGGATTACTCGCGTATCAGACCGGTTTTAAGACCGAGCTGGCGGACAGCACCTGTACACAACGGTTTCGAACTGATGATGTGTATGTCGCATGGAGGGACGACTGAATCATTTCTGTGATTTGAATGAACCTAAACGATTCTATATGATTATGAATCTGACAAGTCTTCTGAGGGGAGAAAGGCAGCGGGATATCTCCTCTTATCGCATGAACTCCCTGAGAGGCTGTCTCGTAGAAAGAAAACTCCCACGCCATAGTCATGAGGTCATGAACGCCCAGCAATTGTATGAACGCGAACACATATCCACCAAGTCATAAAGGGAAGAGGCCTAGCCCGATCCTTCATTCAGCCGTTTGTGCCTTTGGAACCGGCTTAAAGGAGATCGTGGTCACATACTACACATTGTTAGCGTCCTGCAACCGCTATGCCTCCCAATACGTACCTTTTTCTTGTAGCGCGTCGTCACACTCGTTGCCAGTACGCCATTCTTCACGCTACTAGTCATGAGATGGTTCAAGACGGTATGGTTTGGCAGAGTCAAGACGCTGTTATCGTCCTTGACCGGCAAGATACCGTTCAGAATGGACCTGCTCAAAAAGAGCGGTAGCGCTGGCGGATTGCCTAGTTCCTGGATGATCTGCCCTGCGGCCTTGTATTTCGAGTCTTCCTCAGGCAAGTCGACATCGATCAGGTATGGTGGTACAACTTGACGCCAGTCACCGGTTGGGATTTCCTCAAGATGTGGTTCTTCCACGTCCGAATCTTCAGGTGTCTCCTCCCCTGATTCAGCTTGTTCACGTTGTTCCTCCGGCACAAGGGCAGCAGACTTGGTGCCCTGTTGGGCGCTTTCTCTTCGCGGCTTGGTGATGTCTTCTGTAGCAATCTCAATGTAGTTGACTAAGAAATTGTTGAAGTCGACTGCGGTGGGCAGCTCAGCACTGGTGACCATCTCTCCGTCGACCACGAACTTAAGATGGTGGGTTCCAGAGGGGAGATTGATGGTGGTGAACATGCCGGGTGCATTCTTCCTAAAATGAAATTGTTAACTTCAAGAATACAGCATCGAAAAAAGTGAAAACTAAACTAAATCTGGGCAAATAGTGATTTCTCGATAATGGAGTTGGATGACCGACTTGGGAATCCCACATCGGTTAGGGCCAGAATATAAGACATCGAAATGAAACAACCACGATGAGACACCTACCTCGGATGTAGTCTGTATTTCTTTTCCCAATTGGCAAAGGTCCCCGTTACGTAGACCTTGTGCCCACCCTGATTCCACTCAATAACAGTCGGAACAGTTTGAGTCGTCGGATGAACTGCATAAGGCTGCAATTCTTCGCCAAGCTCGTCCTCTGACTGGGTGGTCGTGCTCAACATGGAACTCCGCCTTCTCAACGGCGGTTCCCCAGTCGAGAGAGGATCGTCGGTCTCGAAGATTGGGACGTCAGCATTCCCCTTGTCAACAGGCATCAATGTTGGCGATTCCGGTATCGGCACATCAGCGATGGGAAGAGGGAGACGAGGAGGGCGAAGTTGAGCGACGGGTGCATAATGTCGGTCTTCGTATGCATGACCCTCTGGGAAGTCCTCCTGCTTCTCGTCAAAGCGTTCTTCGATGGTCTCTTGTTTGCTCCTCGACATGGGTACATCCATGGGTCCCGAAGCCTGCGGAACAGCGAGAGGTGGCTGGCTCGGAGCCTGATATTTCTGTCTGTATTCTAACTCATTCCTCTTCTCTCGAGATGCTTTCGAGGTGGACCTCTCAACCTTGGCGGTTCTGGCATGAGTGTCGGAGGACGAGGCTTGCAGGTACTGCTGCAAGGCTGGTTTTTCGAGATGTTGGGAAGTGGTTTGGGCAACAGCGGTGTCTTTTGTAGCAGAAGCGTCGACAGGAGTGCCTCGGCCCTGCGAGAGGGCTTGGATAGAAACCCTCCGGTTGATCTTGCGATCTCTTTCAGCTTGCGGCGTACCAGATCTGGAACCCGAGCTCTTCTTTTCCTCGGCCGATTGTTGCTGGCCCATGGTGAATGGCGTGGTCAGTTTTTTTTTGACTGTGGCAAATTCAAGTGTCGTGCGACACCTTGCGGGAATGGGGAGGAAGGAGGTTGGTCAAGGAGGGCCAAGTCAGGGAGATAGGAAGTCGGAGCGGAATTTTGTTGGCTCCAGGTGTATAAGCATTCGGTGTTATGTGTGAAATTCCAAAATGGAGAGATAGACCAGAGCCAGAGCCGGCCGGGGCCAGGAGGGTCAGCAAACTGATGGGTTTGTGGGAATGCCTCCACGCTCTGGTGACGTTGGGTTTCGAGGTTGAGAGAACTTTGAACGAAGGCAGAAAGAGGGCGAGGGCGAGAGGGGCAAGTGAAGTGAAGGCTGCGTTTGGGCTGCGCTAGCGGGAGCTGGTTTCGGCTCGGAATGAAGGGTGGGTGCCGGTGGGTGCCCGCTAGAAGGACCTTGGGGCGTCTGTTAGTTAAAGCCCCAACTAATTTCAGGAACAGTTGCGGGGAGCAAGGCGTCATCAGTTAGCTAGCACGGATGGCACCTTGGTGGCACTCGCTATCTTCCCAACAAGTACATACGAGGTATCTGAGCCGCAGTTCGACATCATGGTAAACAAAAACTTTCACCAGCTGCTGCCACTCGCTCAATTGTTGCACCGCACCTGCCTCTGGTCACGGCCCCTACCACCTCTCAACGTGGATTTGCCAGGTGCCGAGTCTTCATCATGATCCATCGACTGGTCCAGAAATGAACACCACTAGCGACTCGAGTTTGCAGCTATGGCTTTCAGTCATCAGCGCCGTCCTCTCCTCCATCGGCACCACCCTGTCCTACGCACTGTATCCTGTCTTGCTCCTATTGAGAGGAATATGGTACATTCTAGCGTCTCTATCCGCGCCTTTTATATACATAGGGCTCATCATTGCCAATGCCTCGCTGATTCCATGGCGCATCTTCGCCTCTTTCGAGGTCCGTCTGCTCTGCCTGGCTTTGATACCCCTACTGAACTGATAATTTTTACACAGCCGCTCTGGTATTTTCTCGGTAGCGCAGTCCTGCTGGGACTACTACTCGCGCTTGCCTTGCATTTCACCATACGCGCCTTCGTTGTTGTATTTCGCCTTGATCACAACGCTCCGCAACCAATTCCAGCCAAAGGGCACGACGCCGTATCGTACAGAAAGGCAAGAGAGGCAAAGAAAAAGAAACAACTGGAGGAACAACAAAGACTAGCTGCCCAGGCCAGATTGATCGCTTCGCAACCACTCCTGCAAGAAGCGGTTCGGGAAGCCAGAAAGATGCCTTTATCAGTCGCTGCGACTGCGGGTTCGCTGAGCCCCTTGAGCCCATGCAATACGACACCGAGTAGGCCAGGCCTTTTGCAAGAGACGATTCTGGAACACAGCGACGAGGACGACGATGACTCGGTTTTTTGAACCCTGGGCGGTTTTTATTGCATGCCCGCTTTGTTGAGCGCTTGCTCGAACAATTCCTTGCATCGGACCCGACTGCCCAGTCGAGCACATAGCAGAAAGGCTCCGCTCAACTTCCGGTGCAGACTGTAGGTCTCTTCTGGTGGAGGTGCCAATCTTTCCCTCAGCATGACGGGGATGAGGGTTCGAACGCGGTCAGTGATGGTTTGGTCCTTGAAGTCATAGATGTCCGGGCTGAAATCCATGAAAGGTTCGGCCAGTGTCATGACTGATTCGATATGGGCGTTGAGCATAGCCTTCGATTCGTAACCGGTGAGATAGCCCAGCTGAATGGAAAAATCTCTGCAAGCGTCTCTATCCTTTCTCGAGGCCGCGATGAGGGTCTTGATGTAGAGTTGAATGAATTTGTCGGGAAATTCTCTCGATGCACCAAAATCGAGTAACTCCAGCTTGTTCGTTTTCGAATTGTAGAGGAAGTTGGTCCAGTTGGGATCTGTCTGCATGTATTTGAACTCGGTGATCTCACGCAGACAGAGTCGTAGAATCTGTGACCCAATCCAGTCCTTTTGCTCCTGTGTGAAATTTTGAACTTTGGTGACTGGAACGCCTTCCATCCTCTCCATGGTCAGGACCCGTTTGCCTGACGCTTCGTCAATGATCTCCGGGACTTTGAAGACACTCTGCTCGTCTGCGAGGAGTTTCCGAAATCTTTTTGCACAATCAGCCTCGCGGATGTAGTCGCATTCCCACGCCAACTCGGTACGAGCATTGGCAATGGTCTTCTCCAGGTACAAGCCTTTGGGCAACAGGCGAGAGGCGGTAAGCAGCAAAGACAGGTTGTTGAGATCGGAAGAGATGGACTCTGCCACGCCGGGATATTGCACCTTGACAGCGACTCTCCTTCCGTCCTTTAACACGGCGCCGTGAACCTGGCCAATAGAGGCGGCAGCCATGGGCTTCTCGTCAAATTGCTGGAACAACTTCTCACGCCAATCGGGGCCCAAATCCGCAGCAATGACTGCATCTCTCTGCGAAGCAGGCATGTAGTCCGCACTATCCTGGACGCGTTGAAGCACATCATGAATGGACTTGGGAAGCAGTTTGGAATCTTGGAAGCTCATCATTTGACCTAACTTGAGGGCGGCGCCTCGCATTTTGGACAATTTGGCAACAAGACGTTCCATGTTTGCGGCACTCAGCATTAACGAGCCATCGGATCCTCCTGATCGACTGATACTCTCACTGACAGCTCCAAAAGCCATAGACGCTGCGAGTCCTCCAAATTCGAAGATCCGGCCCACTCTTGATGACGGCACTTTCGATTCACGCATCTGGTACGGCTGTGCAGTCTGAGGTTGTTGCGTCTAGGTTATCTGTCAGTTGATCAGTCAGGATCAATCAATCATAGACAGGGTTCAATTACATTGATCTTTTGGACGTCCTTGGCTAGCTCAGCCCCGAGTTGCTTGATGCCTTCTGCATCTGTACCAGATGTTTTCTGTCGCATGGCGCTCATGGTATGGAAGCGTCTCGCCGTCACTCCGCCAGGGGCGTATCTCGCCTTCTGCCCGTAAGTCCTTGCATTCCTTGGATTGCGAAATAGTCGAGCTAGCTGTTCTTCCGAAGGGTCATCCTCCGCTTCTGCCTGACGTTTGGAGCCAGAGTAGAAGACATCCGCATTAAGACCAGGTTCAATATGCGAATCCCCCTCTTGAACGTCGTTTTCGGTTTTAGGAACACGGACACGTGGTAATGCGGACAGCACAGGCTTGACGCTGTCTGGTGGCTGGTAGAAGATATCCTGCTCTTGTTCCACTCCAAATTCCTGAGCAGTGGCTTCTCGTGGCGGGGGTTCGGCCGATTTCGCAGGGATCTGGTCCTCGAATTGTCTCTGCGCTTTTCTGGCCGCATCTGGAGACAGAGCCTCGAATGATCCAGTGTCTGGGAGATTTGGCTTTGTAGATGAGTTCAGCTTGAGATCTTGAGCAGCTTCAGTCTGTAATGGATGCTGGGGTGTCTCTCCCGTGGGAACCTGATTGAAAGTGATGCCGTCTCCTTCCTCTCCTCCAATTGGGCTGTTATTTGACGGTATTGTCCCATCTGGCAGAGGCGTCCTCCTCGCTTCGACTTGTTCAATGGTCAGACCTTTAGGCGGAGAGGCTTGAGATTGGGATCCCTCGGCTGATCTGACGTAGAAGTGGTCCTGTTCGATACCTTCTTTCGGTGATTTTGAAAGTGGCTGGGAAGAGGAAGCGAAGCGTGAGACAGATGTAGCTAAGATGGGTAGGCCCTGAGTCCGTATGGCCTTGACGACGGAGGAAGATTGACCATAGACTCGAGCTTGAGCAAGTCGAATATCCAAATGTTTCGCCGCAACATTTCGCGAGACACTCAGTAAAGCAAGAGCATCAAGTATATGTCTGCCAGGCATGATTGTAAGCGAAGGGAGGGCCAAAGACCCTTTTCTTACGGCTGTCAAGACATGCAGAAGCAGTAGAAGCAGCTTGTTCGTTATTTGAAGCGCAGTTGGTTGGAGTCATGTCGGAACTTTTTGCATGTGGATCGTCGAATCCAGCGAGCAGTTCCCCACACTTCACACTTCGCCCTTCAACGACCTCCAGGCATCGCAAATGCATTGTCGGTGATTGTACCGGTGTCGAGGAGCTAAGGTGAGAATCACATATTTGCAGATTGATGAACCCATGAAAGTGGACAATGCGGACGCTCTCCGCGCCCGAGTCCTCGAGCTCGAGGTCCAACTGCAAACCACCAAAGCACTCCTTCGAGGCACAGAAACACCGGGCTCAACATCAACCGCAGATGTTCTTCGTGAGAATGGAGGAAGGGTACCGTTTTCTCTGCCCGTCACTCTTCCAATAGGCCACTCGATGCACAATCTCATGCTCCTCTCCGATTCAGCCCTTCCTCTTGGATCATTCGCCTACTCGAGCGGCCTAGAATCCTTCCTCGCTCATCATAAACATCTCTCCCCAACGCCGGGACAGACAAATCTCTCCCTTTTCCACAAGTTTCTCAAACTCTCCATCCAGTCAATGGCATATACCAGCGTCCCTTACGTTCTTGCCGCATTCCGTGATCCACTGGCGCTCGTGGATCTCGATAATGACCTCGACGCGAGCACGCCGTGCAACGTTGCGAGGAGAGCAAGCATCGCTCAAGGTCGTGCACTGCTGAGTGTTTGGGAGAAAGCTTTTGCTCCGGCGGTGAAAGCGCAGCATGGGGAGGAAGGCGAAGGACTTGAAGCGGCCACCGCGCTTGAAGTCTTTGCTCGAGACTTAAAGCTCTCAGCTCTGTCCCCCGCCGCCCTTTCCGACAACAACATTCACCAAATCCCCGCTGTAAATGGACACCTTGCTCCTCTCTGGGGCGCCATCTGTCTCTCCCTCGGTCTCAACTCAGAAGAATCTGGCTACCTCTTCCTCCTCAACCACTCCAAAGCGGTCATCAGCGCAGGGGTTCGAGCGTCCGTGATGGGGCCGTATATGGCACAGAACGTACTCGCATCTAAAGAACTGCAAGAGCTGCTGAGTGGTTGTTTGGAGAAAGTTTGGTTGATGAGACCGGAAGAGGCAGGTCAGGTAGTCCCAAGCATGGATCTGTGGATGGGGAGACATGAGTTACTTTACAGTAGGATTTTCAACTCGTGAATGGCGGCCAGGGCAAGGACTGCATTTCAGACTCGAGGTTCTTTTATTGGCACGACGGGCTTTGTGTCCGAGGGCGGTGCGGCAGCGACGCGTCGCCTGTGTTTACCAGTGAAGTGGATGCCCTTTGCCAGGTTACTACAGCATGACTGCAGCAGATATCCCGTTTCGTATCAACGACGAAGGGCATTACCATTGTCACAACATCGACCAATCCCGACTCACAGTTCGTCAAAGCAGTTCCATGACGCCACCTACGACCACCGCACACTTTGAAGGAACGGGGTTAGGCGGAAAATGGAGCTGAACGGTGGTGCCGCAACCACTACCCTCCTCATAGCAGCCATGTTCCTTGTCTCCTTGTTCACCGCGCCCACCCTCGCGGTAAGAGGCCATCAACAGCCAAACACAGACATCACCGTTTCCCAGCCGACACCCGCCTATGACACCACCAGCAATACCGAGCCTCCGTCTAGATGTTACTGCGAACTCGTCAGACGGACCACGAATATCACGCCTGCCGAGTGTGTGGATTACTGTGTATGGAGATGGGCCTGGTACTGAGAAAATCAAAATCTCTGTTGGACGAGAGTTGGGAGTCAAGATGGCAATTTGTTGGACAATGACACAAAATCTCATCGCTAAAGGGAAGAAGGCTAGTTTGGACGAGAGGAGAGAAATCCCGTTCGGCGATTGGAGATGTGAAATGGAATCTCTTTTTGTGCAAGATGGATGCGAGATATGACAATGTTGGCAGAACCAGGTGCTCGCAGGAGCGGACAATCTCAAGCCCTTGACACCAAGACGGGTCGGCGACTTCTTACAACAAAGAGCGTCAAACTGAGTAATAAAAGAGGGCATTGTATTTGCTGGAACAAAGGGCATCTGGTGCCCCAGTTCCTTTACGCAACGCAAAGGTCTTGCATAAGGGTATCAATAGCATGATGCAAGTCGCAATCAAAGTCCACAACCAGAATGACAGAGATGATGGAAGCTGCCATGCTAGCAATCACGGATCAACCCTCGTCAATCGACCCAATTCTCTCCTCGACGCCTTCGACCGCCCTCCTCCCCTTCTTTGCTTGTCTTCCGCCATGGCCAGCTCCAGCAGTGCCGTTCGTTTGACGTCGCTGTTTCGTCTTGGGGTTCACCGCCGCGTGGGTAACCTTCTGCGCCAAAGCCGAGATACGTTCTCTTCGACCCATACTTGGTGCTTGAGTTCTCCGTCCTCCTGCTTCTGGCGTAGCAGAATGTGTGTCCGTGAGGGCCGGCTCTTCTTGAATTGCAGTTCCGTTTTCGTCGATATAATATGGTTCGTCTCTTTCCGTAGATGGCAAGGGCACATCCGCCCCCACAAGATGATCAACAAATCCCTGGTCTGCTCTTCTCTTCGCATCCTCCTCCCTCAGTCTTCGCTCTTCTTCCTCCAACTCCTTCATGACTGTTTCTGGATCCTCAAACTCCTGATTCGTCATTGCCGCGTAGTCTTCTAAACTCACAGTTTCTTTAGCTGCAACACATTTTTCTACCCTCTCTGGATCCGCTCGTAGCTCAACCAAATATTTCTTTTTAATCACGCCCCGATCAATGCTTTCTGGAAAAAGATTCGCGATCATGCTGAAATCTGTGCCAAACATCCGCAGGCCCTTGTAGAAGAGGTTCGTCTGGTCTTCGTCCCAACGGATCGGACGTCCTCGACCCGCATTTTTTCCCAGTGAGCCCGAAGTGACATATTTGTAGATCCGGTCATCCTCACGCGCTTCGCTCGCGTCTTGATTCACAGCCTCTTCGAGGCCTGCACCGAATGTGACCGTGCGAGACTCGTTTGCCACCACAATTTGTCCGTCGACAATGATCTGCGTGGGTACGGCCACTTCCTCCGCTCCATTGTGTTCTTCCTCGTTAGTCCTATTCTTCCCATGGGCAGCTTCTCGTCGCTTCTCAATCTCCTCTTTGCGTCGCTTTTGGATGTCCGGCCAATTCTCTTGCATTCGCTTCTCTGTTTCTGATTTCCTGCCAATCTTGTTATCCTTGACAAGCTCGGCCATCGACACCTCCTGCGGGTCGATTTCTAACGCTTCGGCATTCTCAGGAGTAGGAAGGCGAGAACGACGACGATTTGGTTCATCTGTGCTGGCGTTAACAGCATCTTCAACGCCTTGTTGAGCTAGCTCTTGTATTCTTCTCGATTTTGACTTTCTCTTTTTACGTTTCGCTTTTGGTTGCGCAGTATCTTCGGCTGCAGTCTCTCCTGTTTCCGTCGCCTGTGACGCTGATCGACGCGCTGAGCTCGGTTGGAGTGATCTTGCTCTGTTCTCGATGGAGTTTGCAAGTTCTGATACTGCCGCTGCTTGGGTTGTCGCATCTTGCAATAACGCGTCCGACGTACGCGATTCGCTCCGCCTAGCCCGTGGGCTGGTCCTTAGTATTGAGGGTATGGAATCAGGTTGTGGAGGAGTATGTGATTCTGACTCGGTAAGGTCTTCGACCGTATGAGAAGTCTTCTGCCGCTTCCTTGAAGCATCTGCTGGATTTTCCCTTTCTTGTGTCGAGTCTTCTGATTCCTCTGGGGTTGGGTCGTAGGTAGCATTTCGTTTCTGGAGAATAGAGGAGGGAGTCGAAACCGAAATCGCGGGGATGGCACCTTGTTCGGGGTGACTCTCGCCTGCGCCGGCCGGATGAATGATTTCAATCGCACGGCCTGTGTGACTCGGGAAGATAATTTCCACGGAGGTTGAAGGAGCTCTCTCGGTCGCTGCTTCTTCGTTTTGGTGTGGCGTATCGAGGGCTTCTCCTGCTGTCTCTATTGAAGGAGCAATAGAAGGTATTTCGTTGGACACCTGAACGATTTGCACTGTTTCTGACTGCGACTCTGGTTCCTGACTCTGAACTGGCTCGTCAACAGGTTCAACAGCAGGACTCACAGTTTGACTCTCTAGCGTAAACGACGGAGGAGCAGCATGTCGAAGAGCATTTCTTTGGACATTCCTCCTTGGGCCCTTGGGGACTATTTTCTGCCCTGGCTTTCGAACGACTGAACTAAATGTCGACATGATAGACGCAATGCGCTCCGTCCGCTATCGGATATGCACAGGTCTCATTCATGCCCACACATCTTTGTCTCTGTTTAGTCCAGCAGGATTCTTCATCCTCCGACTACTACTTCCCAAAAGCAACGTAGACAAAAGGTAATCTGGATATTTCAAGAATTAGGGCTGAGGTGAAATATGCATGACACATGAGCGGATCAGCCAGCCCTGGGGCTCGGCGGCGAATCAACAATCATGTCTTGGCACCCGTTTAGGAGCGCGGTCTTGCCGCTTTACTTGACATTCGGGGTGACCTGGCCAAGCCTGGCTCATCTTCAGCTCAGCCTCGGCGTGATCTGCTCAGCCTTGTCCAGGTCGCTGTTCAGTGTCCTCGTCCTCTCGCATCAGCCGTGGTCAGTCCCGTGTATCGACTCCTACTGCGATTGGATCCTAATACTGACTTTATATGTGTTTCTCTTCCAGAGTGTGAAAGTTTTAGATGATCATCTACGGGGGGTACGGTTTTGGGAACCTAAGGCTCGAAACTGGGGCTCCTTACAATCTCTCGCACTTGGTGCCCGTGGTAGGAGGGTTTAACAGGACTTCTACAACTAACAATTCTACCTAGTGACAAGGAGGACTGGTCTCAGGAGAAGGAAAAAAGGACAGACAGAGCCCCATCCGACTACGCGTACACAACCTGTTGCCATAAAAACGTAGATGTCAAAGCACCATGTGACTTCCGTGAGCCCCACCCATCATCGATATGCGCTGACCAGGACGTCTTGCACTCAGAAAGGAGTGCCATGTTGTAAGACTGGCCATTTCTTGCAGCTTAGAGAGTGTAAACTGGTGAAGTTGAGCCTGCGGGATAACTGCGGATACGTCCGTATAGATATAGTAGCAATCAAGGCAGCTTCGAAAGTCAACAGCACCTAGCAGATGGCGTATGCAGTCCAACACATGCAGAGTCTTATCGCGACTCAAAAGCCAGCCCAGCTGAGTTAACGGCGCCTGAGGAATATGTCAAATCAGCCTTACCAAGACCAGCTATCCCGCTTTGCTCGCTTTCGCTGGGGAATTGGGCAACCGTGGATCACATTCGAACTGAACAGCCCCCAAAGAAGCCACGCAAGCATAGCACAGCCACGGGAATCCCTCAGGTCTCAAGAGCGCCCCTTACGTATTGGCCTGTCTAAAAAACCTACATAAGACGGCCAGGACAGCGTCAGCCCGTGGAGCATCGCCCGATTTCTCGTATTATCTCGCTTGCTCCCGGAACCTCAGTACATAGGTAATCATCTCGTCGTCGCGCTGTTCCAGTGGCTTTTGTTGCTCATCACGAATGGGCAGTCTTGCTCTAGCCGAAGATTTTGCTTCCTTCCGTTATATCGACCCATCCTCTGATGGCTTCAGATGCATCTACCCTCTGATCAAGTACGGCCGTTGTTGTAAGAACAGGGTTGATAAGGGCCTACGGAACGCTACGTTGAGCATCAAGCGGAGGATCCTGAGCGAAGCATCCTCTGAGGACCGTTCTGCCTTGCTTCAGAATTTTGTCGAAAATTGCTGTTGCGAAGGGGTCCATCGCAAACTGCTGACCGGCACTCCACTCGCAAGAGAACTCCGCCAAAAATGGGAAAAAGAGCTAGGGTACCCTTTTTCGACGCCTGTCCGAGCGAGCGAGGACACACAGCATGCTGCGCCAACCATCACCCCGGCATCAACACGTCAATGCCATGTGGGGTCTCCTGTCATCCTCGCCGTTCCCTCAAGAGCTAATACGAGATACTCGTTAAGAACAAATGTCTCAGTACCCGAGCCGACAGGATCTTCGCTCGGGTCGGACGAGGGAGCATCTACAGGGGAGTTCGAGCCTATAAAGAAGACAACCCAGACGCTGGTTTCCGTCCTTTTCAAACCTCTCTCGGAAGTCAGAGATCGGGAGATCGGGGACATCTATGCATTCTCGAGAGAATCCAGTCCCGGGATGGTCAAGATTGGGTATTCAAAATCGACAGAGAGCCGCCTGAAAAGGTGGGGCAATGCTTGCGGCTATAAGCCGGTTCTGGAGCACTGCGTCAGAAACGTGCCAAACGTGCCGCGGGTCGAGACATTAGTCCATTACGAGCTTCTGTCGTATTGGCGGAGAGAGCTGAAGTGCAAGCACAACTCGCTTTGCCACAAACGACACAAGGAATGGTTCGAGTGCAGCGTCGAAACTGCGGCCCGGAGTATGAATAATTTTTCGAAATGGATGATTGTTGCTGACCCATACGACGCCGGCGGCATTCTCAAGCCACAATGGAAGGACATCATTCGAAAGATGGTGAGATATGGGCAAGAGGTCACATCTCAGAGTCTGCTGGACAATCTGGAAAGGCCCCGACACCAGATTGAGGCGCCACTCTCGGCCCAGATTGACGAGCCCATCTCACCACCCACACCCACAGCTACACCCTGGGCACCACGGGAATCTATGACCACCGTGGCGCCACGGCCGGTGGCCTTGACACCGAGAGGCCTTGACAAGGCAGTGTTGAAAATCGGCAGAGACCTTGTATACCTCCAGGCTCACCGAATTGCCGCACTTCAAAAGGGACTCGCTTCTCTGTACCAAACTCTTCTCGTGGACAATTCTCGGACTTGGACTCCTCCCAACACACAATTGCTTTTGGCCTCATGATGCGCTTGCTTTTACGAAGACAGAGCTGAGGGGTTGTTTCCTTTGTCATTCGATTTTCGTAGCAATGAGGCTCCAGGGTCAGGGTGGCTATCCGTCTACAAGTACAAGTACATTGTTGTACACAGAACAGGAGTGGATCTATCTGCTTGATTGTGTTCTGTCCCTCTGGCTATTCAGAGAGACTCTGTCTGTTTATATACACTTTGGCCTGTGATCTGAAGGCCATTCCTGAAACCTCCTATTCCGTCGCCATCCTATCACAGATCGGCGAGAACAACGAGGTTGAGGTAGGTGCCGCAGTTGGTGAAACGCCTAGCGTCTTAGGTAGTTTGCCACAGTCGCGATCTCGCGACCCTGTCAACACGATGGCCGAGAAACTGCGTCAGGAACCCAGTTTCCCGCCTGGAAGCATTCGTTTTTACAGGTGCCCGACAAGCCGTCATTCCGTGTACCTATCTTGAGTACTGGCAGACGATTGGCTCTCTCTGGCGCACTTTTATGTGCGGGCCTATTGATCGTGCTCCTGCAGCAATCCCAGTCACCTTCAGTATTTACCAGTTACGCATGTGGACGCAGTCACATCGACGATGTCAATAACCCCACTCTGGAATTTCAGAGAGTCTTCACCATCAATCTCCCACAGCGGACTGATAGAAAAAACCTGAACACTATGGCCGTTCGTGAGCTTTGAGGTTGAATATCTTCCTGACGTCAAAGTGGAAGATGATGTTGAGCAAGCAGCACCATCGGGGTGCAACAACTCTGGAGTCTCCACCATTTGCTGTAGATCAAGACAACTGGCTTTTGGGCATCAGAACTGGCACTTCGATAGGCAGACACCAAGCGCTCTAGGGTGCTGAAGAGCTCAAATGAATGTTCTCCAGAGAATCATTGCCGAGAGTATTCAAACGGCCATGATTGGGACTTTCTCTGGCTGGGCAAACCGGATTGGGCCAACCAACGAGGAACAAAACATCTGGGTCATTGGTCATGACTTCACTGTCCCTTCTCTGCAACACTCCAACTCCTGATGGTGGCAGGCACGCGTTCCTGACGACGCGCTGCGTAACGACACCCGGCTGTTCTTCAAAACTTATGCTAGCATGTGCTTGTACGAGTACGCTGTCACCTACGATGGTGCGCGCAAGATGCTGTCATCTATGTCAGAAATGTGCCGTGACAAAATGGGCAAGGGTTTCGATTGTTACGGCGTCTAGCTGCCCCCGATATCGACCCACCGTTCTGCAGGATATGAGTCTCAGGATCCCGACATCAACGTCAACGCGAAGAGTGACTGGCATAAGGGATATACTTTCGACATTCCCTTCAGCGCCATGATCAATATCCTCAGGCTCGTCGATGGCGCTAACTCCCGTCTTGTCGCAGTGATCCGATGCGGAAATCCAGGAAGCCACATTTAATTCGGACATTCGATGTCCATCTCACGGGTTTCTTAGTTCGGCAACATGTCATGGATGAGTTACACTTTGGTCCACAATGAGCGATGGTTTCTCACCCTTCTTTTCCCATTCTCCATCTAAACCTCCATTTTGGCCAACTTGTTAGTGCTTTTTGAAGGGTGTCAGGTCCAAGATCAACTTCAACATGAGGAAGTAAAAATGGGACCCTTGGAATCAGGGATCTTTCTGCGATCAGGCTACATCGAGTTCACTCCTCGATCTCTCTAAGGCGAGAGAGCTTGCTGAGGCTCATTCATTGCATACCTACATTACTGGTGAAATTGAATTTGGAGGAGTGTTGTGATCAAGCTGAATTGCGCCAATCGATATGCCTTGAAAAGTTGCGCTCCCCAAAGCGCCTCTCCCCTAAGTTGCAGATGTTATGGGGTCCTCCCAGCCAGGAATCTCTCACCAATCGCCAGTAGCCTTCCATCTTGCATCGTGCTCTTACCAACAGTCCATTCAGATTGTGATCTGTCATCCTATTGTAACAGAGCACTTCAGGGTTCGGCGTGCACGTGCAACAACGCACAGAGGCCTGTCCAGCAGATCGGGAATCGAGAACGCGTTTCTGGTTGATACTGACAAGACAACACCACCACCAACACCACCCAGAGGGGCAGCGGCTAGGGCTACGAACACCTAGCACAGCAGGGGCATCGAGGAACAGGACAGGACTGATAAAACACTCAGGAATTAGGTAGACAGCGCCAAAAAGCCATGGAATTCATGATACTCTGCTCAAACTGTTCAATCTGTAATGAATGGCACACTGCCAGCACTGTAAACTGTTCCGCACCCCCTTCTCTGCCAGCCCATTTAGGTTTGACATGTGACCTGACAGATCTCTGCCTGCCACCGCTCTACCAGCCCAGCACAGCCCATCACAGCACAGCCACCTCGCCTTGTTACACTATTTATCCACCACTTCTCGTGGACAGCTGAGACGCCGTGCTGGTAGTTGTGAAAGACCGGATGACTCATGACCCGGTAGTGCCTGAGCTGGGAACAGGGCATGTTGCCGCCCGGACGATGGACGTACTCCAACAACTTATTCTAGGGGACCAGCATCAGAGTTCAGCCCTCGATGGCGCGAATCTTCAGATAATGTCCCAACATCTCCTCGGATGGATGTAGGACCATGAGCCCGCAATGGAGCTTTCGACCGCGGCGTCGGCCACGGATGTCTGTAGCTGCCGATTGGGACTGAGTTGGCCGCCAGAAGATAGTACTGTTGAGGTTGGGGTCCTTCGTCAGCCTTGGTGCGTTTGTCCATGACGTGCTTTTAGCGAGGATGATCTGCCAACCGGCAAGCTAGATCCGTGATTGCCTACTTGACTCACTTGTTAGCATCCCTAACAGATGATTTAACCATGAGTTTGGATCTGGCTGCGAACCTGGTACAGAGTGAGAGCAGGAGGATAAGGAGTCGGAAGGACCACTAGGTGTGTAACTTATAAATTACCCCGAATACCAAAAGATAAACAACAAATTGTGAGTCGTATTGTCGGCAATATTCCGTAGTGTTCATAACTCCAGAGTCGAACTTGGCGATGACGTCCAAGGTTAGTTAGTCTTTAAACTAAAGAATAGTCCCTAAGTAGTTGTATTCGGTCTTGATTCGGTACATGTCCCCACTTTTAGACTTAGTGATGACACTCCGCACTATCAACGGGTATTTAAGCTCAAGGATAGTCTCCTGCTTCTCCCCATAGCTAGACTTGGCGATGGCATTCCAGGGCATTAGTCGTTGAGCTGAATACAACTCAAAAAGAAGTCTATATCTCTGAAGGTGCACGACGCGGCAAAGTGACTCAATTTCTCCGCCAGGCTGGGGCGGTCGCGGTATGTAGGGGGGTAGTTGGATCTCCCAGATTTTTGGCGTTACCCCTCCCCCCAGCGATGTTGATTAGTCAGTCAGAATGGTCATAATTCCAAGTGTTGATGTCGCCCTTGCCATCGATAGTTACCGTTCGGTCGTTAGCGACTAACACCTTCACGTCGAGTCGAGTTGGGAGCAGGCAGGTCAATGGGAAGTAATGGCAATTGGTTAGTCATGGAGCCAGTATTAGGCGAAATATCAAATCCACGAGACTGGAGTTTCTGCTATGGGCTTTACGCGCCATCTAGAACCGAAACCATGAAAACAGATTCTCTTATATCCAGCTCAAACCCCACCCAAGCAGGGCAACAGCCTTACGCCAAAGATCTCTTAGCCACGTGAGCTAGCCCTGTTAACTCGTGGTCCTCTTGGGAGCTGGTGCTATAACGAACCTCTACATCTTTGCTGCTCATAGTGACCAAACTGAAGACATGATAACAATGCTCTGAGAATGAAGTGCATTGTGCGTCGCCACTGAGAACCTCTACGTTACAGACCATACGTTCGTGACATTGCAGCAAATGACGGAACGGACTAAATGGCAGTACTGTGAATCTGGGTACCGCTCCCGGACGCTGGTTCTTGTACTAAGCAACGCGTTGACTTGGAACGACAGTGGGAAACGCGATTTCGATGTGCGCACTCAGTTTCCCATACCATGGGGAAAGTTAAGTTCAGATTGGCCTTCCGCTTATCTGCCTTTCCCGTAGCTTAATCCCTAACACGCCGTGATTAATTGGGAATCCTGGCATGCGAGCATCAACACAACGACCCAGGACTTTCAAGGGCGTGCACCCAATCAGGGGCTGAATCGAGGCCGATCATACACCTAGCATACGATCTTGTCCGCTTAAGGAATGAGATCACGTTTGATTTTGCCTCAATGGACGAGCCGTTACAATTCCCCCACCTCCTTTCTCAAATAGAGCCAGGCCTTACATATGTATCAGATCAAGTCACGCAGCCTTAGGTGTCATATGCAATTTTACTAGCCATCCCGACAGAGATTGCAAAAGTAACTGCTCTTATGGCCAGTATCCAGTCCTTAACCACCATAAAACCACTTAGCTCGACTTGCTCGACATTTTTCTTTTGCTGAGCAACTTCATTCCTCCATCACACTCGTTTCGTCGCACTCGTTGTTAAGGTTGTTATTCTTTGGTCGACAAAGCCACACTCTTTTTGTTTATTCATTCGGTGTCGATCTCACACTCCTTTTACAGTTCTTTTCTTCAGGTCTCTTATTGCTGTCGACTTTGAGCATACCTTGCATTCCCTCAGGACTTGACCACACGGGAAATTTAGGAATAACATGGTTCGCTTCAGTCTGGACAAAGGCCTTATGGTCACCTTGCTGAGCGTCTTGTCGTTCCTCACTTTAAGAGCTACTGCTGCCTCTCTCCTCATAGACAGAAGTTCTGCGCTCGAGACTCGCGGTGCTAACACCACCTGGTTCTATCTGCAGTCGTTTGTGGTTGATCAAGAATACCACAAGACCAAGCCCAGATTTGTTTCATTCACTGGTGAAGACGGGTCTCGTACCGAGTCAGAGACAGACGCTGCAAAATTCTGGATATGAGAAGGACAACTTGGGGTGGAGAACAATTTGTGCATCTGGACTTCGGAAATGGTTATGCGGTGGTCAAGCTCGACAAACGCCCCAGCCCCGGACAGTACAGGTTCCTGCACGGCAAGGACCAGTGGCTTCACGTTCAAGGAGAAGGGATTTGTTACGGCGAGGGTGGCCAAGCAGTCTTTTGCTACAGCCAGGATGGATCCATCTTCCTCCAAGGTCACGGGAAGCTGCTGTTTGCATGTCAAGACATTGGTTTTTCACCAAGGCAGCGCGAGTATTTGGATTACCTTGACCCTCTAGCATGAGCGTTCCTAATTCTAGAAATAGGAGCCGGTCCCGCGCCTGGATCATCACCACCACATCAAAACAGATCTGGGTGCCAACCTCAGTCTTCTGCGATCCCAACAGTGACCGTCACTGTCACCCCTCCAAGTGTGCCGACATGGTGGGCACACCAAGTAGAGACTGTGACGCCAACCGCCACAAATCCTCCTGCCAGCAGTCCCGTGGAAACTAGCTGGGAGCATACAAGCAATCCATTACCTTCACCTACTCATACGGCGATAGCTACAAAGCCTCACGCACCTGATCCATCTAGCGACGGCGACTGGACCGACAAAGGAGAGAACGACCATGAAGGGAACGATCACAGATTGGGTCGGCCCAAGGGACATACGGAGAAGCGATCCTTCGAAGTCGACATCGACGGTAAAATTGTGGACTAGAGGGGCTCTGTATGGTGCGAGATCGTTCCCTTTCACGACCTTCATAATGTTGCTTTCATTCCAATCCAACTTATGGAACTGTAGACGAGGATTTCCTGCCTTGGGGCCACTGCCACCCAGAATAGCCAGTCTACAGCATTATCACGTAGCCTGTGCGGTTGTCATGTGCGCTGTTGATCTGGCAGCCAGGCTGGTGACCTAATAATCGATATTTGTCACATAGGAAACGATCCAACGTTGTTAGACTCCTTTTAGGAGCGAAGGGCTCGCCTACGCCCACGTCCGTGCCCGTGGACGGCGGCTGATACATCGACGAGATCACATGGCGAAACCTCATTTGGTATTGGCGTCGATTCACCCTACGCCCGGAGAAAGAGTACTTCCTGGTGTGATGCAGGAGATGTCTGCCATCGGAAACGTAGCCGGCACCATCTTTGCCCACAGAGTTTTGGTCCGCCCTGACACTCGATCGGTGCTGGAGCGCATTGAAAATTGTGATGTGGTGCATTTTGCCTGCCATGTCGTCTCGGATGCCCTGGACCCCTTCAACAGCTGCCCAGTGTTGATTGCAACGTGGCCCGTCTAACCGGGACAGTCCACTCAGCATGCTAGTGACAAAGCCTTAAGCGCTGGAGCAGCGCCACGACCGAAACGCAGCAACAGTTTGCCGGCCAGACGTACATCTCCGACAATCCTCAATGGCCGATGTATTGGATTCTACGCCAGACTCTCCATGCTCAATTTGTGCTTTCACGTTTGCAGCTTCTTCAACCAGGGG